CATGGTATTGACTTGAGAGACCTCGTAACAACTGATGAATTGTACTATGGTAACGTGTCACGGATCATCAATGTAACATCAACGGAATCCTAATGGCTACCTGGCCAGGATTATAGAGTGACGACTGAGACAATTGGAGAGAAAGTGAACTTCTTTGAAAACCCAGCAATAATCCATGACATTATGTACGGGGTGGTTCCACACGAAGAAGGAGTTTATGGAGGGACGAACTCTGGCAATAAGAAAACCACTAATCATCTTATAGCTTTTGGGCAGTATTGGATAGACTTCAGGAGATATTGTGGGCTTTCAAGGAGAGCGGTAAACACAAAAAATTATGTTTCTCAAATGTGAACAAGAGTTGTCCAAAAAGTATATTTTCTATGTTTTAAGGTTTTTGCTTATTCTTTCGTTTATTTTGTACGTTAATGCACGTTATTTTCTTCCTTTGTCTCATGTGACGTTGCTAATGAAAAATAGAAACGTTTAAACGTTTAGATAATCATTGATAGCGTCACTTGAATCTTATTAAACAACCACTTTGGAGTTAAACATTCGTAGATGAAACGATAGAATATTATCTTTTTCAGGAAAGCATATTCTATCAGTCTGACATACCAATGGACCCACCTCTTTACGTGTGTTCAATATACAGTCCTATATGGGGGCATGGCCAGGGTGAAGGTGCAATCTGGATAGACGGTGAAAGATCTGTGCTGCAGAATTTCATTACTTTCCCACCACCCTAATTAAGATACAATATATAAATAATTACGAGAGCCTAGTGTTAGTTTTTATAATATCAGAGGCCTGGAAATAATTTACAATAAAATGTATACCCTCTGTAAAGAAAAAAGGTGCAATGTCCTTTATCAATTTCAAATTTTCTCTCTTCAGTCCTTGTTGCCCCTTTAAGATGCAATATATAAATAATTACGAGAGCCTAGTGTTAGTTTTTATAAGAGGCCTGGGAATAATTTACAATAAAATGTAAACCCTCTGTCAAAAAAAAGGTGCAAGGTCCTTTACACCCCAGTCACATTTCCTACGGCGACCTTTGGTCTATCATTTCTGCGGCCAGTAGCTTTTCTACGCTCGCCGCAGAATTTCTGCGCTCTCATACTTTTGCAGTCACATTTCCCACGGCAGCCGCACGGTGAATTTTAAATTTATATTGATAAATAATAGTTTTTTTCATTTTATTTACATCAGGACAATTTATAAATGTTATTCAAAGTGCTAGGATGTAATATCAAATGAAAAGTGATCGTGAAACATTGACAAATAATGATTCAGTCTTGTCGATCCAGTTGATTTCTACGGGGACCTCAGAAATGAACAAATATTATAACTCCGAGTTATAATTTCTACGCCTTCCCTGCGGCCTGTAAAAATCTGCATACGCCGTACGGAGGCCGCAGGGCTACGCTCGCCGCAGAAATTCACCGATTTAATTGTTCTGCGGTCGACTTGCGGCCGCCGTGCGACAAATGTGACTGGGGTGTTATCAATCATATCTTTTTTATTTTTCGTTGTTATCATACCAGAGGTAAAATACAGGGTGTCCAATAAATAAGGTGAAAGATATTGTAACTTTCTTAATATTTCACCAATCTTGAAAAAAAATTTCAGGGTTTGTAGCCCAAACCTTTTAACCTTTATTCTGTGAATTTAAAGCGTCTTCTATTTGATTGGCCAGAGTTGTGGTTGCTATAGCAACCGAAACAACAAAAAGGCGGGGCAAGTTTGTTTACGTCACAACTTCCCAAAACATATTTATTCTTTCTGATACCTTTATTCATACTCCCAGGTCTATTACTACCACAAATACAATGTAATAAAAACAGTCCTAAAGTCCCATTGTTATGAAAATAAGCTATTGAACATAATCATCCATCTCTAGCTATACACTTCTTATGCTTGTTCACCCACTCTCTAAACACATATTCAAACCCGTTCTTGCCCATTTCCTGAAGTCTTGCTAAGACATGTGATCTGATTTCATCAATGCTTCCAAATTTATTTCCTCTTAAGTCACACTCACTTTGAGTTATGCATATAAGCAAAAGTCATTGGGTGCAAGGTCTGGGGAATATGGAGGGTGTGCAAGTAGGGGTAGCCCCAGTGCCCTAATAGTTTCAATAGTGAGCATAGCTGTGTGTGAACTCAGATCAAATAGAAGACGCTTTAAATTCACGGAATAAAGGTAAGAAGGTTTGGGCTACAAACTCTGAAAATTTCATCAAGATTGGTGCAATATTAAGAAAGTTACAATATGTTTCACCTTATTTATTGGACACCCTGTATATGTATACATTTCAAAGAATTTCGTAGATATGGTGAAAAGTTAAAAACGGATTGAATAGGACAAGTCACAAAATCGTGAGTGTGACTTTTTGCTATAAATTAACGTCATAAATTGATATTATAATGGAAGTCTAATTAATAAAACCATCTTGTGATAGAATTCGAGGTAATATCTTTCAGATTCAGAGCTCTTTCTTTAGTTCAAAATTAGGGGTAGGGCTAACATGTAAAACAATAAACTTGAAATTGTAAGATAATTACAACCCTAATCTTTCTCACTTGTTTATACATTCTATTTTATTAGCTTATGTATACCAAAATTTATATCAGATGTGAATATTAATGTGTTTATTGAGCAAAATGGTAACATCCAATCCTTAAAACCACGCGACTATTTAAGGGGTAAAACCATCTAAAAATCATGTTTTAGATGGGTTGTGGCAATCCCATAACCTACTGTCAATGTGTTAATGTTTATTTCAAACCTGTCAGCCATGAACAGTTTGAGATGGGCTTTACAATGGTATGAAAAATTTAGCATACAGAAAATGATATCCTAGCCATAGAGGGAATGAATTATGACAGTGTATAATCGCATTTATTGAAATTTATGACGTAATTCAAAGGAAAAAGTCATATTAGTGAGACAATGTTTTTAACCATTGCTAACTTTTCGAAATGTTCATCTGACTTCTTAAGATTTCCACCTGTTATTCACAATATCAACACCAAAGCCTCAAAGAGTTTAGTATAAAAATGATAAAATAATTTGGATTTTGCGACATTGAAAATGCAAACACCCCACCAACATGTTTTTTCTAGTGTTTTTCAATGTTTTTATTTGTAGATACACTTAGCCTCTGAAAGGAAAAATGGATTCATTAGGTATAAAGTGGAAAACAATACTTCCCATGTTATTTTCCCATAGGGAAAACTCATGCGATCCATTGTTTTCAGCTTAATTTTGATCACCCATGATTGATATCTCAAAACACTTGCTTGAATCCATTTTCCTTTCAAGAGGTTAGGTATGTCTCCAAATGCAACATATTGATGCATAAAGCATTGAAAAAATTGGAAAAGGTTGGCATCAGGAAAACATTTTTGATATAACTGTTGTTGGGAGTGTTTGAACTTTGCCTGTCTCAAAGTCGGGCTCAAAGTCCACAGTTCATTATCATTTCTTTGACTGCTTGTTCTGGAGTAAATGCAATGACCTAACATACACTCCCCTCCACAAGTTTGGCGACCTTAGCTCTCCCATTGAACTACGTGTTAAAGCCTCTTTACGTTTGAATTTTTATTTACTTAACCTGTGATGACAAATAAATAGTGTAAAATATGAGATATAGATTGAGTACAGCTTAATATAAAGAGGGCCTTTCAAAGAAGGGGACCTCAAAAGTCACCGAGCTTCAAAATCTGGACACCAAAATGCCGAGGTCAAAATCTAGGTTTAATTCATAGTTTTTCCTTATTTTTGCGATTCTGACACTATATTTAAGTGATTTGCTTCAAAATTTTGTATACAGGTAGCAAAGAGTCTGGGTGGGTGGGATTTTTGTGTCAGGCGGTATTTAAGACTTCTAACTAATATAGGTATCTGTCATCATGGTGCTTTTTATTGTAGCTCTCGGGGTATCGTGAAGAACCATTTCCCAAATCTCCGGGGTTTGTGGCGAGGTAGAATTCTGAAAATTCTGAAATATAAAATATATGTGCGTGGAATTCATGTTAGTCATTCCCCAATGTATGTTTAATAAATGTACCAAATTTGAAGAAAAATCACCTTATATCTCCCCTTCAAAAATTTCTCAAGAATTCTTGGACACCCTGTACATACATGTTTTGCGAGAATAACTGCCTTAAAACTAGTTTGTGTCGAAACAATAAATTGTAATTATTGGTTTGATCATCATTGTCTTGAATATTCATTGCCTCGTTTATATGAGAACATACATTTTATTATATGTTATAATCTATATAATACTTCAAATCAGATATACTGTATAATACACTAATATATAAAAGTTTAAATGAAATTATATTGTGAATATTGCTGAACGATAAATACTTCTTATTTTCTAAGTAGACTCAGTTGGAGGAGAATGTTGAGGTAAGGTTAAAACTAACGACTAAGGGAAATGACAAATGGTGTAGCATCTAATGCTAGTTAATTGAGATTTTACATACAATATCTAGCATTTTTCAAGACATGGGGGAAGTACTGAAATATGCTTTGGGACGCTAAATATTGTTAATTATTGTCAAGCCAGTTGCGAGTAGCAGTATTTTTATCGCAAAAATAGTCAGTTACGTATAAAATTGATGTGCCCTAAAATAAACGACACCGGGGTCAACAAACTATCTTTTAATGTTTTTTTCTAGTATAACGATTGAACTTAAACTGCACAAAAGGATTCACGACACTAAAATGTTTAAGAATAACAAACTTTCTGGCATAAAATCATTCAAGAAGTTCCAAAACTGAACAACAGAATTTTGATTTTTTGCACACTGGTAAGTTTGATGACTTCAGCTAATTTCATGAAAATCAAAATCACATTTTTATATTTCTATATTTTTTGCTATTGTCTCTCACAAAACGAGACCTCTCATGTTTTGTATGTTATAGTCTAACATTTTACAAAAATATTCCTAAAATTTAGGAAAAAGCAACACAAACCAGTAAGTGTTATAATATTGATATATTATATTTCAGCTCAAAACCTTTCATAATTCTCCTGACGGTGTTGTGTCTCTTGTCAATTATGTTAACAGAGGCTAGGAGAAGACAATGCAAGCAGAAAAATGACATTGTAGGAGCTCCAGGTGGTTTCAAGCACTTCAACCGCGCCCTGCACTTCATAGCACAGGCGTCTCAGAGAGTGTTAGATCCAAAGTTGCCAATGACAGAATGGTGGCATAAGGTCCACAACTGGGCAGGGCGATCAACTAAGAATGAAATTGTTGGCGAAGGTAGGCACTTGTTTGTGTAGACATCCATGTGATAGAATATTACCCTGTAAAGTGAATGTTGATGCATTATTCGTTTTGAGAGATTATTTTCGCTTACAGTTACATTTTAAGTATTTGAAACTTCTTTGAATCAACTAAAAAATAAGCAATCTATGGACAATATTGAAAAAGTATAATGTAAAAATAGAAACATTTATACATTGCCTAACTTTTGTATATTTTAGTTTGTTTTGTAGTTTGGCTATCTTATTATGTAAGGCCTTTTATATTTTGAAGTATCTCTGATGTATCGCAAAAAGCTCGCGCACGCATTGTTACACATTTTGTGGCGTAATCCAGAGGATCCTCGCTTTTAACATGGTAGAATGTGACGTTTTTGAGAAAAATGTACACAAATGAAAATCCTTTCGTCCTCCACATTTACCTCTCTATCTCAAAACATTTTAGACGAATAACTCTGATATCATATATATATTGTTAATGGGCTAGGAGCATCATAAAACACGAATCAATTGATATTTTAGGTGAAATAAATATACGTGTTGCTGTGCTTGAAAATAGGCGAATGGCGTAAATTAGCCCTATTTTGATGAATTTTGAAAACCTTTCGTCCTCCACTTTTCCACATACAACAGAAAACACATACTTTTGCGAACAAAATCAACTATTTATTAATAAACTAGAGTTTAGGAGCAAAATAATCATGTATGATTTATTAAAAATTGATCTCGTATTTTTTGTTTAATGTACACCTGAAAAGTTGAAGGAACAAAAAAATGAGCAGAAAAGGTCGCTGTCAACAGATTCTATTTTTCAAACTCTATGACGTCACAATATGGGACGCTTACTAAAATTCATCCTTTGAAATAAAACTTCTATCTACCTTTATCAAGACGAAAAATAAGTATAATAGTCATATATTGTTTGAGTTATGAGCGTTTAAAGACGAAAAATAATTCAAAATGTAACGTGTCAACAGGGAATATTTGCCAGATGTTTTGGTAAAAAACTCTTTTTTAAAAAAGAACGCGCAAGAATTGTGAACGAAGTGTAGTTGATCTAAAAACTTCATCGAAACCGCTTTAAAATGATATACAACTTTAATTAGAATATTATTTTAGAATCCGGCCAATCAAAGTTACATTCACGCGATACCCCTAAAAAACAAATGCGCCACCTTTTTGCGACACGTCTCTGCAATGTAATTTTTGAAAAGATTAACATGACTGAAACTCCCTAAATTACAAAAGGCAACACCCTTGCTGCACATTTTAAATAACTATCTGAAATATACAAAAGTTAGGACTTGTACATTGCTTATTTTTCAAATTCAAAGTAGTTTCAAACATTTGAAATGTTACTGTACTGACGATGTTGCATGCGTTTTTATCGTACCTAACAAAAGGTACGATATTGTAGTCAGCTTGACGGGCGGCGGGCGGGCGGGCGGCGGGCGGGCGGGCGGCGTCTCACTTTTCACCTTGTCTACAGGTTTCCAGCCAAACCATTAGAGGGATTCATCTGAAATTTTCAGGGATGTTTCTACATATCAACGTCAAGAACTGATTAGTTTTTGGGCATTCTGGGTAAATCTTAAGGTGACCATTTTGGATTTTCCGTCCTAAAATCTTCACTTTCAAGACTTGTCTACAGGTTTCCAGCCAAACCATTTAAGGAATTCATCTGAAATTTTCAGGGATGTTTCTACATATCAACGTCAAGAACTGATTAGTTTTTGGGCATTCTGGGTAAATCTTAAGGTGGCCGTTTTGGATTTTCCGTCCTAAAATCTTCACTTTCAAGACTTGTCTATAGGTTTCCAGCCAAACCATTTGAGGGATTCATCTGAAATTTTCAGGGATGTTTTTACATATCAACGTCAAGAACTGATTAGTTTTTGGGCATTCTGGGTAAATCTTAAGGTGGCCATTTTGGATTTTCCGTCCTAAAATCTTCACTTTCAAGACTTGTCTACAGGTTTCCAGCCAAACCATTTGAGGGATTCATCTGAAATTTTCAGGGATGTTTCTACATATCAACGTCAAGAACTAATTAGTTTTTAGGCATTCTGGGTAAATCTTAAGGTGGCCATTTTGGATTTTCCGTCCTAAAATTTTCACTTTCAAGACTTGTCTACAGGTTTCCAGCCAAACCATTTGAGGGATTCATCTGAAATTTTCAGGGATGTTTCTACATATCAACTTCAAGGACTGATTAGTTTTTGGGCATTCTGGGTAAATTTGAAGGTGGCCATTTTGGATTTTCCGTCCTAAAATCTTTACTTTCAAGACTTGTCTACAGGTTTCCAGCCAAACCTTCTGAGGGATTCATCTGAAAATTTCAGAAATGTTTCTACATATCAACGTCAAGAACTGATTAGTTTTTGGGCATTCTGGTTAAATTTTAAGGTGGCCATTTTGGATTTTCTGTCCTTAAATCTTCACTTTCAAGACTTGTTTACAGATTTTCAGCCAAACCATTCGAGGGATTCATCTGAAATTTTCTGGGATGTTTCTACATATCAACGTCAAGAACTGATTGGTTTTTGGGCATTCTGGTTAAATTTTAAGGTGGCCATTTTGGATTTTCCGTCCTAAAATCTTCACTTTCAAGACTTGTCTACAGGTTTCCAGCCAAACCGTTCAAATTTTTACATATGTTACACAGTGATAAGTTCTAGAGCTGATTAACTTTTCTGCGGCCATCTTGCTTTCTTGGTCAACAAGACCACAATGCTGTGTTTTAGGTACGATATTGTTCACGTCTGTGCCTTGTTCGTTTTTTATTCAACTAAACTAGAAGTGCACTTTTTCAAAACCAATGTCATCATCAAACAATGTTTAGAGAACATATATTGACCATTGGAGCTGGCTTCAATAATTAAAAGTCATATATTTAAAAATGTTGCTTTGTCAAACAAGGATCTTCTGAGTACCGGAATATAATAGACTTCATTGTTCAATTTCTTCTGTTCGGCTTCAATTGGAATCAAAATAATAGCACGAATATTGCCTTTTTCAGGTCTCCGAGCACTCCGTTTTTCTACAAAAGACATGGTATTGACTTGAGGGATCTCGTAACTACGGATGAATTGTACTATGGTAACGTGTCACGCATCATCAATCTAACATCAACGGAATCACCCTATGCTTAGTGAGCGGACCTAATTTCAAGGGTGATGGTAAAGACGATGCATGGCGCCCAAACCTGGCCTGTAACTAGGTGCACTGATGCTTTCTTCGCAAATTACATCGCCATCGCTCGTCATCGAAATTCTGATCGCCGAATAGTAAACATTCATTTTGTATTGGATGTACATAACTAGAGACCGCCTTATTTCGCATATATGAAAAAATAAAACATATCTAGGTACATATATCTTAATATGTGACATCGATCAGGAATTATTGACATATTGACAATATTAGGTTGTAATTTCTTGCGGTAAATTAAAATTGTATCTTTAAACGACTGTTTCATCTTAACTATTCGTTTTATTGGATGTAAAAGAAACAGTATGCATAGTTTAACATCTTTCACTTCTAAAACAGCATAAAATATCACAATATCATCACCTAATGCTGCAATAATACGACTTAAAAGATTATGGTACTAATATTCTTTGGTTTTTGGGCGCCATGCCTCGTCTTACCATCACCCTTGAAATTAGGTCCGCTCACTAAGCATAGGGTGGGAATCCTACAGATTTAAGACCCTCATACTGAAATGGCTCCCAGGCCACCATCATAGAGTGACGACTGAGACAATTGGAATGAAAGTGAACTTCTTTGAAAACCCAGCAATAATTTATGATATTTTGTATGTGGTGGTTCCTCAGGAAGAAGGAGTTTATGGAGGACGATGGCAATAAGAAAACCACTAACCATGTGTTAGCATTTGGCCAGTATTGGATAGACTTCAGGAAATATTGTGGACTTTCAAAGAAAGCGGTAAATATTGTTTTTCTCAAATATTAACAAGGGTTGTCCGAAAAGTGAATATTTTCTCCCATTTAAAGTTTATATTCTTTGTTTTAATTGTGGAGAAGTTTTGTAAGACGTTTAAACGTTTAGATAATCATCTGCGTAATCCGAATCTTAATTAACAACCACGTTGGTGCTACAAATTTTGAAGATGAAACAATTGAATATCATATTTTTCAGGAAAGCATATTCTATCAGTCTGATATACCAATGGAGCCAACTCTCTACATGTGTTCAGTTTACAGTTCCATATGGGAGCATGGTCAAGGGGAAGGTGCAATATGGATAGACGGTGAAAGAGCTGTGCTGCAGAATTTCATTGCTTTCCCACCACCTTAATAAAGATGAAATAAAAAATGTATTGATAGTAATTGAAAAAATCGAAAAAAATCGAAAAAAATCAGTGAATTACCAGCACCATTTGTAACCCCGTGTTTAAAAGGCCGTTGTGATCTGAGAACATTTTTGAAATATGAAACAACCTATCGGTCCCGGACCTCGGCGATACAATCAGCTCACTAGATACACCGTCACGTTTCCGCTCGTTATATACCTAGAACCTCTGTCGTAGGTATGAAATATACCATGATGTAATAATTGAGAGGGGATTAGAATATGACAAATTAATCTTAATAAAAATGAAACTTTTATATGATTTTTGCTGTCTTTTGCTACCCTGCGCGCAGAATTTAGTTATTAACTACTGAGACGAAGCTCTCTTTTAAGAAGTGAAGTCGAACGAATGCAAAACTTGCTTAAGTTCTAGCATGGGCTGATTCTAGCCAGAGGGGGAGCCGGGAAAGCGGAAGCTGCGGCCTAAACTTTTTCCCATTCTGAGCACTTTTCGGATGCATTTTTAGCCAAAAATGTAAAAACTCCCCATGGCAAAAATCCCCCGGGTTAATCCTGGCTACGGGCAAGAGTATATTCATTTAGGATTTATGTTAGGTGTTAAGGTCATAGGAGTTGACCTCCTTAGAGCACAACACATAGGAGTTGACCTACATTAGCATAAATCATTGCTAGTATTAGTTTAGAGTTAGTTAATGTTCACCCAAGTATCTTATTAATGTATGGTATAAATGTTTGTATTCATATGTTTATGCACCGAAGCATACGTATGAGAGGGGCGGCGGACCATATTTGAAAGGGGGGCGTGCATTTGTCTAGAAAATATAGGTGGTACGGCAACAGATTGCGTGTCCGAAAGTCGCGCACCTGGGGGTTCCGGGAGCATGCTCCCGGGAAATTTATATTCGAAGACGTTATTTGGTGCAGTCTGAGTCTTTTTAAGGACTATGAATGGTTCTTTTCTGGTAAAAAAGCATTTTTTCACATGGCTAGCAACGTTCGCACCCAACCCCCCCCCCCCCCCCCCTTCTGGCGCAGATACGAAAGGAAATTAAGATAAAAACTCTCATTGTTCATCCTACATGTACTAAATGGTCACACTTAACTGAACACGGGTAATATACGATTTTTTACATTACTGTCATTATTATTAAAATACATTATACAATATAAATCATAATTAAATACAAGCCTTCTGTGTAACAGTAAGACAATAATACATGCTTTCCTTCAGCAACGTCAGTGTGACATTCGGTATGAAAGGGATACTCGTCGTAGAAACATACATTATATAAAGCTGTTATATTGTTGATATTTATATGTATTGTAGGTTCAGGATATGATAAATAAACTAGATATTTGATGTTTTATTGACAAACTTTATTTTCACGTTTTTGGAGTAGGAAGTAGGTGGCGTGGTGCACAGAGCACTGACACCTATTGGCAGACATTAACATTAAAACACAATATTATCAAAATAGTTGTGCTAGCTTATTTCTATGAACATAACAAAAGCTACCTATTTTTACTTATTTTTTTAACTTTTAATTAAATTGGGTGTAAAATTGCTTGGTTAGAAATAGATGACAAAATAGAAAAAGAAATTAGAGCACAATCATTATGATTGAGTAATGACGATGTCATTAGCAGTTCGAGAGGAGCGGGGATGTTAAAGCTGGACTACGCTCCGAAACGCAATCTTGGGTTGTTTCGGGGGTGAACTTTATCATTTTGAGCTTGATGAAAGATTATAGAATGATGAACAAATGGGGCAAATCTTGTGTAGAAATACTTACGATAAATGTGTCATTTCAAAGATTTTTCATTGAATTTGCTTCGATCGGAGCCGGCGATATGATTTTGAAAAGGTTTCTAAATGAAGAACGTGACGTCACTTCCGAATCATTGCAGTCAAGATAAGTAGCGTTTAATTACTGCCTCCACTCATAATAATATGGTGGTGTAGCGGTAGAATCCTCGCCGAGCACCCGGAGGCCCGGGTTCGAATCCCGCATTCGCCTTTTTATTTTTTTAACTAAATGATTGTTCTTTGATATTACGCAGAAAAAAATAATTTTTGTTTACATAAACTTTATATTAGAGCTTGAAAATGTAAAAACAATATATGTCAACATATTGCGTTTTGGAGCGATGTGCAGGTCAAATAGAATGTGATAATTTTGAAATCATTAACCTAATTATACAGAACATTTAAAAAATAATAAACCAGAGGTTAGCTTCAATTGTGGCACCATTCTCATAAATATTGATGAACATATGAATTTCGAATGTTGACTTACTTAGTGAACCTGACTGATATTCAGTCCATAAAGATACTGTACAAGTATCTTTCATTGATCATGTCCTAGATGGAGCCCTAGATAGTCTCATCTGACATAATTTTGTGAATTATTGCCGGATTGATTTATTGGTCTATATTGGAGCATATATTACCACATGTTTTAAAAGCTGTTTTTCTGGTTCGTTTAACATATTAGAATCGTAACAAAGACCTCGATTCTATGATTTATGTAAAATATATGACCTCAGATTTTATTCTAGCCATTGCCAAAGACTCCGGTCATATAGTGCGCCATAAATTATAGAATCTTTATTCATTAAATATAAATCATTAAACATTCATGTTTTGTTGACCTAAATAATCAGAAGTGCAACACAAATACACAAAAGAGTCACTATTGGATAAGATCCATGACATTAATTCAAATCATTTATTAATATACACTTTAAAACATGAATTATTGCTTCTATGCTACCTAGCGTATATACAGGGTGTCAAATAGCGTTGTGCCCCTTTCAGTAGAAACTAGGAGAAGTACCAATACATTCTGTATGTCATTGGAAAGAGTAATCAATTCTGGATAAAATAAATCAAAGATGACCAAGGTCAAATATTGCTCCATCGAGTCCTCTTTTTATTGATTTTGAAGAAATCCTGCATAGACTTTTTTGGTATTGATGTACAGGGTTGGCCAAAAACGCTACTTTTTTCAGAATGCTATTACTTTTTTAATTTTTGATACAAAATCATAATTTGAATACCAACTGAAACTTGAGGTTGTTTTCTAGTCATGGATCATGAATTATACACTTTTACCTGAATAAAATATGTCACCAGCGTCTCGTTTAAACATGTGGTGTGCCATGAGAAATAAGCATAATTTACAAAATGTTCCTGAACTGATACGGCCTGATGATCGCCAAGCTAATAGCCCTGATACAAACCCCAGTGAGTATAGGGTATGGGAAGGTCTCCAGGAGATTGTATGAAGGCACTCAATCTAGAAAATTGCTCAACTTAAGCTGGCTATTAAGAGCGGTTGAAAAAAACTTAGCTAACATTCCATTGATACTGCTATAACAGCAAGGCGACTAAAACTAAAATATATCATCAAATAGGGTGGAGGACCAATTGAACTCCTCTTTTAGATCAAATATAAAACACGTTAAAGAAATTGTTACATTATATTATTACCAAGAACCCCTGGCACTATATAACTGCAAATTTTGGGTATGTAGGATGGAAAATAAAAAAACGTTGTAGTGTCTTGAAAAAAGTGGCGTTTTTTGGCCCACCCTTTATATATACCCGAGTAACAAGTCTGACTTGAACGCTGCAGTCTGCAGATCACAAGGGGGCCATTTTTAAAATGGATAAAACAGAGCAACTTATGAAAACTAAAGCTACTGGGAACTGATATTCCAAAGATGTGCACACGAACATCAAAAAGTATTGAGATCTCTAGAGAAAGACACCGCTCTTTTCCATGCCCCTTCAACTGATCACCTCCAGCTAGACTGGCAGCCCATTTGAGCTGTCAAAGATGGTCATACTCACTTTATTTGGAATATGTCCTTTTTTCTATCATGCATCTTTATCTTTTAAAACGTCAACAATAATTAAATGCTCTTAATCAATACCACTGATGTTCCTTGTTTCAATACAGACAGAACAGAAACCCCAGCAAAATATCTTTACAAGCTATTAAAAAAAGACTGCTCTTAGGGTGTCCGTCTTGCTCCACTGTCCCCTAACATCATTTGACACCCCGTAAAAACATATTTTGAATAGCAACAGCCTTACCAACTTGTATGCCTGTTTTTGTAAGATAATAAATTGAAATCATTGATTTGAATTTTGAAGCTAATTTATTAAAATGTATATTTATTGTATCATTTATATGACAAAATACATTTATACTATAAAATTATAATTTACAACATTAAGATTAAATAACGTGATTAATTGACATTGCTGAAGGATAAATACTGAACATTTTTTAGGTTGACGCTGTCATTTGACTGGAGGAAAATGTTGAGGTTAGGTTTGTCAGAAATTTTCTTATTTAGATTTTTTACAATAATATTTTTTTGACGACGATTTTCTGTTCGTTTATTTTTTCGAATTAGTGAATGTAAGTAGAATATAAAAACCAGCGTAAAAACTTAGATCTTTATTTTCAGATTCAGGAACCCTCTCCATCTACGTTGTCTTAGTTGGGCTTCTTAGCTTCGCCCATATAAGAAAAGTTATTATTAAAGTCACTTTATAAGCATAATTACGTAACTCGAGCGACAAACATCCCTACCTAGGACATTCCATGAGGACACTCGCGTTCATTTTTTATTAATATTTTTCAGTTTTTATTATCCGAGGTTATTTTTGTATTTAGTGCTTTCGGAAATACTGGAAAATGTATCCTCTTTTTCATTATACAAGATTTGTGCAGTGTTTTAGATTTTACAAAACATTGAACAACGAGCAAAGTGTCATCATACTCCAGCTCAAAATCTTCCATAATTCTACTGATGGTGCTATGTTTCCTGTCAGTTATGTTAATAGAGGGTGGAAGAAAACAATGCAAGCAGCAAAATGGAGGAGCATACGGTGGTTTCAAGCACTACAACCGCACCTTGTTCTATGTAGCACAGGGGACTAAGGCGGTAATGGATCCAAAGTTGCCAATGACAGAATGGTGGCATAAGGTCCAAGGCTGGGCAGGGCGAACAACTAAGAATGAAATTATTGGCGAAGGTAGGTCAGTGGTTCAGGCCTGTAGCCAGGATTTGCCATGCCAAGGGGGGTTCAATTTCTAAAAAAATCAAGGGTGGTTCACTTTTGACGGTCCAAAAATGGCCCAAATCACTTGAAAAGTGCTCGGAATGGTGAAAAAATGCATGATTTTGAAGAATCTTTTGCCCGAGAGAGGGGGCCTGCTGGTTTGTTCGAAAAAGGCACGTATAGTGGATTTCTGCATAAATTGCAGAGGCTCATAAAATATAGACCATTGGAGCTGAGTAAAAGTAATTCAAATTCATTATATTAAAGCATTCAGTTTTGCAAAACAAGAATCTTCTGAGTAGCAGAATTGACTTGATTTTTAGTTTCCCTCTGTGTACTTGAGCATATGTTGCCTATTATTTCAAGTCTCCGAGCACTCCATTTTTTTCATGAAAGATATGGCATTGACCTAAGATCCCTCGTGACAACTGATGAACTGTACTATGGTAATGTGACACGCATCATTAATGTAACATCAACGGAATCTTATAGATTTAGGACCCTCGTACTAAAATGGCTTCCTGGGCAGGATTGTAGGCTGATAACTGAGACAATTGGAGAGAAAGTGAACTTCTTTGAAAACCCTGCAATAGTTAATGACTTTTTGTATGAGCTAGCTCCTCAAGACGAAGGGATTTATGGAGGGACGTACTCCGGCAAAAAAACACGAACCATTTTTTAGTTTTTGGGCAGTTTTGGATAGACTTCAAGAAATATTGTGGACTCTCAAAACGAGCGGTATATTAGTTATGTTCCTAAAATATTTATCCACGTTATCAATGGTCAGTATCAAGCGAAGTTTACGGCCGTCACCTTTGCATTTAAAATGGCGAACGGGAAGTTTCGATTTCGATAATGCGATGAAAACTAAAAATATCGAAATCGACACTTCCCGCCCGCCATCTTAAATGCGGAGGTGACGGCCGTAACCTTCGCTTGATACTTACCGGTGGTTATGGTGAATGTTCACTGTCTCATGACGTTGCAAATGCGTGTGAAATTTTTTTATCCGATGAAACAACATGAACAAGGTCGAAATTGACGTACATGTATGATTTCGACATTCGTATTTCGAGTTTCGACATAGGGATAATTCTTAAACTATATGTTGCGAATCTCGAGGGATCGTAGTCCAAAGTATACATGTACAGGTACATGAAGGCTAATATGCTTGTCTTAAAAATACTTTCTATTTAATTTTCAGGAAAGCATATTCTATCAGTCTGATATACCGATGGATCCACCAATAAACATGTGTACAATGTACAGTCCTATATGGGGACGCGGCCAGACAGAAGGTGCAATATGGATAGACGGTGAAAGATCTGTATTCCAAGGCTTCGTTACATTCCCACCACCATGATCAATAAATAAAATAAACAAAAAATTATGAATATTTGTTGAAATAAAAAAGTGTTCGTTTTTCTGATTATCCCATATGTTACGGTTAATAGTATTTAATAGTATTATTATTATACCCGGGGGTTAATTTGATATGACTCAATCCGAATAGCAGTTTTAATTTGTGAGGCCAATGTTGATGGACGGACGGCTGGTCGATCCCATAGGCAACCATCTTTCATCATACTTGTTCTAGATAGGGACTAGAGAGCCCGAGATGATCACACTAGACATAACACAAGTAATATATAATTTTTTACATTACAGTATATTTTATTTACATTATACAATATAGCCTAAATCATTTCACAAACGCATTGCTGTGTAAGACAATAACATGATTTTTTTGTTCAACAATGTGAAATTTATTATGAAATGGGCACTGGTTGTTTATACATGATATCGCATTATGCATGTTTGATATTAAAAAGTGATGATGAATTTTATTCTTATATTCATTTTTGATCAAATGCTATGCTTGAATGCTTCACAAACACAGTAACTTGTTGGATATTTGCAGAGTTAATTTTTAAATATAATACCTGGGCGCTTTTACCAAGGGGGGGGGGGGGGGGCTTTTGCCAAGAATTAAAACAGCCACCAAATTAATTAAGTAGAAGTACAGAAATACAACCAGTGCTATTTAAGGAATGAAAAAATAATTGTATAACATCTAATTTTACTGTATAATTATATGGCACTGAAGATTAAATTAAACTAAACATTGTTATAAATTCAGGAATCTTGGCTCATGTGAAAATACAAAGTTTAGCATTTCTGAGAACAATAACAACTACATGTACATGTACATGACTACAAAAGTCCATCTTAATTCTACACAGCTTATTTCTAATTGATTATTTATCTAGCGGATTATACTACAGTACAATTATATTTGGCAATCAAGTATATTGGCAATATTGGTTTTAACATGGTATATCTACTACACATCTTTAGCTGTCTACCCGAGCTCATGCAGCTTAATACTTAGGGATGGTATCTATTGTAAACAGTTGTGGAGGAATGAGGTTATACAGGGTGGGCAAAAAATAACAAATACCCATAATTGTTTAATAAAAAAAGGAAAATTCTTCAATGCAAAAATGTGATTTTCAAATGCAATTCAAGTAACTAGAAAATTAACATTAACCCTATTATACTTAGTATTTAGGGAGGGTAAGACTATACCAAATGGAACTCAATTTTTCCAGCAACTGTTAACATTTGGATGTCATCCCTTGACACATGATGAAATTCAATTTTCCTGCTTATTAATCCATTGTTCACATAGCATGGCGTAAGACCATTATTATATGTCAAATTATATCAATGGTAAAATAACAACATTAATAATAATCCTGTAATAATAAGCATCCTGTTTGTGTGTGTATTCATAATACTAACATATAAATAAAATTTCAATTTCATCTTCAGCAAGATTCAAATTCATTTATCATACATAAATTTATTCTAAGCTATACACAAGGTTATACATTATAAGTAAAAAATCAAGATTCAGTTTATAACTGTTGATACATAAAATCAGAATTATTTTTATATTGCATGATTGCTAAAATACTACAGATCTACTAATCATATTTCGTAAAGAAATAAAATGTGCATTTCTATACGTGAGCACCTTAAGATTTTTCATTGAGACCAAATAAGACATGTACATATCAGAGGCTGTTTAACCCTTGTCTCACTATGTGTGACTATAGTCATGGATTGTGTGAAAAGGGTTAAGCCAGAATTCGTATCTAATGTCACACATAACAGATACACTGTATGAATGTATAAATTTGGTCAACCATTATGCACTAAAATTACAGGGTATTAACATGCAAAATGTCACAACCTGCCATTTTTTACAGACATCAAACTCCAAATGTCGACAGCCAAACTCTGTTCACAAAAAGGTTTAAGACTATAACAATATGTCACCACTTCATCCTAGTTAACCCCACAATATTTCAAATTCATAATGTTATGCATTTTGGTCAACAATGTATACATACACAGACTCTTCTTTCTTTCCTGAAAATATGAACTAGTAATTTTCAAGATATAGCAATTTCTTTGGGTTGCATTTTTTTGAACACCCTCCATACACCTTCTTTTTTTAAGATCATCAAAGTAATCGAAATTGCTTACCTAATACTGTACTATTAGTTAAAAGCACGATAAGTTCCAAACTGATTTTTAAGATTTGGATAATTAGGCTACAAAAGATGTGGTCAATATCAAAGGGTAGGCTATAGAAAAACAATATCATTATGAATATAAAATATTTTGGGGTTATTAAGAATAGGAACTACATGGATATTGGCCTTTAATCTAAACTGTCCACTTTTAATTGCTCCCAAATGTTGTTGCTCGTCTCCTTCCTGGCAAAGACATGATATTCCTGAGGCAGTCTCCCAGCTTTGCAGTGTGATGATTTCTCTTTCCTCTGCAGACACTTGTTTTTAGGTAATAGTTATACATCACCACTATGGCTTCATTAAGCTTAACTCATATCGATAAAATTAATCAAATTATCAATTAACTATTAACAGTAATTAAAATTAATCAAATTATCAATTAACTTTTAACACTAATTCATTAAAAAGCGTAAAATAGTGTAAAAAAGAGATATAATTATTTCAGTTGAGTATGGTCATTTCTTGTGAATGAGAGAAAAATGAAATCAAGTACAAGCAGAGATGAGGAAATATATCACTGAATGAAAGCTGGGACACCTGAGGTTAGCTGTATGCGCATGTTTTATTGGTTGTCGTGCATGTCGACGGGTTGTGTATAGAAATATTTCTCCAAGAGATCATTTGTTTGTGCACGGAGTTGTTCGTTGCTATGGTACTCTAACAACTCTAAAGCTCCCATACCTCCGGCCTCTTCAAAGATCTTCTTTGCCTGAATACATTAAATTCAAAACAAGGTATTAACATGCAAAATGTCACCACCTGCTATTTGTTAAAGAAGATGACTGCCGAACAGCAACTGCTGAATTCCAACCACCAAACACCATCCACAAAAAAGTTGGAGACTTAGTGTATTCGCGAAATGCAAGTTTTGGCTGTAATCTACCAGATTAACCTAGTATTTCTAGACCAACTCATTTAAATATTAATGGAATAGTGGCAGGTACTATTCATATCTAAATAAGTTGGCCATAGAAAAGTAGGTTAATCCGGTAGCCGACAGCCGAAAGTTGCATTCCCTTCTGGTGGTAACATAAAAAATATTCAGTAATTGATAGCTTAATTAATTCTATTCATTTGGAGTTAAACTTTTTCTGAAATATTCTATAATAATATAAGTTAATATAAGATACTTATTTCTATTCTAAAGCTGGTTCATATTCACTGTACTTTTTGTTATAATAAATCATTACCTAGATTAAGGTCATTAAAATTTGAAAATGGTTTCTTAACTAGTCATACAAACTCCAAAAGTAAGTTTTTGAGACATTCTTTATGCTGAAAACGAGCTAAATAAAGACAATACTGAAAAGATTATGCTGAAAAACTATTAATGAACCTAGCGAAATTGAATAAAATCAAAACTCCTTAAAGGGCCTGTGTTAAGTTTGAAAATATAGTATACTTTATATGGGGCCTTTAAGGGGCAGTTTATAAATAGACTTACATTATCAGTGAGTCGGAGCATCATCTCAACGAAAGACAAAGACACATGAGTGACATCTATATCAGTGGACTTGAGTAGAGGGACAACTCCTTGTACGACACCAGCTTTTAACATCTCTTGACAGAAGTTAGGACCCTGATAGGCTAAGTTACAAAGACAGTAAACAGCCTTAAATAAAACAAAGAATACAATTAACAGCTAAAAATATAATAACAACCAGAACAACGGCAACGCCAAAGCGTAGCGAATCCCATCGAACAGAAATGGCTGGCATTTTTACATTTGAAATAATAGCAAATATCATAAAATAACACCCATAAGAAAGGCCACCATTTTCAAAATGGTTGATCACTAGCCAAGTTGTCATCAGAAGAAGTAATATGCTTATAAGTAGCCACATATAAAATTCTTAAATTCTTTGGCCATTTTTTAAAATGGCCGCTTACAACCCAAAATTTCATAAGACAGTATGCAATCCTTATGAGTATTCACATATCAAATATGAACAAAATCGCTCTATTACTTTTTGAGTTATAATAAAAAATGTAAAATAACACACATAAAAAGGGTGGCCATTTTTCCAAATGGCCGACTACTCCCCAAAGTTTTATTAGACAATGTGGCATGCTTAAAAGTATTCACATATCAAATATGAACAAAATCGCTCCACTACTTTACAAGTTATAGTAAAAAACGTATACCCAAAGTGTCATTAGACAGTGTGCCATGCTTATAGTATTAACATATAAAGTATGAACAAAATCGCTCTATTACTTTTTGAGTTATAATAAAAAATGTAAAATAACACACGTAAAAATGGTGGCCATTTTTCAAAATGGCCGCCTACTACCCAAAATGTCACTAGACATTGTGCCATGCTTAAAGTATTCACATACCGAATATGAACAAAATCGCTCCACTACTTTCTGACTTACAGTAAAAAATGTTAAATAACACACGTAAAAATGGCGGCCATTTTTCAAAATGGCCGCCTACTACCCAAAATGTCATTAGACATTGTGCCATGCAGTATTCACATACCAAATATGAACAAAATCGCTCCACTACTTTTCAAGTTACAGCAAAAATCGTAAAATGATGTGCAAAGGCAGACATTTTTCAAGATGGCTGCCATGTATTTCTTCTATATTTACATTTCTAGCTAAATCAATGTTTCATATAACTTTTTTACAATTAAAACATATTGCTATTACAGTTTTATATGCAGTACATAAATTACTGTAAAATCGGCACTAAAATGGCTGCAATTTTTTTTTGAGCAGCTATTTTGAAAATCGGTTTTCGAGCAGAACTTCTACCCCAATTGGGTATATGTATACAAAATATGAACAAAATCGGGCCAGCGGTATTTGAGTTATTGCCCGGACGGACGGACGGACAGACGGACGGACGGACAGACGGACGGACGGACGTCATTTGTTGTTGCTGCATTGGTTTCTTCATTCATTTTCTTCTTTCTTTGTCTTGATTTGATTGCGATGTTACTTATCTTTCTTCAGGGTCCACAGACTTGAGACTGCGCATAGGTGGGTTAAACGTTTTGATCCGGCCGGAAAACTCTCCCCTTCCCCTTACTGTTGGTCTTATGCTGATTTGTCATCTTAGTTTACCCTCTTTGCGGAGAAGATACTGTTTCATATTCATTTGTTAATGTTCTCTTCTCTCATTAATTTTCCAGTCCTTCATGATGATATTCTCCTGCATATTGTATTTAGTACATATCCATTTATTTCTTGTTATAGCTTTCTTAGTATACGAATTTAGTATGTTGCTCCTGTAGCCTTGACATTGTAGTTTATTTCCCAGGCTGGTAACTCTGTTTGTTGCATCTTCCAGTTGACTGCAGATTCTTGAAATCCTTATTATTTGTGATATAAATATTCCATAAGATTGGTTTCTAGGAATATTTCCAGATAGATCAGGATATGAGACTATTTGGAAATTGAAGTTTTCCCTTTTGTCGTATAGTTTTGTAGTGATTTGTTTATTTACTATTTTCATTTGTATGTCCAGAAAAGTTGTTTCTGTATCCTTCTCATTTTCCTTGTTTAACACTAGTTCTTCAGGATAGATGTTTTTCATATCAGTCTCCATTTCTCCGTCGTTGTTTATAGTACATAAATCATCGATGAATCTTGTAGTTTTAGCATATTTTAGTACTTTGGAGTAGTCTTCCCTATACATTTTCTCAATGGCTTGAAATTCATAACTGTATAAGTATAGGTTTGCCATATATGGCGCCGGATCGATTCCCATCGGTATTCCAATTTTCTGTCTTAGAATTGATTTCCCTGCTTTAAAGTAGGCTGTATCCACGATGAAATCCACTAGATCATTGCACTCTCCTTTGGTATATGCCTTTTTATTATCCGCCTTTCCACCCCATTTGGCTTCATCTCCACCTACTGTTATCTTTTGGTTAGTTCCTCCTCTGAAGGCTTTATCTATCACCCATTTCAGTTTTTCCTTTATGTCAGTTAGATTAATCTTTGTGTATAGTGTAGAGAAATCATACGAGGCTATGTTTCTTGCCCCGTTCCTTAAATTTACACTTTTAATGTTATCTAACATATTTTGGTTATTGTCACTGATCCACATCCTATTGGCACCTGTATAATCCTTAATCTTCTCACAGTATCTTTTGTTAGTATATTGCACTAGTTTAAGAATTTTGGTCAGTTTTTTGGCAGCTGGTTTTACAGAACTTTTCTTTGAGCCAATGATATATCTAAATTTAATTGGCTGTTTATGCATTTTAATTGTAAGATGAATCCTTGGTATAATATTTTGTTCTTCTCCCGGTTCAATCTTGAATTTTGTTTTCATTGTCTCTTTGATTTCCTCCACTATATCTTCTTCTCCTTTATCTTCTATCCTTTGATAGGTGTCACTCCCAATTTCCTCTTTAATCTTCTTTATGTAGTATTGTTTGCACATAAACCCAATATTATTTGCTGCCTTATCAATAGGTACAATGGCATATTTTTCCTTGAGTTGATTGAGTTCTTCCATAGCATTATGGTCCTTTAGTGTCTGCTTTGGATTTTTAATATGTCTAAATTTTGTATTTTGAAGTAACTCAATCTTTTGTTTAACCTTTTCCATTACAGTATTTTTCCATTCATTTAAGTATACTTTTGAAACTTTTTCATTTTTTGTCCAACTTATTGCATATTCATCTATTCCTTTCTTTATTTCTTCTGACGGACGGAAGTGTTCCCTTTATCCCTCCGAACTTCGTTCGATGGGATAAAAAATACAGTCACATGGGCCACAAATATCATGTGAATTAAAGTTAGGGCCCTGATAGGCTAGGTTACAAAGACAGTAAACGGCCTAAAATATAACAAGGAATATATTCTCAATGGCTACAAATAGCTTGTGAATTAGTTATGACCCTTATAGGCTAGATTACAAAGACAGTAAATGGCCTAGAATATCAGAAAAAACAAAAAATCTCAGGGGCAGGTAACACTTATACTGTACGCCCGGTATTATTCGCGAGATTTAATTTCGCGAAAAACACTATTTCGCGGCTATTAAATTTCGCGAATTTCACAAGTTTGAAATTCATTACTATTATTTATCATTACTATTCCAGGAATTCTCGAGCTACTCGTGTGTAAATTAAGTTAGATGTACAGTAATTGCACTTACCTCATATTTGGATGAGATTTACAATAACTGGGATATTTATCATCGGCAAGCTGCATATCAACCTCTATTGCATCGTCATTTTTAATATTAAAGCAAAAGTGCGTGGCTCCCATAATAACTTTACCGAAATGCATCAGAGCCCCGGGTAAAAACAAATTCCCGGGGATTTAATTGGCAATTTCGAGGTGATAAATTTTCGCGATTTTAACACCCTCGCGTAAAGCGCGAAACTAAATCGCACGCGAATAATACCGGGCGTACAGTATCTCATAAATTATACAATTTGTTTAATTCAATTTTCTTTTTGAAACTAGAAAATCAAAATCAATTGATTGTGTATATCTACAATAACTTTAAACAAAAAGAAAGTAGCATGCCCCTAAAATGAATAAAATGCGTGGAGCGGAGGAACAAGATGTTGCAAGAAAATGCTTTGGGATTATTCATATAGCAATTAATCAATAAATTACACTGTAATTTATTTTTCAAGTGCTTTTAATTGATTTAACTTTTTCATGGAAATATAAATCTTGCAAATTCTCAAATATTCTTGCAAAAATAGTACAATCTCATTCTGGTGTGGCAGAGCCCCTCTTATCTGCCCTTTGGAAGAGTCAGCAGGGCTATCATGATGGCACAATCCCCTCAGTGCATTTTGTCTGTGTTAGGGGCATGACTTGTTAATTGCTACTTGATTGATCTATTGAATAAATCATATTGCATATGGAATATAATGACTAAAATTGTGCAATCACACTTACTTCTCTTTTAATATCAAAAGATGTCCCCAGTAGTGCTATGATCGGAGCAAGAAGGCCATGATCAAGCACACTCTGACATACGCTAGTGTCACCTAGAAGTATATTAAATAAATATAGATAGTATAAATATTTGTGTTTGTTGGCATGGTGTTAATAAACAATGTCAATATAAAGTATGCAAATACTAACGTAAAATCAAATTCAATTTCATTTAACGACCTTGGAAGATGTCATTGGATATGTCACCACTGGAGAGCAATTTCAACAAATTAATGCCTGTGTAAGAACATTTGCTATAACAATTCGTATGTCATCACAAAATAGTGGAAAAACTCATAAAATTGTGAAGCACTAGGTACATAAATTGTAGAAGAATGGTCAGAATGTAGAACTCTTCAGTAACCACTCTATAATTGAGCCCACACAAAACATTTAATGCAGATACCATGAGTGATACTGGTGTAAAGGCAATGGCCATTTTGAATGTAAATTAGTGATATCATGAACAAAGTTGTGTTGTGTCTTCAATAATATATATGTGTGGTTGATACCTGTATATCAAGGGAATTTTTTCTTTAAGTAATGATAGTCAGAATGTATGAATCGTTACTAACCTGTCATATTTGATAAGGCCTAGAGACATTCTTTCCTTACATGATGATGGTCAGAATGTATGAATCGTTACTAACCTGTCATATTTGATAAGGCCTAGAGACATTCTTTCCTTACATGATAGTGGTCAGAATGTAGGAATCTTTGCTAACCTGTCATATTAGATAAGGCCCAGAGACATTCATTCCTTACATGATGATGGTCAGAATGTAGGAATCTGTACTAACCTGTCATATTAGATAAGGCCCAGAGACATTCTTTCCTTACATGGTGATGGTCAGAATGTAGGAATCTGTACTAACCTGTCATATTAGATAAGGCCCAGAGACATTCTTTCCTTACATGATGATGGTCAGAATGTATGAATCTTCACTAACCTGTCATATTGGATAAAGCCCAGAGACATTCTTTCCTTAGAATGGTCAGAATGTATGAATTTTTACTAACCTGTCATATTGGATAAAGCAAAGAGACATTCTTTCCTTACATGATGGTGGTCAGAATGTATGAATTTTCACTAACCTGTCATATTGGATAAAGCCCAGAGACATTCTTTCCTTACATGATGATGGTCAGAATGTAGGAATCTTTACTAACCTGTCATATTAGATAAGGCCCAGAGACATTCTTTCCTTACATGATAGTGGTCAGAATGTTGGAATCTTTACTAACTTGTCATATTAGATAAGGCCCAGAGACATTCTTTCTTTACATGATGGTGGTCAGAATGTAGGAATCTTTACTAACCTGTCATATTTGATAAGGCCCAGAGACATTCTTTCCTTACATGATGATGGTCAGAATGTAGGAATCTACCAAGGGCTGGTACAAGCTCCTTATTTTGACAGATTCTTTGGGTAATTTCATTTGGTCCGCTGCAAACATTACCAAGACATCTCAAGGCAGGTGTGAGTATCTGCAATATAACCGAATTATTCATACAAACATGACCTGTGATTCTGCAAATTGCACTTTTACTAACGATTCTGGCAGCCTGTATTGAATGACTGACTGTAATTCTGACCCACATTTAAGAATCTCAACAAATATGTAGAATACAAATGTGACCTCTCCAGCTTGCTGATGGTCTGTTTTGCCCCAGATTTGATTTCTCCCCTTTTGTCATGTATCACTAAAATTACTGTTATGCATATTACTATGTGTCTTTAATAAATTCTACAGTCTACTAGCTGTAACTTAAAAGGCAACATCTACAGCAAACATCTACTTATCTTGGATTGCAGTTAGGAGATTCAATGCTTTGCATTAGTCGCTTACTAAGTATATGAATATATATTAAGTTAAAAACACCACTTAAGTTAATTATTACCATACCCCTAGATCAGAGGAAGGACCCATACTACAGAAGTGCCAAATGTAACATCACCTGTATGTTATGTTCCTGAGTATTGGAGACTGCAACCAGAAGTGTGGCCAGTGTCTCCAGAAATCCACCATCAACCAGCTCTTTCTCATGGTCCCCACTACAAATATATAAAAAAAAACTAAATATTAATCTTACTGTATACACAACAACTACATGTATATAAACCTCTATGTATATAGACCTTTTCAATTTTTAAAAAACTTTCCCTCTTTGCCACAGACAAAAATCTACAGTGGCTATTTTAAAGATTGATGACGCAATGGACTAGATGCAGGTAGAAATGATCTTGATTTTCATCATGAAATATTCAAAATTTAGTCAAAATGATATCGTAATCTAAATTACATGTACAGTTACATCTAAAATGTGGTGTTAAAAATTGTTTATCAACTTTGAATTTAATTTCCGTTGAAAATGTGACTTATATAGGCTGAATAGATTCGGCATAGAGGCCATGATTTAAAAACAAGAAACTTTGTCATCAATGTTTCTAATCAATGAAGGATTAATTTATCATGATTTGTAAAAAATAGCTTATATTATTATATCACTGTCATATTCCTCACTCTCTGATTGGTCTTATTCCTACACGTGACTGAGAAATACATGTAACAAGTGATATCCAATATTTGACTTCACAACTTAGTCTAGTGTAGTTTTGATTTTATATATCCCCGGGAGTACATTGTTATGCTTAATTAGACATCAACAGTTTGTTATTCCATTAATGTGAGTGAGGAATATATAACAGGGAATAACAAAACAAATATTTAATTCTATTGAGGTGAATACCTGTGAATTTTTCACAAGTGATATTCCATGAAGCCCAAAGGGCTAGTGGAATATCATCTTGTTAAAGTGTCACAATCAAATTAAATATTTGTATAATATTGTTTGTAAATATAACTACCTACAATCCATGTCATCATGAACTTAAAGCAAATATACCCTAGTTATTTTATGCAGTAAAACGATTAATCATAAATTCAAAATATCCTTCACATTACAGCTCATCCCTGCGTTAATGTCTACACTTGGGAAAATAGTTTCATTTGAAAATTTACAACTACCGTGATTTTTTCTGATCATAAATACCTAACATTTCAACTCTCAAAAGCACATTAAAGCTACATTTGAAACACATATGCAAATGTGAATTTTTATTGAAAACATGGACGAATAAAATTCCAAGGCTCCTTGTAGAAATCAGCGCCCTATTTATTTATTCATTTATTATTTAGACCTACACTTTTATATCAGTGGTACACTAAAAATATTTAGGTGCGTCTCCAGCCTAAATACATTCATGATCATTAAAATATCTAAAATAGTTCTTATAAGTCAGGTTTAAAAATCTTTGTTAAAAACGGTTTTACCAGTCCATCTACAATATAAAATTGATCATGCCCCCATTGACTAAGAACATCATCACCTAACATTAAATAGAGTTCATTTCCGAAGTATAGGATATAAAATAATTTAACACATTCTCATTGCATGTGTCTAGTAACTTACAATAGAAGTGTGTTCTTTCTTTGTTAAAGAAAGAACATGTCTGTGTTGGATAGAGTCATCTACATTATCTTTACATAATATGCATTTTCCATCAGTCTTTCTTTGTGATTCATAATTGGAATATAGAGCAAATATGTTACATCTCGGTAAGAATTTGAGTTTTGATCAATTGAACACAATTTTGTAAGACTATAGTTATTTGGAGATGGGTCATACTGAGCATGACAGTGATACTTTTACAGTTATTGTTTTTAGAATATTACAAGAAAATAACTGCAAAAAACAATCCACATAAGAAGGGTGATCACTAAGTAATGACACTATGTAGATTCCTAAGGAGACCTAGAGTCATTACTTGATCACCTTCTATGTCATAAACCATACTCGTTTCCCAGTTTGATTTTCTATCACACAGGTATCAGGTATTTTCTATCCGAAAAACAAACAAACCATCTGATTGGTGCATGTTAAAACCAGATGATCAGATGATTTGTTTGTTTTACTCTAGGATCTCATAGGTCAGACTCCTTTTAAACCATAGTTAATGGCCCTTAACTATTGACTAATGAGGTTGACTGATCAGCTTTTATTTACCTTATACATAAGAATTAGCATAATGTAGGCTGGATAAGATGATATATCATTCATCAGAATCCTCAATCTATGACATATCAATAGGGTTTTGGGCAGAAATATCAGCCTGATATTCCATCATACCTTGGAAATCCAAGATGGTCATAAACAGGAAAGAAAAGAATTGAACAGTTTTAAACAATCTGCGCCAGTAACCATATTCAGGTTGAAAATAAGGCATAAAGTATAACACAGCAGTTGAAAATCATGACGAGTAAACAATATTTTTCATTGCACTTCCTTATACGATATCAACTGACAACTGGAGTTGAAGGAACTTTCACATTTTCAAAGAATAGAAGTTTCATTTCTTTAAATGGTGAATACTTAGAATTTCAGTACTGAGTAAATTGAACTGTGTTCTATTAAACATTTTACTGTTATAATTCTTAAGTGTGTCATGGACTGCTGACTATTTCTTTGAACTTCAAGACTGGGTTACATCTATCCCACATCATTTGAAACGAAATGCTCTATCATTTATGAGTACTAGTATCTACAACTATTTTTGATGTTATGAGTATTGGCAATCAATTTTTACATTTTCTTTCCAACATGTATTGTAATAACTTCAGTATGAATGAAATGTCCATTGGTGTTCTGGTCCTGGATTGACTCTTGTTTGGGTGGAAGGGGGGGGGGGTGTTAGACACCATTTCTTTTCACGTTAGATCATGGTTTTGGGATATATAGGGTCTATTTTTCTTACAACAGGTTTTAACTAAGAGTTTGCTTTTCTTGCTGGGTTTCTTTAAGGGTTTTAGTCTCCTCCCTTTGGAGCTTATGCTTAGATATTTACAAAGTTATTACCATTATTCAATTGTAGTTCTGTCTACTCAATCATCTAATGCGATCACCTTTATAGCAATTTATAATGTTTCAATTCATAAACCACAGCAATTATAAATAGTTCTGTTTTTCAAAAAACAAGAAACAATTTAGTTTTATAAAAGTATGGGGAAGTTCTCATGCATGCACTACCAATATACACGTTATACATCGGAATTTTATGACTAAGATCTGTCAGTTTGATGTTGAGATATATGGATTATTATTTGTATCAATTTGCCTCGCCATGATTTTTTATTTCTAATCTTTATTTCAATTATCTCATGGTTGTGTGTAGGGTGACATCAATGTAGGGTGACATCAATGTCAGCTTTCATTTAATATCTGTATTTCAAGTGTGAATCATTCAAATAAGTATTAAGTTAGCACTATTTTTGAACTCAGCGGTAACATAAATATTTACTCACAAGAAACTCTCAAAAAAAGTTTGAACAAGACCCAGTGATAAATATTGCATTTTGAAAAGAAAAAGGTCACAATGTTATTTACCAAGTTGTCCAAAACCTAATCAGATTTTGGCACAATTTCAAGTTGAACAGGTTAGCGTTTTTCTGGAATTTTGATTTCTGAATTTTGAACTGATTTGTAGTCTTTGAGAACTTTGAGAAACTTATATAGTATCGTTTGTGACCTAGTTTAATAATGTTGACCTCTGACCTTGAAAATTTCACCTTTAAGAACTAAGTATACACTGTAATTAAGCTGACATAAATTTGAAACCAAGAATCAACTTTTTAGACCTTTCGAAAGGTCACTGTAGCTCAACCAAAGGCCAAATCAAAGGTCATATTTGAGCTACTGAAAACTTTAAGATGATTTAAATAAAGGTAATCAGCAATTTGAAGCAAGTTCATAATGGTTGATTTAACAAAAGATTCAAAATTATGGCCATGTAATTTAGCCATAAACTTAATCAGATCTTTCCACTTGTCTATCATTTCATCTGAAAAATCTTCAAGTTGAATTAAATAGTGTTTTTTTTGAATTTTGATGAAAAGATTAATGGGAAAATTCAAAATGGTCACCAAGTTATTTACTCAGCATGCCTTAAAACTAATCAAATCTTGGCACAAGCCTGTTCTTGCATCTCTAAAAAGTTAAAGTTCAACATGTAAGCAGTTTTACTCGAATATTGATTTATGTGGTGCACACATGCATGCCAATCAGCACAAGATGATGGCAATATATATAGCACTTTTTCAGTGTGATAAAAACTGAAAAGTATAACCAGGATGTAAAATAATATACTTAAAACTGGAAAACCAATTTCACAATATTCAATAGATGTACAAAGCTGGTGAAGTCAATTTCCTCATATAATATTCAAAATCACACAAAACAAGCATTTAAACATGTAAACAGTTGTGAAAGGCCATCAATATAAGACAGGATATGTGATGCTGCATCTAGGCTAGGAATAAATAATTGACTTAAATAACATTTGTTAAAAACTTTATAATGGGAATACTGAGAAATGAAATGAAGTGATATATACAAATATAAACAAGGGTTTCAATATGTTAAAGTATAAAGAACTTGTGCTAATGGTGATTTATGTGATGCACCTAGAAAGCATGGATTGTACATTCAGAATGTATTGTGCAAACAAAAATATCACAACACCAGTTGATCAAGACAAAACCTATGCCATTGTGGGTAAGTATAAGTGAATCTGTGAAAATTATGTCAAAAGTTCTACTATTCTGGTTTGTCTATACATCCCATATTGGCCTTTTTAAATGCTGTATTTCCTTAAATAAGGCATGACGTTTTTAAAAATATAGAAAATGTATACATGACAAGAGATATAAGTGAAAAAGATTATTATATAAGAGAAAATTTTCACCAAAATTGCTCTTTATGTCTGATCCCACCTTTAATATTTCAGTCAATTTAATCTCATATTATTTTCAAAGGTGTCTTTATTAAATACAAACTGCAAAATATATAATATCAGCCCAAGAAACATGAAAAATGTATAAATATCACACTTAAACTGGTCTATGTGTGTGTAATATAGAAAATGTATACATGACAAGAGATATAAGCGAAAAAGATTATTATATAAGAGAAAATTTTCACCAAAATTGCTCTTTATGTCTGATCCCACCTTTAATATTTCAGTCAATTTAATCTCATATTATTTTCAAAGGTGTCTTTATTAAATACAAACAGCAAAATATATAATATCAGCCCAAGAAACATGAAAAATGTATAAATATCACACTTAAACTGGTCTATGTGTGTGTATCCCATGTACCTAGTAAAACTTAATGCCTATACTATGGTACACTGTTCTTCAATAGATGAATAAAAATCAAATTAACCTTGTTCTTGACAAATGTTCATTCAGTGATATTTATTATGCCAACCTAAATATAAACATGTACTAATTTTGTAAAGTGTATCAATTTTATCTCTTGTTCAAAATTACAATCCAAAAATCCATGAGAAAAAGTTATAATTACTAGTAGAATAATTGCTATAATTACTAATTACTAATAGTCAAGAAAATGAAATTCTGAAAAGGGTAGTATAAACTACAAAATAATATTTTCTTATCTGTGCTTAACATCTTTTCTTCATTTAAAAGAATTAGTTGGTTCAATCCCATATATACTTTTACATGTTATGTATACATGCCAACTTTTTAAAAATGTTTAATTCAAAAAAAAAAACTGAATGATGTCACTGTACTTAGACAAGCTCATTTTGTAGAAACAGGACATCATGAAGTGAATAAAATAAGGTACAATGAAACATGATGGTGATTTGTCGGACTTGTGGGAATTCAGTGGGACTTTGTCAACTTGTTGTCACAAGGGTCTACTTTTGTATGTACTAACATGTCAATATGTAACGCAGATGTGTGTAGAATTTGGAATAAATATATGAAATATTGAAAAATCTAGATATCAGTAACCATTGTGACCCCACAAATCACCGCTGCAACTTATTTTGGACCAGAGGGTATACATGTACATTTAAAAATAAAATATAAGAAATTTTTTTATGCTACAGGAGTGTTGATGGACATTCACGATAATGGGAGAAACATTAAGGAATGTGGACCAATCACAATCCAGAGTTACATGTATCTAGCTGCTCTCAGATGGACATTTCAACACATGAATGACAACAATTATTTAGATGGAATAAACATAGGTGAATATGCTCTTTATTATAACATATATATATAATACATGCTGAAAATTGTTGCCATGGTAAAAGTTATTGGCAGAAATGTTTTGGAACTCTGACCACCAAACACCAGTCACAAAAATTAGAGACTATAACAATATAAAAGAACACCAAGGGTGTAACACAACTCTCCATGTATAAGACAAATCTATTCACCTTTCCCCTAAGTCAGCTCATGAATATTATAATTAGTAAATCTGAAATCTCTGACGTCAGAGTAGGGCAGATTTTTGCGGGAAAATCTAAACACATTAGGAGTCAATGTGAATCGTGACGGAAACGGGTTACTTTTATTGTCAAATTATGTTGAATAGTAATAATATTTATGATAAATGTCATGGAATTGAATTAATTATACTCACGTCTATATTCCCCCTTCTTTATATTGTTCTGGGAAATCAAATGAATAGAGAAATATTAATGTGAAGAGTCCAATGTTTCCTGTACATTTTCAAATTGAGCTGACTGTACAAAACCCCATGTTTAGTTCTTGACTGTCAAAATGTCAACATCTCATGGTAATCTTAAGTTCGTGTAATATTTTCTCATGGGGTGAAGAAGGGGATACGGCTTAACCTTGAAGAAAAAGTATTCGACTCTCAAATCTGGGCCAACGGTGCGTTATTATCGCTTACGTTCAGCCAGCTATTGTACCACATGACAATGTTACTTTTATGTCTGCCAAAGAATTTGACAATGGTTACAAGAGTGATGACTAATTTCACTGAACAATGTTAAAGTCGTTCATGTATGCTTTGAGACAAGGTACCAGAGTTGCTTGTTTTACCCACGATCGTCTATTTCAAGAGATTTATCTCTTGAAAAGCCCATGGGCGTTCTTATAAATATCGATCTTTAAGAGAACTATCAGGATATTTTTGGACGTAGACCTACAAGAGAGAAACTCCGGCAATTCAAGCCCGTAGTCAGGATTTACTTTGGGGAGCGGTTTTACTAAGGGGTAACCTTTTGACTACGGGCCTGTAATTAAGCTTTGAATTGCAATTAAAATGCAAACGACTAGAGTATGATGAATATTAGTTACTTCAATATATAATTTGACCATGAGCAATCGCAAATTATTGGGTCAACCCGATGAGAAAAATGCAAGTGGACACTGACATTTAAAACTGTTCCTCATATACTTTTTATTAGAAACATAATGAACTATTTAATTGAATAATCATGATAAATGTATATTATTGTTTGAATGATTGTCAATCTGGTTTGCGTAGTTGGATTCACTTTGTTCAAAGATGAGCACTCGTATCACAATTATTTCTATGGTTTGATTTACCGGATGGTGTATTTAAGACACAGCTTAAGACAAAATAGTCAGAAAAATATATTTCACTGAGTTTTGTTATCATTTTATAATGAGATCTATTTCACTCAATCGGCGATCTAATACTAATTGAAGTTTTGGCGCGAAATGTGCCCTGCTTTGACGTCATTGATTTTCATTGTCCTATCAGCGAAGCGGTCAAATGAGTACACTTTGGACTTTGGGGAAAGGTGAATAGAAAGGCACAACAATTAGGAAAGTAAACCGTCAATATCCCAAACCATGGTTGTCTTACACCTGATGATGTCTTAGGGAATTATTCAATCATTGAGTTATATACAAGTAGAGGTAGTTGTATATTGTAGTTGTATATAGTTATTTAATGACTGTGCATTGTATGTTTGTTTGTCTATAGGTATAAAGGTGTTTGACACCTGTGGATACAGAGAAGCAGCAGTGAAACATGCCCTAGACCTTCTGCCTGAGATGTACAACACACCAGATGATGCTTATTGCCAAGTGGATCAAGATAATGCATTTTTAGCAGGTAAACTAAGACGCTTCCAAGTGTTTGGCAACCCTGAAATGGATAGCATGTCAAAGCCTGTTTTTCCTGTTTTTTCTTCTCAGTAACAATATGTTAGTTTATACCGTTTTTAAAAATTGTATAAATCTTGAAAAATGACAAGGAATAGTTGTAAAAATGTAGGCATAGTTGGTCCTTTATGTAATATTTCACAGCCAAGTTTCATGATTGAAGGCCTAATTGACCCCTTATGGCATATTTTTTAAAAGATTTGTATATGTGTTAGCATAGTTGGCCCCTTATAGCATATTTTACAAAACATTTATATAATTGTATGCATAGTAAATGGCCCCCTAAAGGCATATTTAACAGAACATATGTATAACCGTAGGCACAGTTGGCCTCTTTCTTATGACATATTTCACAAAACATTTTGTGTGATTCTAGGCATAGTTGTCCATTACATTTTCCAATTATAGGCATAGTTGGCCCAGGTATAAGTGAATCTACAGTGTTTGTAGCAGAAGCTTTGAAAGACTCTGGTGCACCAATTCTTACACATTCCAGTACTGCAGCATCCATTAGTGGCCTTCAAAATGTCTTCAGGGTAACCCTACCAGACACAGAGCAAGTCAAGGTATGTTGTGTCTGCTTATACATACCATAGAAATCCATGAATACATGTATTTATATGCTAAGCTCATATAAAAAAAGAAAGACCAAAGTAATACATAGAGACACAGTTTGCAAAATATATCCTGGAGTCTCAAAGGCTATAAGGAATTAAAATTCTCAATATACCAAACAATGATATAACATACACAGAATATCTAACACCAATCTCCAGTCACCTTTTACAAATCTTTATCACAATTCAAAAGCCACAAGACTATGGGACACTTCATTCATATTGGGAGTCAGTCTATCTACTCTATAGTTCAACAAGTTAAACCCAATACCACAGCTTTTATTTATTAATCTGAATGTTCTTGTTGCCGTGATTGGGTTTAACTTCTGTGCTATGCTTTCATTGGTTCCAAATTCTCACTATCAGTTATTAATTAAACGCGCATTGAATTCCATGCACTGCCATAGGCCACCAGTCATTTTTTGGCATCAAGGGCCAAATAGGCACGGATGTTAAACCTAGGGCAGGCCACAAGATATGTCAGATAAGAAATAAGGCTCAGACTAGGTTTAACTTGTTTAACTATCTACTCTATTGCATTGGTCTGATTAGATTGCTTAGTACATTTCTGAGGAAGTACCCTAAAAGCGTCTAACAATCATCTAATGAACACATAATTAACAAATATATATTTGAATGACAAGGGAGAAGGGTTTTACTTATGTAGTACATGAATTTTTTCAAGAAATTTATACCTGCAGAAGCGACCACATTTAGGAAGCAAAATGGCATGATTTGAATGATTCAAATCAAAATTTCTAAACCACTGGTTGGCTATTATTACTGTCGGCCTCACTTTGAGTCAAGTTGCAAAAATCTCTTAACCATCTGTATAGCAAGCTGTTAGAGTTTACTGATAAATTGTTATGATTATGATATTTTTATATTGGTTACAAGTATAACTTTTTTATTTTGACACAATATGCAATAAATATCGCAGCAACTATTGCTTATTATATACAGTACAGTGTATGGATTTCTAAATTGGTTTATTGTTTTTGTAGGTCATTATTGATGTTATAACCAACCTTAAGTGGAGTGTCATCTCTGTAATCTACTCAGATGACACCTATGGCCGAGAAGGATACGAGGAAATCAAGAAACAAGCACTTGAAAAGAACATATGCATCATTCAAGCACATATGATCAAAACAAGCCATAATGAAGTAGCCAAACTATCAAAGATTATGAAGGATATTGTAGGTACGATAGCCACCAGTGGCATTATGGGTGTGGTGTGTTTTGGGCAGGCCAGCACAGTAGAAGAAGTCTTCATAGGAGTAAAAGGATTAATGGAGCAAAACCTTGGTCACTTAAGTGATCAACTTCAGTTTATTCTACCAGATTCAGTAGGAATTAACAGTAATGTTCTCGTTGATTATGCAAATATTGCAGAGGGTGCAATCACTATAAGTCCATATATAGATGAGGTTGAGGAGTTCAAAGACTTCTGGGTAGATATGTTTTCTAATAGTAGCATGGTGTCTACTTTGTCTGCCACTGACCCCTGGATAGAAGAGGTGTTTATGTTACAGTACGAATGCACTATCCCAACACATCCTTTGATTTCTGAATTGCCATTCAAGCACTATAGTCGCAACTGTGATGAAATCACTAGAGAGGAAGTTGAGCGTAAATTCTCTCAATCAGGTTACACTGAGAGTGTGATACACATAGCTGTCACTTTGACGGAAGCATTGAAAATTGTTCGACAAAAGGTCTGCAAAAAACCAAATGGAGTATGCACCGAGCTGTTGAACAACAAGATGATATTAAGCAACATGACAAACATAATCAAAAAGATTAACATTAGCTACACCAACAAAATGACATTTCATCCCAAAAAGTATCTGAATAAAAGAAATATACAATTTAATGCAACTACAGGGGACATCCTGCCTGATAAAAGCGTGCCTCAGTACTTGGTACATAACTACAAGAGGTGTGGGCATTATGGAACACAACACTGCCTTGAACGGGTAAATAAAGTCAATAATAAGCTAATAATTAACTTCAACAATAACCTGCAAATGGTAAAATATTTAATTAAAAACAATTAGATCAGCTGTTTCTTTTGTAGTGCTATTTGACAGTGGAGTCACTTTCATGGATTGGATGTTTTTTAAGGTTGGTAAATATGAAAATGGCGCACTGGATATTAACCTTACGAAAATGAAGTTCTATCTTGATGCTGGAGTTACAGATGTGACAAAATACACTTCAACTTGCCCAGAAAAGTGCATAACTTGTATCCAACAGATTGAAGAAAGAGACAAGTTTCCAGTGATTTACATTGAAGGTTTTATATTCCTTTTAAATGGTCATCTTTCATTTAAGTAATTTTAGCTATTGTAAGATTCATTAATATAGGTTCATTATGCTAAACAAGAGACTCAAGAATGCTTTCAGCTTAGTTGAATTGGATAAGCAAATAGAACATTCCGCCTAAAAAAATTGGAGAAGTGCAAGGATTCAATGAGGGGGGTTCAATGGGTTCTATAAGCCTTTCACTGAGGTTACAAGGCAGTGTTACAGCATATAAAAATGAGTGCATGTAAAACAGCATTAAATACTTGTTTTTGTAAAATTGCAGGTGATATTTTGATTATGGCTGGGTTCCCTGTCCATGTGCAAGGGGATAAACCATTCACTTGTGGAGCAGTCCGATGGGGAGCAGGAGTCGACCTTGTCGAAGCTTTTTTGTTTGCACTAGAACAAGTCAATAGACAACCTCGTACAGGAATATTCAAAGGTAAAAAGTTAAAATAAAAAGTAGAAAACTCGCATTATGTATCTTTTAAACCCTTAGAGTGTATGGAATGTGGTTTCTGACAATACATATCATGACCTAATTTCAAAATGGTAACCAAAAATTACTTGAGGGTGCAGGCTTTGCAAGTCAAACACCAATTAATACAGAAAATGCAAAGTAGACATCATATGTTTGCAAAATGTATTGCCACTATCAATAGTTTATTACTGATATTCTTTTACTGTAGATATTACCAAGGATATGACAATTGGGGCCATCATATTTGATACATGCTACAGCCAATTAAGAAGCCAACAGTTCATATACTCAGTCTTCACTTGTGAAACCAAGCTTACTTATGAGGGAAAAATATTGGAATCTGATGTCATTTCAAAAGTAAGTACCAGAATATAAGCACAAGTGCCAAATGGTTTTTAACCAAGAAGTGTTTGAATACACATAGAAAATGAGTTATTACCAGGTCGTTCAATAAGTTCTCATAATTTTGCTCTCATTTTAAGAGTTTTTTATATTTTTCCATGAAAATTTCACAGACGATGCAGAATGTATCTGTGTAACAACTCTGCAAAGATTATGTATTAATTCTAATGGTTGTGGAAATGGCGGTTGCTATAGTAACGTCAAAAATCGGTAGGCGGGGCAACTTTATTTGATCGTAAAATCCATGGATGTAGTTAGATTTCATCTTGAAATGTCATATGTTTTATCTGAAAGATTTGCAACCATAGAAACAGGTTTTGACATCAGTGTGAAAGATGCAACTTTTCTGAGTATAGTTATTACTGTGACATCACATAAAAAGGTATGACATCACAGAAAAGGTTTCAATAGAGAGACCCAAGATGGCAGCTGACTGTGGTCTTGTGAAAAGTCAAGATGAAATTCAAATTCAAATCCGTAGTGTGATAAGATTTTGTGTGTTATCCAAGAAATCAAGAGGAGAAACAATAAAAGCAGTTCAAGATATTTATGGAAAGGAGTTAATGAGCACACCTACCATATACCAATGGTATCAAAGGTTTGGTTCAGAGGGAAGAAAATCTGTGATGGATGAAAAACGGACTGGCAGACCGGTAAAAGTCACCAACCCAAAGGCTGTTGAAAGAGTTAAGACAGTTCTAGATGATGATCGCCGCATCTCTGTACGGGAACTTAGTGAGAATGTGAACATTAGTATAGGTAGAACACACTTCATTCTGAAAGAGAAGCTTAAAATGAACCTCATGTGTGCTAAATGGGTGCCAAAGGAGTTAACTAGTGACCAGAGAGCCCGCAGAGTTGAGGTTTCCCAAGAATTTCTAAGACGATACCAAGATGAAGGGGATAGTTTTCTTCAACGAATTATCACATGCGACGAGGTGTACGTCAGCTATTATGAGCCCCTTGGGAAGAGAGCATCAAGTGGTTGGAGAACTAAGAACTCACCTACTCCCATTTCAACCCTGGCAAAACTGACCAAAAATGACGGCAAGGTGATGTTCATTGTGTTTTTGGATAGCTCTGGGGTGCTGCTTGCGCATGCAATTCCTGATGGTCAGAGAATAAACAAGGACTATTATGCAATGGTAAGCTTATTCATTATTAATAAATTAATCAATATAAGAGTAAAAACATTAAATCAAATTTAAAATCAGATTTGAACTATAAAAATGGTTAAGTACAAATGTTAAAGGCATTAGTATCCTATCCTACTGACTATTTCAGGTTCTCAAGAGGCATCTCAAACGGGCCTTCTCAAAGAAACGCCCCCTCCTAGAGTTGGCGACAAGAATATTTCATCAGGATAATGCCCCGTGTCACCGGGCAGAACTTGTACTGAACACCATAGGAGAACTCGGAATGGAAGTTCTCCCACAGGCACCATATTCACCTGATGAAGCCCCATGCGACTTTGGCGTGTTTGGCCGAATGAAAGATGAGCTGAGAGGTTTTCGATTTGCATCGACAGAAGATTTGCAGAATGCAGTCCAAAATGCTCTCAGAGCTAGATTTCCTGATGGATTCCATAAAATCTTCCAGGATTGGGTAGAACGTCATCGAAAGTGTGTCGCATCCAATGGACATTATTTTGAGCATTTAAAGTAGGAATAGAAACATTTACCCCATACTATTTCATGGGATAAATGGGACTACATGACATTAAAACACTTGTTACTCTCCACAATGTTGAACTGAATTATATGCCACTATGACGTCAAATAATCTGCCCCGCCTACCCATTTTTCATGTTACTATAACAACCGCCATTTTCACGACCATTAGAATTAAAACTTAATTTTTGCAGGGTTGTTACACAGATACATTCTGCATCGTCTGTGAACGACCTGGTAATTGTCATAAGATACAAATCTCAATGAAACCCCTTTGTTTAAAGGTAGCAGCTATTCTGGGTGGACTAGGCAGCTCACAGACAAAAGCCCTAGCTGATATCACAACAAAGATGGGGAAGGTTCAGTGCAGTTATGGCTCCACGAGTCCAGTGTTGAGTAATAGAAAGGAATACCCATACCTGATGCGTGTTGTGACTCCTGATGATAAACAGGTGGCTGGGATGATCCAACTTTGTGTACAAAACAACTGGAAATATGTCTCTATTGTGCATACAGATAGTCGTTATGGTACTGACTTAGCAAATCTATTCAAAAGTTTGGCAGAGAAAGCTAAGATTTGCGTGGCTGTTACGATGACAATTAGCACTGGAAAAGGAAATGAGAGAGATGCAGCAGCACGTAATGCCATTTTGGAGAAGCAGTCAAATGCAAAGGTAATTTTTTATGGATATATAAGTAAATAGAAGAGTGGAAGTACAAGTACAAGAATGCAAGTATTGAATGGAGAAAAGAGGAAGACCAATGTGTCATTTTACAAAACTCCGAAAGAGAAACATCTACTCTTGATATTCCAAATATTTTCAAAAATAATTTACTTGTAGGTGGTTTTTCTGCTTGCTGATCTCCAAAGCACTGTAAGATTCCTTAAAGAATTCAAGAATAATGCCAAAAGTGGCATTTTCACCTTTGTCATGTCTGAATCCACAAACACAAATGATAAACTAAAGAGCGAGGAACTGGGAAACATTGCGCTGGGGTCCTTATCATTTAAAATGGAGACTGAACCAAACACAGAATTCAGAAAGCAATTTCTTAAGAAAACTCCATGGAACATGAAAACCAATAGAAAATGGTTTAAAGAGTGGTGGAAGAGCAAATTTAATTGTCATTTCCCAGATTCTTTTGATAAAAGTGGAGCACATATTTGCGATCAGACAGAGCAAATGAATGGTACAAAAGAAGACAGTTGGGTGCCATATGTTATTCAAGCTACACATGCATTGGCAATTGGGATAAATTCTGCCTTAAAAAGTTACTGCACAGTTGAACCAACAAAACTTTGTGAGGCGTTTGTCGAACACCCAAAAGAAGTCATTGAAAAGATAAAAAAGGTAAAATTTCTATGCATCAGAATTCAAACTATTTAAAAACTTATATAAAGAAATAGCACCCAAGAAAGTGTGTTATCAAAGCATATATTGTTGTAAGATCAAAGATAAAAGTAAATATAAAATTAACCCAGTTGCGATATACCATTCAAGAGCTACTTTTAAATGCATCTTTAGGTACAACTGAAATTCGAAACTACAGGAGAGATGACAAGTATATTTGATGAAGATGGAAATGGGATAAGTGATTATGGTATATATAATCTTCAGTTAGATCCTAAAGATCCAAGGAAAAAGAAGTTTGTTCAAGTAAGTACAAGTTTATTGTGAAATAAATGAAGTAACCATCTTTTGAAATTGAATATAAATTAATTATGGAATAAACTATGTACAACTATCTTGCTTCTCTTTCGCGGAGGAATGTTGACCCTTTGGTACATTTATGGACTAACCCTACTATCACACCAAACTAGTTCTCACTACGTTCTCAAAAACTGGCTTCAACTGTGTACGAACGGACTGGACCTACTAAGAATGGTTTGGGATCTATTAACAAACTTCATCGAACGTACTCGAACGGGTAGGTCCTCTAGAACTTAGACAATGCTCAAAATGTTCTCGTGGTCGTCGCGTTCTACAATTAGAACGAGTGACAACGTACTAACGACGAGCTGGACGTACTACGAATGGAACCGTCGTACTTCAATCCTACTAGGGACGTTTTAACAATGAGTTGAATTGTCTGAGGACGTGTTGAGAACGAGGTAGAACTAATTGCAAACGGGTTTAAACTGATTGAGAACGTATTTAACACAGCTTATGAACGAGTTAGCAAAAATATAGCTATCACACCAAACAAGTTGCCACTGCTTTCTTCAAAACTGTGTGCGAACGGAATGAACGTAGCTGCAACTTTCTAAGGTCTATTTACAAACTTTATGATCGTTCTCAGATGGGAATGTGATTTAAGAATTTTGAATCGATTCAAATTCGATGGCGACCATAACGTTCTGTAATCAGGTCATGTTGACCTTCTAGACTAAGGGACGCGTTCTACTACGTTGCACACCGACGTGGTGCGACCTGAACGAACTGCGAACGAGAAAGACGTATTGAAGACTCTTTAAGAACGAAGAAGCTAATTATTTCAGACATATTTCCCGACCCCAGCCAGATTGAGCCCGTTTTACGATGTTTTCGTAGGACTGGCAAGAACGGGTAAGAACGAGTTTGGTGTGATAGGGGGGTTAGGAGACTGGATTTTGTCTGCCCAACATCATTTGACATTGAATGCCAAATGATCTTTTAAGAATACAAGTATCTACAACTATTTTTGATGTCCTGAGTATTGGTTTATCAATTTATATTAATTCTTAAACATATATTGTAATGTCTTCCGTTTGAATGAATTGTCCCTTGGTGTTCTGGTCTAGAATTGTGATGTTGGTTCTTGAATGATAGGAGAAAAGGGGTATTTGACATGGTTTCTTTCACTTTAGATCACGGTTTCAGGATATAGAGTACTTAGAGTTGAAATTTCCTTGCTAGGTTCCATTACAACTTTTGGTCCTTCCATTTGGCACTTGGGCTTAGATAAAGTCAGATTGGCTGATAACCAATTTGGGGTTTTAAAGGTGGCCAATTAGTCTGGAGCACTGAACACGTTTAGCTAGGCGCTGTAACTGTAACCATGAAGTTGTTAGTTTGACACATGTGAGCTCCTTATGTTTATTCATTCATTATTTAAGGCTGGAAAGTATTCTGTCCGTGAAAGTAAGTTAGAATACAATAACTTGACTGCAAAGTTCTATGATGGTCTGAAAAGGGAAGTGAAAGTGGTTTCACAGTGTGATGTATGCCCAGATTGCCCAAAAGATGAAACCAGTGAAAATTCTCAACAGAATTTACTGTTTGGAACTAGGTAAAGGAACATTCTATTTCAGAATCATATAACACAAGTTGTCACATTCAATACATATTCAGAAAACTTAATCAATATATTTTATAAGTTGCACTTACATTTGGAGTGTATAAAAGGTGAACACACCAGGGTTCGTTGGAATTCATTGGCAAAAAAGCATTATTTATTCCAGTAACCATGAACCATTGCAGAAGGGACTTCTGGCTACTCTAGTGATGTTTCTTGTAATGTTTTTGATTGCTATGTTATTAGCTGTGAGTCTCATCATCACCAAGAAAAGAGAGAAAAGAAAAGGTACACTCACTGAATGCATGAGATAAAGCTTGAATTTTCTAAACATGAAATTATACAAATTTAAGACATTGCCATGTTGCTGGTCTCATTTTCTGATATGGGTCTCATTAACTCGAGAGAAAGGAAAAGTTACTACCACTAAATGAGGATACAGAAATGTAAAAGTCTGTTACATATATCTCCATATACAATACAGTACCTCAATGTACACACATAATGAATACCTCAACTAAAATAGTTTGTTGAAAGAGTGTAGATAGAGATGTGAAATTCTTTGGAAAAGGGTAGCCATAAATAACATATTGTACAACATTGCAGAGAATGAACGGGCTGCTGCTGCAAGGAAGCTATATGATAATGGGGGAGTGGAATACTCTGATGTATCACGACATGATGAGAATGTATACAACAATATATCTATAGGTAAGCGGCACTAGTTCAGCAATGTTTAATAATTTGTATTAGATAAAAAACTAAACAATTTGATTTGATTATAATAATAAAAACACTTCTATACTAATAATACATCTGTTTATCATGTTAACGAAGGATAATATAAATTTTTGATATATATGACTAGTTCTCTTGTCAGATGTGTCAATTAATCATTTTCTCTGCAATTATTGTAGTTTAAAGCTTTACAGCTCATAATAGGTTTCTTAGCTATGTAATATAGGATTTATTACTTATCTTAGCTAAGAAACCTATAATGGGCCATTATAGCTCTAAACTACAAGTATTGCAGAGAAAATGAATCATTGACCTGAGTTGGAAGATATGAACAGGTTGCATGTTGCATTGGTTTCCAGATGGCTCAGATGGTTCAGAGAGTTTTCATGGACAATACATTCATCCACAACAAATAAACCCTCAACTTCAGCAACCTCAACCAGGTCCCAGGTAGGTTAAATAGGTAGTCTCAGTCTCAGCATGGGTGTATGACCCTGTTTCTCTGTATATCCTGAAGATCCTGAATTGGGTAAGGGGTGTCAGCCACTGTCAGTGTTTCTCTGTATATCCTGAAGATCCTGAATTGGGTAAGGGGTGTCAGCCACTGTCAGTGTTTCTCTGTATATCATGAAGATACTGAATTGGGTAGGGGGTGTCAGCCACTGTCAGTGTTTCTTTGTATACCCTGAAGATCCTGAATTGGGTAAGGGGTGTCAGCCACTGTCAGTGTTTCTCTGTATATCCTGAAGATCCTGAATTGGGTAAGGGGTGTCAGCCACTGTCAGTGTTTCTCTGTATATCATGAAGATCCTGAATTGGGTAAGGGGTGTCAGCCACTGTCATTGTTTCTTTGTATATCCTTAAGATCCTGAATTGGGTAAGGGGTGTCAGCCACTGTCAGTGTTTCTCTGTATATCCTGAAGATCCTGAATTGGGTAAGGGGTGTCAGCCACTGTCAATGTTTCTTTGTACACAATGTCATTGTTTGGAATGCTGGGGATTTGCGTCCTTGCGATTTATGTCTTTTCTTCCCTAGCCTTTTGGTACATTTAAGTTTCCATCAAATTAATGTTTTTCTCATTTGTATCTTGTGACAACCCCCCCCCCTCCCTCCCAACCTCTCACATTACCAATAAACCATCTATGATTACTGTAATTAATCCTCTATTGTAATTTAAACTACCTAGAATGCCTATGGCGATTGGTAGTAGATATTTTGTGTATTTTTTGATTATGAAGGAAATAAATAATGTTAAAAAAAAAAAAAAAATTGGGTAAGGGGTGTCAGCCACTGTCAGTGTTTCTTTGTATATCCTAAAGATCCTGAATTGGGTAAGGGGTGTCAGCCACTGTCAGTGTTTCTTTGTATATCCTAAAGATCCTGAATTGGGTAAGGGGTGTCAGCCACTGTCAGTGTTTCTCTGTATATCCTGAAGATCCTGAATTGGGTAAGGGGTGTCAGCCACTGTCAATGTTTCTTTGTACACAATGTCATTGTTTGGAATGCTGGGGATTTGCGTCCTTGCGATTTATGTCTTTTCTTCCCTAGCCTTTTGGTACATTTTAGTGTTTACTCTTCTATGAACACTTATATTTTTATAATCAGGTTTCCGAGGCCTTTCTGTCTGAATTTAAATGAACTTGTACACTGAATTGGATTCTATGTGAAACTTGATGCAAAACTTTTGAGACAATTTTTCATACTTTTATATGTTGCTCACAAATAAGTGTTATTGTGAATATGATTGAACAAGTATTAACGTTTTTTGTGTTTCAACTTTCAATTTGATATCTTAATTCATTGTTAAGTATTTATGAATGTATAACTTCTTTATTATTTATGATAATTGAACAAATTATTCAAATGCAAATAATTTTTTTCCAGTCATGGGCGCTCTGAGGGAGCACATGTATATACCCCATCTCACTGAGTAAATACCAAGCAGGATACCAACAAGATATCATTATGGTTGTGACATATATAATTAACACCACGTTATAGAGACACATCGTTTTACTTGCTCCTCAATTTCACAACAATAATGTAGATTTTAGTTGTTGGAATAAAACATTTCCAAACCATTTCAATTTATATATATACATACTACAGCCAGGAAATGATTTATCTCCGCTGGAACAATTTAATATTGGACCCCATGAACAAAAAACAGAGGACAAACAAAAATTGAAAAACCAAAATGGAAGCAACATCATTATCCTTCAACTACAGATGTAAGTATTCGATTTGAAGCTCTGAATCCAGTAAATGATTCAGAATCTGACATTAATAGTGATACCGATACAGCAAGTTGGGGATAATTCTACACAGTTGGAGTATCAAGGATCTAAGGTGTGTGAAATTGCTAAGGAGGAATCCTAAATAAGACCTTCATGACAGAATTGAATTGGCACCGAAATCAAACTTCGAATCGATGTTGAAAGTGGTAGGCGTCGAAACGACTTCTTAATCAACACCAACATAATTTGGCGTCGAAATAGCGCCGAATTGTCATCGAATTTTATCGACTTCGAATTATATTGGCTGTGTAAGATATTATGATTTCACTTATCTTTCAACAAGTTGGATCCTTGCTTCCTTTTTCAAACTGAATTGAATGGGACACCTCGCATGCATGATTTACCTTGTGAAAATGTAGCCAAGATTGGCCATTCAGAATTTACCTTGCATGCACAATTTACCTCGTTGTAAGAATGTAGCCAAGGCGAGTGAGCAAGAAGAGGGGACACGTTGCATATCCGTCCAAGTCAAAGTATTACATAGTTAGTTTATCTTAAAAAGCACAAAAAGACCTTTCAAATGAGCCATGACTTATGACTTAACGATTTTTCCTTGCATATATAGACCAAAAAGTCGGATTTTAATTTAGCACATTTTCCTCTTAATCTTGGGCACATTTCTGGCTCTGTAGCACAATTTTAATTTTTGTGATAAGACTGGTTTTCCTATGGCCAGGCTCATATATGTATGCCCATGTATATACATTGTCAATATATATTATTTCAGAGGTACCATATATGGTAATTTTCAAAATATTGTCAGTATTATAGTGCTTTTTGTGTATTGAATGTAATGAATGAGTTAAAAATGAATATTGATTTAAATAGTCCCACTGCATAGTGAGCAGCTCATATGATTAAAGGCTTAATAAAAATAACTTTTTACTTATGATGCACATATGCCAATGAGTTGGCAAGATGGTCTTACTTCACCACCGAGCGAGTTTCAGGATCATATAATAGTAACACACCTTTATTAACTTAGTTAAGTAATTATTACAATGACACTTGAAACTAGCTTAAATGAGTGTAAAATAGTGAACCTAAAAACAAGGCAGTGGTTCTATATATCCTCTTATCAGCAAGTGGCCATTTCACCAACGACTCCTTATCACTGAAACTCCTCTCAAAATATATTAAATTATCAAATATAACAAATCAAACATTGAATGGAAAACAAGAAATGGGGCAACAAAACATGCCTTATTTGTAATTCCAGTGATATTGCAGCGCTTTAGATTTAGAGTAGCTCTTTTTAAAATGGGAGAAAAAAATGTACTCCAGATATTCAAAGAACAGGATGATTGTAAAATGATTTTAAAGACAAAAGCAATTTATTTTATGTACAAAAATCTCAAAATGTTGATGTAAATATGTTTTCACCAAAATTGGTACGCACATGAAATAATATGGTAATAAAGGATACAATAAAATACAATATACACAATACTGTTCATTGGTATTGTTTTTATGTAAATTGTTTATGGGTCACTTAAATAAACTATTTCTAATTAAAGAAGATATATAGATGACTGTAATTGTGATATTATCATTTTTGAAGTTAAACAAAAATGCATTTATAAAAATAAATTGCAATGTTTCCAATCAATGGATAAATCGTACCACTGCTGAATCAAAACTATCTGTGACATCACTTTTCTGGCTATGAATGCCTATCAGACACCGGTCCTGCAACTCAAAAAAGGGCATTAAAGCTACATTTGATACCATTTATCTCTTTATTTTAAAATTCAATTTTGTAAGACTAGTTATTGAGAGACAGGTCTATGACTATGCTATTTCTAGAGTTATTTTTGAGAACATTAAAGAGGAAAATATCTGCAAGAAACCAATCCATATACATATAGCAGCCATTTAATTTAAGAACAGAGGGAAAGGAAAGAAGTGAACAGTTCTTATAATGACTTCTGCAGGAACCATCTTCAAGGTGAATATTAGGTATAAAGTTAATACTGCTACTACAGTAAACAACTTTTTATATAACTTCCTAGTACAATTATATCAACTGACAATGGTGTTGAAGGAACTTTTACATTTTTAAAGACTATATAGAAGTTTCATTTTGTTCAAAGGTGAATACTTAGAATTTCAGTTTTGAATTAATAGAATTGAGTTCTATTAGTCATTTTATTGTTATTCTTTCAAGCAAATCATCTATCATGACTTTTTTAATTCATAAAATAGCAATGAAAAATAGTTATGTTATTTCAAAAAACAACATTTCCAACGATTTAGTTTATTAAATAAGTATGATATGTAATTTTGTATGAGTATGGAGTATGTATGTACTACTTAATAATGGAATTTAATGACAAAGATCTGTTAGTTTGATGTAGAGAAGATATAATTAAATGGTGTAAATTATTTACAAAACTTTAAGCACATTGTTTATAAAATTATTATCATTAATCAGGTTATCATCCACCATTTTTGCGTGCTTTTTCAGCAATTTAAAGAACACTTACAAGAAAAATCCTAGAATTCAAGAAGAAACAACCCCCAACATTTCAAACTATGATCCAAAGAACAGTAAATTGACAAATGAGCCCAATCACCTTCCAGATATTTTTGGATATACAGGCTTTACAATAAATCCTTTTTCCATATGCTAGTCAGGGGTTTCATTAGCAGCAGGCAACATGCGATTTTCACTGGTTGTTTTCACAAAATTGCCTATTGTTTTTAGGGACTCTACGACTTTTCCATGTTAAATTTATGATTTCAATTAATTTTGCCTGTTTTAATTTATTTAGTCTGTTGTGAGAAATTCTAGTGAAACCCCTGCTAGTACAAACTGCAATGGCATACATTTCAAACTCTTTAAAAATGGAAGTCAAATGAAGGAAATGTGACTGGAAATTGGAAGCGCTCTGATAACAGACGTGTTCAGATTTAAGAAATATTTAAATTTGAGATGAATTTTAGATGCAAACAAAATATGACCCCCCCCCCCCTCAAAATTATAGGCATGTAAACATGTTTTTAAAATGAGACCTGCCCTCATTCTGTTTAATGTTTTTTAATGGTCTTATAACTTGTTAAGAGTTAATGGAAGTGAACCTTAACTTGACTATGTAGTGATATAAACATTACAAAAATAGTAGTATTATATTTTCATTATCATTTTTATCTATTTTAGATATTATCATTTTTGTAATGTTTGTACCACTATACAATCTGCCAATCTAAATACGCACTTGTACTAATATTGTCTATTCTATGTGCATCAGTTTCTACTCTGTTAACAATGAACTAATTAAAATCTAACTAATTAACTAATATCTGGAAGATGGTTGGGCTCATTTGACAATGTACTGTTCTTTGGATCATAGTTTGTACAGATTTTCATTGCACATCTACTTTAAGAAGATATGTTTGATAATATTCAAACTTATACTTCATTTTGATATTACATAAGATATGACATAAATAATGGTTATGTACCGGGAGGTTTTGGATATGGGGTTTATCCGGAGGGAGATATGCATATCTACCTGAGGGACCGTAGGGACCGAAGCTAGATGTGCATATCTCACGAAGGATGAACCCAATATCCAAACCGACCGTACATAACTGCTTTATCCTATACCAAGTAGAGGTTTCAGGGACATATGGCCATTTCAATAGTACAAGGTGCAAAAATAAACAAATCATTCATATGGAAAGTCATTTTATTGCATTTCCACTACTTATCAGAAGCGGGAAGATATGCACCGAAGCGGGAAGATATGCACCGAAGCGGGAGATATGGAGGTTCTGCATATGGAAACCTCAAAATAAGGAATATATCTTACCAACTTATCTCCCTAAAACTCTACTTGGCATAGGGTAAAATGAATTAGGATATGCCTTCGAGTCAGATGAACTTAAATTCATATGGAATAGCAACTTGGTATGTAAATCAAATAAAAAAACAACAATATTGAAAAGCATATTAAGAACCAGGACGTTAAATAACATACTTAAAACTGGAAACTTGAGGTGTAGGCCTATATAATTTCATGACAGTCTCATCTTCATTCAAAATCACACAAAGCATGCATTCAAATATGGTTATAAAAGGTCATGGATATAAAACAGCATATAAGATATTGCATCCTGGCTAGGATTAAATAAGAATTAAATAACATTTGCTAAAACTTAAATAAAAAAAGTTTGACATTATACTGTGAATACTTAGAAATAAAACGAAGTGATGAATACAAATATAAACAAGGGTTTCAACATGTTAAAGTATAAAGAACTTGTGCTAATGGTGATTTATGTGATGCACCTAGAAAGCATGGATTGTACATTCAGAATGTACTGTGCAAATAAGAACATCACAACACCAGTTGATCAAGATAAAACCTATGCCATTGTGGGTAAGTATCACTGAAAGATGAACTAAACCTGTGCCATATTACTCAGTTTAGATTATTAACTGATTTCATTTTCAGAGCAGAAGTTTTCCATCACGTGACATGATTGTCAAATGACATTTCATCAAGACTCAATTCTGCCAATCTAAATACGCACTTGAACTAATATTGTCCACTCTATGTGTATCAATTTCTGCTCTTTCAACAATAAAATTAAATAAAATAATATTATTAATGCATGAACTAGAAAATAAGATTTTCTAATCTGTGTTTTTTGGAGCATAAAGTGGTAGTATTGTAAACAAAACATCATTTTTGTAATGTTATCACTACACTGTCAATTTAAGGTTCACTTCCATTAACTCTAAACATGTTAAAAGACATGTTTTGAGCTCTTTATAAAACATCATTTTTTGGGATGAAATACTCTATGAATCTCTAGATTTCATTCAAGGAGAATAGAAAAACCATTAAACAGAATGAGGGCAGGTCTCATTTTAAAAACATGTCTACATGCCTATAATTTTGAGGGAGGGGGGGTCAAGCTGATTCTACTCAGGGGATAGTAATTGCTACTAACCAATGGGTTTAAGGTCAGTTTAGGGTCATCATAGAGCAATAAGTAATTCAATGGAGTTGCAAATCCCTATGAATACAATATCCATGAATCTGTACATGTCACAATGTAATATTAACCATCTACTCTACCCTTGATTAAATTGCCAGATACTCAAAAACATAAATAAGGGATTTATCAGAATTTCCACAGATTGAAGCATTTGGGTGACCATTTAGGAGTTTCAAAGGCACAAATCATATAAACAAAGTCCTTCAATTGCAAGGCAAAAATCAGAAAAAAACATACAATATTTGCAAACTGCTCAAAATTACCTTTCATTTCAGTATAATATAGTTCAGAAAGATCTCAACATTAATGGAAATTCCTGTTTCCTTGACCCCCATGCACCGCCACTGGGGGTCAAGGTGAAAAACATTGAATAATCATGGAATATATAGATGTTGTGAATTCACTGTCAAATTTTCAAACAATAAAATTTATTACTTTGGTATTTAATGAAAATGTTTTTAAGTGGTGGCCATCTTGAAAAAAGTGTTTTGTGTAAAACTAATCACCAATATACATCTCTTCCCCAAAAATGAAGAAAATTGATCGACTAGTATTTTAGTTATGCTCCAGACAGACAATCGGACTGATGGACGAACTGACAGATGGACGGAGGGAGGGTTTCACTTTATCCCTACTGAACTTAGTTTGTTGGGATAATAAGGTACAAAGAAATATTTGGATGACTTGTGGGACTTGTTGCTACCCATACTTTTATGTACTTACAGCGTCAATATAGCTGCTTTGTTTAGGTTCATGTCAGTGCATAAAGTTTTACACTTCTCTTATGAATAAAGGAACCATAAGAGAATCTTGTGAACTTTTGAGTGAATCAACATTATATACTTTTCTTCAATTTTCCAGTTCCAGTTTCAAGAGGACCTGAGTGTAACATTTAGAGCTATTCCATTTGATGCAGTTTTTGTATGAAGAAATGAAAAGAAATATATATTTAAAAATTAGAAACTTTTGTGTACTATAGGAGTGTTAATGGACATTCACGATAATGGGAGAAACATTAAGGAATGTGGACCAATCACAATCCAGGGTTACATGTATCTAGCTGCTCTCAGATGGACATTTCAACACATGAATGACAACAATTATTTAGATGGAATAAACATAGGTGAATATGGTCTTAACATTTTTTTGAGTTATTTATATAATTTATTCATGACTTGGGGTTGGGATGGCCTAACTATTCAGTTTTATCCGTAGCAGCAAGTGAACCACACACGGGGGCTATTTATGTCATAAAAGCTTGTCCGCTAGAGGCGCTATGAGCGGTCGGAAAAACATCTATCTTGCTGATCCTACTTTACATACAGTTTTCTAGTAGTTGACTTCTCAACTATCTGAGAGACAGAAATTAATTGAATAAATTGAGCAGATGTCTGAATAATAAATATTGTAAATCTCAAGGCTTAAGGGTGTTTGACACCTGTGGATACAGAGAAGCAGCAGTGAAACAAGCCCTGGACCTTCTACCTGAGATGTACAACACACCAGATGATGCTTATTGCCAAGTGGATCAAGATAATGCATTTTTAGCAGGTAAAATAAGAAGCCTCCAAGTCTTTGGCAGCACTGGCATGGTTAGCATGTCAAGTTTATAAAGTTTTAAAAAAATGTATGAATCTTTAAAAACTGAAAAAAATTATCCCCGACAGAATACTTTCAGAAACTTACTTTTGCCGGAAGCAAGGAGCAGGACCGGTGTCTAGTGTTGTCGCGATTAATCGATACATCGCGATATACATCGCCAAAGCTGATTCTGGCGATGCATCGATGTCTGAAACAAAACATCGATGTTTTTAAAAAAAATTCCATTTTGCTAAAAATCACCCTTTCTTATCTCATTTTGACGCAAATCGCTTAACTTTCTCATGTCTTATTTCATTTCCCAATGTTTTCTGATATTATTTCGCTTTAAAACTGTTTTAGCTAGTCGAAATGAACCATTAATCTAAAAAAATTACTTTACTTTCATTTCACAGTTACTAGAAGTTCCCGGATGAACCAGCGTTCTGTATTTTAGTGCATTAGCGTTCGGTATTTCAGTGCACTTTTCTTGGACTTTTTCTCGATGTACATCGTGATGTGCATCGATGTTTACTACTGAAAATTGCCGATGCATCGATGTACGATTATGGCACATCGCGACAACACTACCGGTGTCTGTTAGTCAGTTGCATTCTTGGTTTTAAGGTGTCAATGCCTGTTCTTCCTTTATCCTGTATAAAATAATATTCTGTGTATCACGGTGAAGTATTAATATAAGTACAATAGTCTTTAGTATTCTTATTTTTTAGGTTCAACTGGTTGCTTTGAAGCAGACTCACAGAACATTTGTCTGATTGTAGGCATAGTTTGTTCCTTACAGCATATTTCACAGAACATCTGTATAACTGTAGATATAGTTGGCCCTTTGGCTTTCAAAGAACATTTGTATGAATCATTTGTGTGATTGTAGGCATACTTGTCCTTTACGTTTTACAATTACAGGCATAGTTGGCCCAGGTTTAAGTGAATCTACAGTGTTTGTAGCAGAGGCACTGAAAGATTCTGGTGTGCCCATTCTTACACATTCAAGTACTGCAGCATCCATCAGTGGCCTTCCAAATGTCTTCAGGGCAACCCTACCAGACACGGAGCAAGTCAAGGTATGTTGCATATGCCTATACATACCATTTAGAATTGCATAAATATGCATACTTAGCTCATTTTCCTAATAAAAAGGAAAGACCAAAGTATAACAGACACAGTTTGCAAAAGATATATTGCAGTTTAAACCAGTTAAAAGGAAAACAAATCCCCAATATACCAAAACAATGATTTAACATACACAGAATGAATATCGAACACAAAACTCCAGCTACCATTTGCGAATCTTTATGATAATCCAAAAGCCACAAGACTATGGGACATTTCATTCATATTGGAGTCAGTCTATCTACTCTATTGCATTGGTCTGATTAGATTGCTTAGTACATTTTATGAAAGTAAAATATACCTTAAAATCATCAATCAAACATCTTATGAACATGACATTAAGAAATACATAACTATAAATGATCAGGGAGAAGGGTTACGAATGTAAACAAAGTATATGATTTGTATCCACAGAGGGAAATTTAAATGATTCAAATCAAACTTTCCAAATGACTGGTTGGCTTAATTCTAACTGATAGTTAAGTGAAGATTTGTCAAAAACTATGATATTTTTCTAATAGTTACAAGTATACATTTTTTTTGACACGATAGAGTAACAGGGTGATCAATAAATAAGGTAAAAGTATCTGGCATTTCTTCAAAGTTTACCCAATCCTTATGAAATTTGCACAGAATAATGTTCAAACATTATTGAATTGATATATTAACTTACAGATCAAAGTGATGTGATTGGTTGAAGTTATAGTTACCATAGCAACAGAAAGCATGCAGACCCGGGGCAACTATCAAAAAACTAAATTTTCAGTCAAAACACTTTTGATAATATATTTCAAATCACAATTAAAATGGCATATCATATTATTTTTTCATGCTTCATAACTGCTACTTAATGTCCTTTGTTTTTAACATATAGTTCATGTCTTCTACTCCAGTCTTTGAACACCTTTTAAACCCATTTTCCCATAGCGTGCAAATTTTCAAGACAGCTGGCTTCAAGTCATCCCATGAGAAACTCTCTCAACTCCCTCTTCAGCTTACCATGACAATAAAATCATAAGGGGACAAGTCAGGAGAGTATAGTACATGACCTAACAGTGGGAAACCAAGTGCTTCAATGGTTTGTACCGTGAGAATAGCATTTTGAGACGGAGCATTATCCCAGTGTTATGTGAAACGTTTTGCAGGCCTCTTAGTCTTAGCTTCTTTCTCTTTTCTCTCATCAAATCTCTTCTGTGGGTATTGTTTTTCATCATTGACCCGTCTCATAGACTTTCTATGATCATATCAGTTTTCATTATATATTAATCTTTCCCGTGACATCAAGCATCGAATTTGCAAGAAAATATGTAACAATGTAAACAAAATATTAAAACAAGTAATGCTGGCACCCACGTTTATTTCTTTTCTGTTTGAACAAGATGTGCATTTTATCATTTTTTGTTCAAATTGGACGCAATGAAATTGCCCTGGGTACCCCCGACTCCAGTTGCCATAGTAACTATAATATTAACCAATCAGATGGCAGAAGTTATATATTTAAATGTTTTAATTTAGAAATGTACAAGGTATATTCTGACCAAATTTCAGGATGTTTGGACCAATATTTACAAAATGCCAGATACTTTTACCTTATTTATTGATCACCCTGTAAATATCTCAGTATATTGCTTATAAAGTGTATAAATTTTCAAAATGGTTAATTGTTCTTATATAGGTCATTATTGATGTTATAACCAACCTTAAGTGGAGTGTCATCTCTGTAATCTACTCAGATGACACCTATGGCCGAGAAGGATACGAGGAAATCAAGAAACAAGCACTTGAAAAAAACATATGCATCATTCAAGCACATATGATCAAAACAAGCCATAATGAAGTAGCCAAACTATCAAAGATTATGAAAGATATTGTAGGTACGATAGCCACCAGTGGCATAATAGGCGTGGTGTGTTTTGGGCAGGCAAGCACAGTAGAAGAAGTCTTCATAGGAATAAAAGGACTGGCAGAGAAAGATTTTGGTCACTTAAGTGATCAACTTCAGTTTATTCTACCAGATTCAGTAGGAATTAACAGTAATGTTCTCGTTGATTATGCTAATATTGCAGAGGGTGCGATCACTATAAGTCCATATATAGATGAGGTTGAGGAGTTCAAAGACTTTTGGGTAGAAATGTTTTCTAATAATAGCATGGTGTCAAATTTGGCTGCCACAGATCCCTGGATAGAGGAGGTGTTTATGTTACAGTATGAGTGCACTATCCCAACACATCCTTTGATTTCTGAATTGCCATTCAAGCACTATAGTCGCACCTGTGATGAAATCACTAGAGAAGAAGTTGAGCGTAAATTCTCTCAATCAGGTTACACTGAGAGTGTGATACACATAGCTGTCACTTTGACGGAAGCATTGAAAATTGTTCGCCAAAACATCTGCAAAAAGCCAAGTGGAGTATGCCCAGAGCTGTTGAACAATAAAATGATATTAAGCAACATGACAGACATAATCAAAAAGATTAACATTAGCTACACCAACAAAATGACATTTCATCCAAAAAAGTACCTGAATAAAAGAAATATACAATTCAATGCAACTACAGGGGACATCCTGCCTGATAAAAGCGTGCCTCAGTACTTGGTACATAACTACAAGAGGTGTGGGCATTATGGAACACAATACTGTCTTGAACGGGTAAATAAATGTCTTTCAATAATAATTTGCAACAACAAATTATTTCACACAAAAATGAAACCTGCACATGCGGAAATATTTAATTCAAAGAAAGTTTAGAGAGAAAGCAAATAAATAGCTACTTGAACTGGCTCAATCCTTTACTCTTATCCCCAAATACTCAAATTTTAAAACATAGAAGTAACATGAGCTGTCATCAACATACTTTTATGCAAACCTTTTCTGTAAATATCAGTACAAGGCAAAATCATTTTTTCACATCTGCAATTTTCAGAGAAGATTTATCAATATAGCTCATTAATAGAATTTGTTTCAAGCTACCATGATTGCTTTTGTAAAGCTATTTGACAGTAGGTTCATTTTAATGAAACTGTTTTATTTAAGGTTGGTAAATATGAAAATGGCACACTGGATATTGACCTTACAAAAATGAAGTTCTATCTTGATGCTGGAGTTACAGATATGACAAAATACACTTCAACCTGCCCAGAAAAGTGCATAACTTGTATTCAACAGATTGAAGAAAGAGACAAGTTTCCTGTGATTTACATAGAAGGTTTTATTCCTTTTTAACAGTCATCTTTCATAATTTTTAATTTAGGGATTGTTCCATTTCTTAAAATTCATAATAATGATGATGTTTTCAGCTAAGGCCTTATATTATTCACAAAGTCCTGTTTTGTGAATCTAATGGATGAGCCATATACAATGGCAACTGAGCTGAGGCTGCCAGGCTAGACTAGCATAAAATCATGAACACATGTAAAATAGCATTGATTTTGTAAAATTGAAGGTGATATTTTGATTATGGCTGGGTTCCCCATCCATGTGCAAGGGGATAAACCATTCACTTGTGGAGCAGTCCGATGGGGAGCAGGAGTTGACCTTGTTGAAGCTTTTTTGTTTGCACTAGAACAAGTCAATAGACAACCTCGTACAGGAATATTCAAAGGTAAGAAGTTTTAAAATAAACTTGCAGTATATATCTTTTGGACCTTTGGAATCTATGGAATATTTTAACAAATTTGTTAACAAATTGCTACTACAGTCTCACTCCCTTTCATATCCAGTATCTGGCTTGTTACACTACAGTTCATCGGAGGTGCATACTCAAGGTTATTACAATCTGATACACTATACGAAGTGTGGATTCTGACAATAAGTATTATGACCTTATTTCAAAATGGTAGCCAGAAAATTACTCGAGGGTGTGAATTCAAACAATGCAACATACACATCATATGATATATTTGCAATCTGTATTGCCACTATCAATGGTGTAATACCCATATTCTTTGATTGTAGATATTACAAAGGATATGACAATTGGGGCAATCATATTTGATACATGCTACAGCCAGTTAAGAAGCCAACAGTTCATATACTCAGTCTTCACTGGTGAAACCAAGCTTACTTATGAGGGAAAAACATTGGAATCTGATGTCATTTCAAAAGTAAGTACCAGAATATAAGCATAAGCCCAAGTGCCATAGGTTTATTATCAAAAAAGTAAGTCTCACATCCCAAACATACAAAGCAGCAGTGTCTAACACAATGACACAAAAGACTAACAAGGTTGCTGCATAAGATCAAGTCTATTTATGTTTGTCTGAACAACATAAATCATTTTTTTCAAAATAAAAGTCTAAATAAAATGTCTTTCTTTGTTAATGTCATAGCGAGATAAATAGTGACATAAAAAAGGGCGAAAGCGCCGAAAACGGAACAAATTGTGGAACTTTCCATATATGACCAGACAACCTTCCTGGGTGTAAAAAGCAACTGTGCCAAAAATTTCCTCCATTTTATTTCTACTTTTCGCAATTTTTACCCCTACCCCTAAAATGTATAGGGGTAGGCTTAATGACCATCCATAACATTTTAGGATTATCATTAAATAGTATCATAATTTCAATGTTGGGACCTTTTACCATGATACACATGATAATCAGTAGGATTGCAGTCAATTTTTAGCAAAATGAATATTTACTTATCTTTAATTAATTCCTTTTATCTCTTTTCCATAGTGGCATTACATGTACTTCGACATAATAAACAACATAATTTTAATTGAAAATAAAGTTTGACAAACTATGTGACATCTGATGAGTGACTTGAATGCAAATACAGAATAATCTAGGAAAAAGTGCATCTTTCTTAAACAGAAATCACTTCTTGTTTTTGACAAGGTCATGCTTGAGTGACAATGAGCATCAACGTTTCTAGATCAGTTTTTGTAAGTATGATTTTGACCTACATGATTAATAAAAATAATCAAGAAGTTGTTCTGCTTATTTTGATTAAAGAGGCTCTATGCCATATGATAGCAAAATCAAGACCCCTCTGGCCTTTTTGCATATTGAGTTTCACCCATTTACTTACCAAAGAAGAAGTCCCAAATCCCCCTCTTTCAGTGTTAATTTCGCGATTGTGCTGGCCGATCTAATTATTTTCGAAGAAATTAATTCAATCTGAAGTGTGAATATACCGTGAAAGTCGTCCTGTTATCTGATTGGTCGTTGAATTTGTTCATCATAAACCTGATTGGCTGCCTGGTTCAAGGCACTTATTCTCAAGATATATCTATGGTATGGGAGATATTATATGAGCAATAACAATAGGACATCATTGATTGTCTGGGGGAGAAACCTATGGCATAATGCATCTTTAACTGTTATGTTTTAAAATATGATATTGTTGGTCTAATAAGGGCAGTTTTGAATTAAGAATGAGTGTTATGTGTATTGGGAGGGGGTCTTGTTACTTGGGTAGATTTCAGGTAGATTACCAATCAATACAATTTTGCCTCTTGATTTTGAATCTTTGATAGATACCCAGCAGAGTGAAGAAACAGGGTCGCCTATATTCAAATTCTGGTACATAGTACTCCAATTACAAGTTCTGGGTCTAACAAATGTTAGAGCTGTGAGACTTGGGGACTTCAGGCTCTACAAAGAAACTATCATGGAAATCATGCCATGGTTTGTCTCCCTGGATCATACCAATTATGCCCGCTAGGTACCTGTCCATGTAAGTGATGTGGTTCAGCTCAAAGAAATCCACCCTGAAGTTCACAAGAGTTTCATGAAGGGGCATTTCACTGTCAGCAAGTCAAGAAAAAGCTTCTCCTCCATGTCAATAGACCAAGCCCATGAGCAAAATAATAGTGTGATCAAAAGTGAGGGTGGAGCTGTGGGGTTGTTCGACAATCCAACCGCATTACAGAAGTGGATGGTCGATGATCGCAAGAATGTTAACTGAGTTTGAGGATGAGATGAAGAATAATGATGGTCCTTGCAAACCATGAGCACAGTGTTAGTTATCAAACCAGTTTCAACAAATATGTCAATTCCCTTACTTAGGTTATCAATGATTTAGGAAACCCCTTTATTGCAACATCAAAGGAACTTTGGACACTTGATACTAAAGATTTTATGTCAAGCAATGCAGTTGACACATTGAACACAATTGAGAAAAGGGGGAAAAGTCAATGTAAAGTATATATAAAGGAGAGAATTATTGAAAGATCAAAAGCCATCACCAGACCCTATCAAGAGAAACAATTTCAAGATCTTAAAACAAATCTAAGTCAAGTTCAAAGCTAGCAAGCTTGAAAAATGACACTGCCCTATTTTCACAACTATACATAGCGTGCCAGAATAGAGACGGCAACTTAGATGAACTTTTCCGACATGAGAACCAGGCATTCCCTCCATCCCTTTCACAAGACGACACAATCAAGACTGGACTCAAAGCAAATATCTTAAAACCAGTGGAAGACCTTCTTCCAAATAGAGAGATCAATACACCAAATGTTGAAGCCCTGTTTCTTGATGGTGCCGTAATAGTCCACCTGCTGAAAACTCCAGAAGCAAGAACCTTCCTACAATACTCAAATGACATATTTAAAAAGTATACTGCAGATCAACTTAATAGAGTACAAAGACTTGATATTGTATGGGATCAATATATACCAAATAGTGTCAAATCTTCAACAAGAAAAAGCATGGATCTGGAAAGCGTCAAATAGTTTATCCAGAAAACAAATTGCCAGGAAATTGGCCAGAATTTCTACTCTCGGATGACAAGAAAAGTGATCTCTTTACCTTCCTTGCATCAAATGTCTCAGCCATTCCAGTACCAGAGAATAAAATCCTGATTACAACAATTGGGAATTCTGCAGAGGCATATCCTAAGCAGCATGTTTCTGAGATTTCACCATCATCCCATGAAGAGGCAGATTCCCGAATCTTTCTGCACATATATGATGCAATGAAAAAAGGCTTCACAAAAATGACGATTAGACCAGTTGATTCAGACATTGTTGTTCTGGCAGTTAGTATAGCTAGCTGCACAACTTAACATTCAAATCTGGCTCACCTTTGGCAAGGGAAAGTCCTATAGATACCTTCCAGCCCACGAAATTGCCCATGAAATGACTCCTCAGAAAGCCATGTGTTTCCCAATATTCCATGCTATGACTGGGTGTGACACCACATCAGGCTTTAATGGAAAGTCTAAGACATCAGCCTGGAACCAATGGAGTACCTACCCTGAATTAACTACAGTATTAACAGAAATCTCAATACAATACGACCCAATACCCTGCTTGATGCCTATTTTAGAGCAGTTCATTATTCTGGTCTCCAACTTAAAACAAGCAATGAAACATCAATCAATGCTGCGAGGAAGGAGATGTTCACAAAGAGGACTTCAATAATATCACACATTCGTCCAACATCAGATGCCCTTTTACAGCATATGAAGAGAGTCATATACCAAGCTGTATTTATTTGGGGGCAACCACTTACAGCAAATCCTCAAGTTCCTTCTCCAGCTGAGTGGGGCTGGATATTTGAAGACATCAAATGGATACCAAGGTGGACAACCAGGGTTACCTTACCCCAAGCATCAGACGCTTGCCAGGCTCTCATAAAGTGTAGCTGCAAAAACCAATGCATATCAACGCGATGCAAGAGCCTGAAAGGAAATCTTGTTTGTACAGGATTATGTGTGTGTGATGGCAATTGTTCTTCATAAGGGCACTGCAACATACCAAAAAGTATCTATGATACTGATAGACACTAGTATAAATCCTTCTTTTGATAAGATTAATAAAACTATGATTTAAAAATGTGTGCAAAGTGAAACTAAAGGAACTATGAAACAGATATAGATAGTTGATATATGGAGTCTAACTGCACTCAGAAGCCAAAAGAAACCACTTCTCATGTGAAGCATTAGATATAGATGTCATTTTAAAATCATATGTCACTTATTTGATTTACTCCTGCTACTGTGATATGGTGCAAAATATTCAATACAAGAAAAGTGGGCGTCGCCCATCACCACCCTTTAACATAGCAATCGAAAATCAATGGTATTTCATATTTTTACTTCAACATTAACTTCTTAACATGATAAGGTAATATTAAATTTGAAGTATGAGCATAATTTAGTCCAAAAAAATTGTGTCAATTTTTTTTAGCTCCCCCCCCCTCCGTGACCATGGGGGGGGGGTAAGAATTGTAAAATTAGGGTAGTTCCTATGAAGCAATTTTTTGGCACAGTTGCTTTATTTAAAGAGTAGCAATCAGTGATCATTTGAGGAAAGTTTCACGATTTGTTCCGCAAACGGCGATTACTTTACACTATTTATCCCGCTATCATGCCAGTATAGCTTTTGAAATATGATATTATGATAACTCTTACATCATTTCTTCTTTCAGTATCAACATTTTTCAAATAGTTTGAAGCATATTACTCAAGAATTTTAAGATTTGGTAAAATGAAATCCTTGAGCTGTACATGACATCTGTTCAAAGATGTATATGACTTTTATGATTTTGTCAAATGAAACCATTAGCTATAAATCTCATTTGTTCAAAGGTAGCAGCTATTCTTGGTGGACTAGGCAGCTCACAGACAAAAGCCCTAGCTGATATCACAACCAAGATGGGAAAGATTCAATGCAGTTATGGCTCAACGAGTCCAGTGTTGAGTAATAGAAAGGAATACCCATATCTTATGCGTGTTGTCACCCCTGATGATAAACAGGTGGCTGGGATGATCCAAGTTTGTGTACAAAACAACTGGAAATATGTCTCCATTGTGCATACTGATGATCGCTATGGTACTGACTTAGCAACTTTATTCCAAAGTTTGGCCAAGGAAGCTAAGATCTGTGTGGCTGTTACTAGGGTGATTGATGTTGGAAAGGGAAATGAGAGAGATGCAGCAGCTCGTAATGCCATTTTGGCAAAGAAATCTAATGCAAAGGTAATTTTTATGGATATGTAAGTAAATAGAAGAGTACAAGTACAAGAATGTAAGTATTAAATGAAAAAAGCGGAAGACCGAAGAGTTTTACAAAGCTCAGTAAGAAAAAGAAATAACTACTCTAAATATTAAAAATATTTTCAAAAATATTTTACATTCAGGTGGTTTTTCTGCTTGCTGATCTCCAAAGTGTTGTTAGATTCCTTAAAGAAATCAAAAATAATGCCAAAAGTGGCATCTTCACCTTTGTCATGTCTGAATCCACCAACACAAATGATAAACTAAAAAGCGAAGAGTTGGGAAACATTGCCCTGGGATCCTTATCATTTAAAATGGAGACTGAACCAAACAAAGAATTCAGAAAGAAATTTCTTGAAAAAACTCCATGGAACATAAAAACCAATAGAAAATGGTTCAAAGAGTGGTGGCAGAGCAAATTTAATTGTCATTTCCCAGATTCCTTTGATAAAAGTGGAGCTCAACTTTGTGATCCCACAGAGCACATGAGGGGTACCAAAGAAAATAATTGGGTGCATTATGTTATACAAGCTACACAAGCATTGGCAATTGGGATAAATTCTGCATTAAAAAGTTACTGCACAGTTGAACCAACAAAACTTTGTGATGAGTTTGTCGATCACCCAAAAGAAGTCATTGAAAAGATAAAAAAGGTAAAATCTTTATGTATCATTATTCAAACTATGCAAGCCTTGCATAAAAGAAAAGCACTCGAGAAATTGAGTTTTCCAAGCATATATTCAATTGAACCGAAAGAGGGAAGTAAATATAAAATCGACCCAGCTTTGATATACAATTCATGAGCTACTTTTAAATGCATCTTTAGGTGAAGCTGAAATTTGAAACTACAGGAGAGATGACAAGTATATTTGATGAAGATGGAAATGGAATGAGTGATTATGGTATATATAATCTTCAACTAGATCCTAATGATCCAAGGAAAAAGAAGTTTGTTCATGTAAGTTAATCAGGAATTGAACTATGTAAACATCTTCTTCAAAAGGATATAAGTTAATTATGGATAGGCTATATACAACTATCTTGCTTCTCATGTTTGTGATGTGAAATTGGTGTAGATACACAATAATGTTTTTCACTTTGATAAAGGTAAATTGGTTCTAGATGTAAGTAGTGTTATTAATATAAGTGGCAAATCATTAAGTTAACTCCTCTTCAACTATAAATGAGTCTAGCTTCTGGTCAGATTGGCCGATTAAAAAATCTATTTTGGGGATTGTTGAATTGGCCAAGCAGTCTTAGAGCACTGAACACATTAAAGTAAGCTCTGTCACTGTAGTCATGAGGTTGTGAGTTCAACTCATATTAAGATCCTTGCATTTATTCATTCATTGTTATTTAAGATTGGAAAGTATTCTGTCCGTGAAAGTAAGTTAGAATATAACAAATCAACTGCAAAGTTCTATGATGACTTGAAGAGGGAAGTGAAAGTGGTTTCACAGTGTGATGTATGCTCAGATTGCCCGAAAGATGAAACCACTGAAAATGCTCAACGTAATTTACTGTTTGGAACTCGGTAAATGAACATTTTATTTAAAAATCATATAACACAAGTTGCAACTTTCAACACATATCTGGAAAATTTAATCTCTATTATAAGTTGCACTTACATTTGGAGTGCTCATGAAGCAAAGAAATATACAAAATTAATTTGGATTTAATTTTGGGGTAAAAAGGTGAACACACCTGAGGGTCCATTGGCATTTCATTGGCAAAACTAAAGAAGTAAAACAACAAAAGAGATGTACATGTATTTGGTAAAACAAGCCATGAAGGCAGAATTTGCACTTTTAACTATTATTTCAGTAACCATGAACCACTGCAGAAGGCACTTCTTGCTTTCCTAGTGATGTTTCTGGTTATGTTTTTGATTGCTATGTTATTAGCTGTGGGTCTCATTATCATAAAGAAAAGAAAGAAAAGAAAAGGTACACTCACTGAATGTATGAGATATAGCTTGAATTTCCAAATCATTGAAACATGAAATCATACAAATTTAAGGCATTAAAATGACAAAATATCACTACTTGGTACATTGCAAATGGACACAAAAATTTAAATCACATTCACCTCTCAATACATAATAGTTCCTCAATGTACATGCATAATGTAAGTAGCTTACCAATTTAAATTACATATTCAAAGAGTGTAGATAAAGATGTGTAACTACTCTGAAAAAGGGTAGCCAATAAGTGCACATTTTACAACATTGCAGCTGATGGACAGACAGTTGCTGCAATTGAGCTTAATGATAATGGGGGAGCGGGATACCCTGATGAATCACAATGTGACTCTTATGAGGATGTTTATAATAATGTATCTATAGGTAAGCCACACTTATCATTAATGCTTCATTGAAAATAAAAGGGAACATTTCAATTTGATTATAAAAACACCTCTAAACATGTACATGAGTTTATTTTTTGTGTAAATGAAATATGTATACGATATTATATGATATGCCCATTATCACTTTCCCAGTACTAGTAGACCTGAGGCCTGAAATGTGGCATAATTTAATCATCGGAAGGTAAGAAAACAACTCAACACATTCACAAACTACCAAATAATATGTCACCTACATTGACTTCCAGGGGTATATTCTGGAATACCCTACAAAATACCCAAAGCGAAATCATCCCCTGTATTTATGACTAGTTCTCCGCTTGTCAACTGTTTTAATGAATCATATTCTCTGCAATTATTGTAGTTTAGAGCTTTAAGGCCACTTTATGGGTTTCTTAACAAAGATATGCACCCAATGCACATTGCATTGTTTTCCAGATGACTCAGATGGTTCAGTGTATTTTCGTGGACAGTATATTCATCCGCAACATGAAGACCCTCAACTTCAGCCACCTCAACCAGATACAAGGTAGGTTAAATAGGTTATCTCGGACTTGGTTTGGGTGTATGACACTGTTTCTTTGTATACCTTGAAGATCCTGAATTGGGAAGGGAGTGGCAGCCACTGACAGTGTTTCTTTGTATACCCTGAAGATCCTGAATTGGTTAGGGAGTATCAGCCAAAGCCAGTGTTTCTTTATATACCCTGAAGATCCTGAATTGGGAAGGGAGTGGCAGCCACTGACAGTGTTTCTTTGTATACCCTGAAGATCCTGAATTGGTTAGGGAGTATCAGCCAAAGCCAGTGTTTCTTTATATACCCTGAAGATCCTGAATTAGGTAGGGAGTGGCGGTCACTGTCAGTGTTTCCTTGTACACCCTGAAGATCCTGAATTGGGTAGGGGGTGTCAGTCACTGTCAGTGTTTCTTTGTACGTCCATACATGTGATATTCTTATGTGTAGACGACGATTCATAAGAATATCACACTTATGGACGTAAAGAGCTGCGCAATAAATGATGACGTAACCATACGCTTCATAAGTTATACGGGAATAATAAACATGCTATAAGTGAGTTCCGAAATATCTCTCTTATCATTGTTTTGAATGCTTATGATTAAGTGCAAAGATGTGTTCTTTCTGACAAAAAGGATTTGCTGGTATTTCCTTGGTAATGATGCTATAATGCTTGTTCATTATTTACTTAAATCTTTAATATTGCTGTGTATGTTCTTAATTATTTATGACAATTTATACAAATTATGTTAATATTTTTCCAGTCATGAGCATTCTGAGGGAGCACATGTATATACCCCAGCTCGCTAAGTATATAACCCAACTCACGGATTAAATACCAAGCAGGATACCAACAAGATATTTCTGCAGGCATATTTGAACTGATCGTGTATTCTGTGTTGATGACTGAATTTAAATAACACAGAAGTGTTATATGGCCATGGTACCAGCATTATCACACTATGTTATTCTAGTGACCAGCATTATCACACTATGTTATTCTAGTGACCAGTATTATCACACTATGTTATTCTAGTGACCAGTACTATCTCACTAAGTTATTCTAGTGGCTTATTCAAGCTTAAGCACCTTGAGAACATATACTTGGAATACTTAACCGCATAATGCAGACTGCATTAATGAATATAAACTGTATTGTACATAGAATAGTTAAAGCTCCAATGTATAATATACTATTATTAATGGATGGACAAACAAAGTGACAACAAATAAACGCCCATATGATGCCTGAGCTAAAAAACAAAGAGAGAGGAACAAACAAACAAACAAACAAAGAAACAATCAAACAACAAACAAACAGAAAGGGGACATCAATATCTACTTACCTTACTGCTAAGTAGGTTAATACCCAGCAAACCTCTGAGACCAATGCTTGGTTATCTTCCTGAAGAGTAATATGTTTCAGTAGGAGAGGAACAGCACCAAGATCAACCAGAGCTCTATAGGAATAAAACATAAATCAAATTAAGGATTTAAGTCCTTAACTCAGTGCAATGTGGAATGACCAATCCTTGATGGGGAGCATCAAGTGTTAATTTTAGGAAACAATGCCTGAAAGGAATGGTCATCACAGAATGCATGCAAGTCTTGGGCTTAAATTCTTTTCAAACATTGCAAAATACAGTAGAACCTGCTAAGTGGAACACCTCCGTAAGTGGAACACCTCGCAAGTGGAACACTTTTTCAAAGTCCCGTTTTAAAAACCCATTGACTTAATGTTAATTGAACCTCTGTAAGTGGAACACCTCCAAACTTGAACAGTGAACACCCCATATTGAAAAATTAACCTGCTAAGTGGAACAGTCAACCTCCATAAATTTCAATAAATCCAACAGTGATATCTGGTTAAAACAGGTAATAATGTGATAATGGCAAATTAAGATTTTAACAGATTACCATTCAGAGAATTAACCTCCTGTAGAGGCCAACATGTGATGCAAACACAACTTAATTTGATTATCAGCAAATTAAGATTTCATAAACTTATCATTCAGAAAATTGGATTAACCTCTAGTAGTGATGGACACTAATTAATACCATTGCTGTTTGTTTTAAACTTATAGGTAAGATTAATAATGTCATTTAAAAACAATTGTATTATTAGCAATGGGAACAAGAACGTAATTAAAAAATCTTTGTACCTGAGACTGGCAGAATGAGGAGGATTAGGAATGTCAGAAAACATTTTTGGCAGAATGAGGAGGATTAAGAATTTCAGAAAGCATTTTTGGCAGAATGAAGAGGATTAAGAATGTCAGAAAACATTTTTGGCAGAATGAGTAGGATTATGAATGTCAGATACCTATTTGAGTAAAACAAATGGATTATTAATATTATATACCTGCCCTGCAATGAAGGGGAGAATCATATTTCCAGTGATATATATAAATCCTATATTTGATGTTGTATGTTCTTAAAATCCCCGCCAACCCAAAACCTCCGTAAGCGGAACACCTCCTAAGTGGAACGCTTTTTGGCAGAACAGAGGGTGTTCCACTTACACAGGTTCTACTGTATTTTCTACATAATCATCTAAAAAATATGCAATCACTAAAACAACATCTTTCCAATGTAAATTTTGCAAGGGTCAACCTGGCAATATGTATCAATTTCAAGTTGTAGAGTCCACTAATCACCATGACAACTGTTTAACTAGTGACCTTGTAATGGAATGCAGTTAAGTGAAATAGCGTGTGTTATGATTGGCTGGAATTGGACACACCTCGCCTAGCTATGTGTGGACAAGGCATGACAAAATGGCACCACCAGTACGTGGAAGTTGTCGGAATTTATTACGGATGCCAAACCCTGAATCCTGACTGATGAACGCTGAACAACTTCCACTCCTGGTGATGACATAATAATTTGCACTACTTATATTGTGTGTCTGCCAATCTCAGGAATAAAGGAATAAAAAAATCTGTTTTTTAATTTAATAGATTGATATGCTAATATTATATTAAGATCATTTCATGTTTTCATTAACCATATAATATATGCTTTAATCTTTCACAAATGGCAAAACGGTTTTAAAAAACAAAATAGATGTCAACTGCTGAGGCAAAGTTATATCACGTTACTTAGATGGTTATTACAAAAGTGAACATTCTCCCTTTAAATTTCATGTGCCAATTTGAAATTATAAATGGGTGTTATCAATCTCAAAGAATCTAAAAATAGTCATTCCTCCGTTGTAAAATATAGAATGAGACTTGTTCTGATTAGACAGAATATGATATCATGTCTACATTTGTGTGAATTTTGTATATTGTGTGTAAAGCGATCTCTAGGGTGTCATTTACAGAGGTGCGTACATGTACTGCATTGAACAGAAAACATGATGAACCAAGACTCTATAGATAAATACAAATAAATTAATGAGTTGTATTGCTGTACAATCCGCTTTAAACACAACACACTTGCCATTTTGATATATTTTGAATCTCAAAGTAATTTAACAATGGATCTAATCAGTAGTTCAGAATTTTGATATAGTTTTTCCACATATTTGTTTCAATATATTTTATTGATTTTATCATTTATAGTGAGTGCAATTCCCTGAGTCATTGACAAAGGTTCATCAAGGCCAAGAATACAGAATGATATAAAAAAATCAAAGTTGTTTGGAGTTTTTATGATTATAATGCCAGCCTCTAAGAAGAGTCTTGGAGAATATTGGAATACATTATTCATTTGATAGTCATTGGTCTAGTTTTAGTTCAGTTTTGTATAATGTAGATTGTTAAAGTGACTAATTTTTCATTGTTATGCATGACATCAGTCAAAAAAGACATATAATATATAAAGTCATTATCAATCAGTTAAATAAATTGATTTTTTGATACAAAAATGCTCTTTGTTTTATATCACTTCTACTGATGGAAATATTAAAGATAATAGATATACAGTTCCCAAACTTGTAGACTGTCATTTCAATAGTAAAAAATAATATCTTGCAATGTGAACGTAAACTGTTGAAAGCAATTTTTTCAACAAGGCGTTAACATGACAAAATGTCACTACCTTGTTGCTCACAATATTATGAGTTCAATCTTAGTCAGATTTGAATTTCCTAGAACTTTATGATTTTGAAAAAATAAATTGGTCAATTTGAAGCAAGTTGTAAAAAGACCTTTTTGAGAATGTCATTGAAGGTGAAATCTATAGTCAGATTTGAACTGTTGAGAACTAGTAGATGATTTTGAAAAAAAGACTGGTCAATTTGAAGCAAGTTGAAAAATACCTATTTGACCGTTTTTGACCTTGAGAAGGTCATTGAAGGTCAAATCTAAAGTCAAATTTCTGATAACTTGTAGATGGTTTTGAAAAATGAAATTGAAGCAAGTTGAAAAAAGACCTTTTTGGACCTTGAGAAGGTCATTGAAGGTCAAATCTAAAGTCAGATTTGAACTTCTGATAACTTGTAGATGGTTTTGAAAAAAAGAATTGGTCAATTTGAAGCAACTTGAAAAAGACCTTTTTGACCTTTTTTGACCTTGAGAAGCTTATTGAAGGTCAAAACTCAAATCTAAAGTCAGATTAGAACTTCTGATAACTTGTAGATGATTTGAAAAAAGAAATTGGTCAATTTAAAGCAAGTTGAAAAAATATCTTTTTAATCTTTTTTGACCTTGAAAAGGTCATTAAAGGTCAAATCTTAAATATAAAGTCAGTATTGCTCGGTAACATAAGAAATCTAAGGATTTTCCCGAAATGAAGTCACAATTGTTGGATTTTCCAGAAAAAACAACTTGAGAGCAAAAAATATTGTAAAATTTTTTCGAAACTTGCATCTTGTTTCTATTCCTTCTCGCCCCCTTTGAAGAACAATGTAATCATTTTTGAATGTTAACTTACTTGGTGTTTGCACCATCTCCACGAATCATGTTAGAAAGAGCAAAAGCTGCTGATTGGACAAGGCTTGGTTGTGGCGCCTACAACAAACAAATAAACAAACAAACATTCAATCCAACTCTATTTCTTGATTTTTATACAAAGTTTACTTCAGGATTCATATATAACATCTAAAAATTGGTTGAATAGGATAACTAAAAATGACATTTTTGGTGAGTCACAGTGGAATCTACTTAGATTTTTTGCATGGGAAATACTGCACAGAATCGTCCCTAATGCCAATCAAATCCAACTGAATAATGAAATATAGATTTGAAGAACATCTGCAATTGCTTTTAAGATTTAAGAGTAAGGCAAAGTCTATGAGGCAAGAGATAGTCTAGAGCAAGATTATTGCATACTCATAAAGGTCATATACCTGAAGCAACTGCACCAGGGGTGGGAGAGCCCCTTGTTGAATCACGAGATCTCGACACTTGGGTCCATCCCCTGCTATATTACCAAGAGCCCAGGCACACTGGTCCTAGAAAAAGGAAGAAATATCCCAGAGTTCAAAGATGAACATATCTCCATGTAAAGTTAAACCTCAAGAGGTCCATCTTTGAATTCTAAGATATTCACCATCTTGGTTCTAAAATTAATTCATTTGTTTTACTCCAAGCCCCTGGATCGCCTCAAAAGGTGCTTGAAACAGAGGAAATACATAATTCTGGAGTTGACCACTTGAGATATATGCAAAACATCATTCACAGGAAAATAAAATTTTGTACAACTTTTACTAAATTGATTTCTTCTCAGAGTAATTTGCCTATATACAATTTACATTAACTTTAAAGCAATTTTGTCTTAATTTGTCTTAAAATTCATTTTAATTAAACATAAAAGTTTCTCGATATAAATCCTGCCAAAATTGCATTGTATGTAAATACATGCACTTCTACTTCGGAAGTCCACCATAAGTTCTTGACACATATTTTGTTTTATTTACGTAATAAATTAAAATATTAAATATTACATTCATGTGAATCAACTAACTTGGAGCATGTGGTTGCTTCCACTAAGGAATGTGACCAAATAAGGACCTGCTACTTTAGCCATTGCATAAGCATGATCATCTGTGCCTAAAAATATATGAGATTACCAGTGTGTTATATGAGGTTTAGGATATCGGTTAAATCCAGAGGAAGATAATATGTATATATCTACCTGAGGGTCTAATGCCTACTAAATGAAATGATATCTGTACTTTCTGAGAAAAAATACATTTTATGGCAGCGAGATTGTGAGATTTTCATGCTTTATATTCAAAAGAATAAAAAAAAGCCATTCAAATGCAAAATGTCACCACCAGCTATTTGTTACAGAAGCCAAACACGAAATATCATCCACAAAAAAGTTGGGGATGTAAAAGAAGATGTCACCGCTTGTGGTAATAGGTTAAAATGTATGTTTTAACTGAAATCATCCAAGAGAGGGGTATGATATTTAACCATTAGCACTGGTGCAAATAAAGCCCAAATTCAACCACTCACACATGATTGAGAAAATAAATGTTGGTGTTACTATGAAAACAAAAGTTCATAAGTTAGCAATAAAACTTTTACTTTTGCTCTTGAACAAACATATATAGAACTTACATGGCCATTTATTGCTTTATAAAGAAATTATGGGTAGTATTCCTATAGAAACCAAAATAAAAATTTGCTGTATAAACAAGCATGGGATGTTTGTGTTGCTATGGGAACCAAGATATACCTGTTGCTATGTTTGTAACACACCATGCAGCATCAAGCTGTACATCAGCATCATTGCCAGATAACAGACCAATCAGCTGATCAACTGCATTCTCTGTTCTATAATCAATCAAAAAATCAGCCAATCAAATAATCAACGAGATTCTCTGCATTGACACTAGCCAAATATGAGCATTAGAAAAAATGGAAATGACCTACTTGCAATTGCAAGATTTAGTTTTTACTGAAAAGATGCTTTTTCACTTTTGAAAAAATGCTCTAAAAATATACAGCTTTTATACTGAATGTCTGAAGTGAACTACCCTTTCCAATCGTTCACCTTCGCTTCTAAAAGGAGAGCTTAATCTTTGAAGTTTATACCTAGACTTTGCACCCAGGGTATATAAAATGGACATGTACTAAAGATTTCATTCATTTGCTAACAGGTCACAATGATAAATTTTTCAATGTTATGAGTAAATTCCCCATTTAAGTCTATTTTTACCATTCCCCTTATAAAAATTCTTTGAAGCAAACGACACATGTTTAGCCCAATCCTCTAACCCATAAAGGACCAGATTAATATTTATTGATATTATCCTTAAACATTTTACTCCCCTCCGCCAGAAAAAGTTCTAAAACATTTACTGATTTTTCAGAAAACAAGGTCATTTCATTCTAAAATTAATAAACCTCAAGAAAATGTACTATTTAATGTCATGGACTTATGCCCCCTATTCCAAATGTATTTACGTTTGTGGATATATAAACCAGCTCATAATGTGTTAACTTACTGCATAAAGTGGTCAATGTAGACAGTCCCCTGAGCAAAAGCACGTTTCAAGATAGTCAGCTTTTCATGCTGAGTCTTTGAACTTTTGTGGAATAGGGAAGTGGCTTTCGTAACCTAAAAATATTCCACGAATGTCAGTAAGTTAAATATGCATATAGGCCTATAGGTATTTTTACACTTTGCATTGTAAAACTTTTTCTGTAATCGTCATATTAAAAGAAACACAATTGATATTAATAATATTTATATTTAAGAAATCAATTAGAAATATTTCAAAGCTTTTTACAAAAAGCCAACAGAAAAATTTGATATAATTTAACTAAAACATAATATGTGAGGTAGGCCTATTCTATATTAAGATCACAGTACCCTACACAAAAGTATGGCATCCTATGAAATTGACCCTCATTCTTCAAAAGACAATAATTATATGAATGAGTTTTGTATGAGGGTCATTTGAGGGTTGTGTGAGGGTTGTTTGTGCAAATATTTACAAAAATACATGAATTTACAGAAGTGCTACCTGATTTCAAAATAGAATAAATAGAAAAAATAACAAGGCATCAACATGCCATGGGACACATCACCACCTAGTTCTCACAATATTATGAGTTCAATCTTTGAATTTCTGAGAACTTGTAGATGATTTTGAAAAGATAAATTGGTCAATTTGAAGCAACATAAAAAGACCTTTTTGACCTTGAGAAGGTCATTGAAGGTCAAATCTTTTTGACCTTTAGAATGTCATTGAAGGTCAAAGCTATAGCCAGATTTGAACTTTTGAGAACTTGTAGATGATTTTGAAAAAAAATTGTTCAATTTGAAGCAAGTTGAAAAAAAGACTTTCTGACCTTTTGTGACCTTGAGAAGATCATTGAAGGTCAAATCTTAAATATAAGGTCAGATTTAAACTCCTGAAAACTTATAGATCATATGATTTTGAAAACAATTGAAGTCAGTCTAAACAGTATTTGTTAAGTTATTAGAAGTTGTAGAAATTTAGTACAGACGCCGATCACCAATTGCCGATCTCCAGCCAACTAGCAATCACTGTCAAAACCGGGATCCAAAATTAAATCTGTCTGTATTTGGCAATATTCTAACCTCTTCCATTGTGACATCATCAAGATCCTGGTGAGCTTCATCTACACGAGCACGTTTAGCATTCACCAGTTTTTCACGCTTTTCTTTCCGTAACTCTAGAAATTAAATAAAATTCACTTCAAATGTCTGGGCTTCCAAGGTCAATATGACACGAGGTGAAAATTCCAATAGTTCAACCCATCAGAAACTGGGGAGTTGGTTGACATGTAAACTATGTTCAAGGGTCAAAACATTATTTTATGGCAATGCAATTCTTGTCAAAACAAAAAAGGAAAAGTCAATGCACCATGACTAATTTCACACTTATGCTTCTTCATCGACAAAACAAAGGTGATGGGGCTACATTGAAATTATCTAGAAGGCACGACTCCCAACCTTTAGCCAATTCTTATTTTTCAAATTCTAGCGACGCAGTCAGGCCTAGTTCAACAAGTTAAACCCAATACCACAGCTGATTATAATCTGAGTGTTCTTGTTGCCGTGGTTGGGTTTAACTTCTGTGCTATGCTTTCATTGGTTGCAAATTCTCACTATCAGTTATTAATAAAACGCGCATAGAATTCTATGCGCTGCCATAGGCCATCATTAAATTTTTTTGCATCAAGGGCCGAATAGGCACGGATGTTAAACCTAGGGCGGGCCACAAGAAATGTCAGATAAGAAATAAGGCCCAGACTAGTTTAACTTGTTGAACTAAGTCAGGCCATGAAAAAAGTGGTAGAGAGATCTAGACATGGGGAGAATATAAAGGCTGACAGTCAATGGTTTAAATATATTTTCAATCTTTTGGGATAGTTGTGTGGTGTGTTTTTTTGCTGTCCTTCAGGTTGGACAATAGATGACAAGTGTTCTGTGGTCAAAGCAGGATAACTGGGCGATAATACAGTGAATTGTCAATTAAACTGAAATATGAAACAATTTACCTCCCTCTGCCTCTCGCCTCTTGCTTCTTAGCGCTGCCGCATCATGAGCCTTGTGTTTATACTGCTTTTTCCTATCTGTCCCGGACATTGTTGAATCCTTTGCAGGCCAAATGTGAAATAAATTGAAGTAAACAAGTTCAGGTTTTACCTGCTACTTTTTAGTCCGTCACTTTGTTATGATTTACTTATTTTCGTTTGTAATATTAGATATTTATTTATATATGTCAATTTTAACTGTGTATTTTGATAATCTGGATGTATAATTTGTCATAATATTAAAGATAAGTAGAGGTTTTTTAGTCTAAAAATCATTTGAAAGAAACAGAATGAGGTAAACAAAAATTCCGCCAGATTTTGATTTTTAAAAATTCAGATCAATTTCCCTATTTTAGGGATTTTTTCCTGATTTAAGATCTTATTTTAATAAAACCCGACCCGACGAAGTTGCTTGTGCTGACATGGTGAGTTATTTACTTCTACCTTGAAAGATATGTAAAATTGAACTTGCTGAATTTGCATTCTATTTTGTTATTCATGTTCGAATCACATTCACAGTCAGCACCATCTATATAGGGCATAGGCCTATCATTGAGCTAGGGAATATAGTAGTAAGGTTACACATATGGTTGGGGCCTGTTCCTGTAAGGATGTAATGACCCTTGATAACAAGTTGCTACTAGAGTCCATTTCACTGCTTCATTTCGTCAGTAGAACGGCAAAAATAAGAAATTGGGAGACCATTGTGCAATAATATATGGAAAAGTATATTCATAATGTACATGAATGACATTTGTATATTTCAGATTTTTTAGTTTTTTGTGCAATAAGCCTGTGCCGTCTTGTAATTTGAAGAATTTCAGCCATGTTAATCTTATTGAAAATAACATGGCAGAGAAACATCCAAATATAAGAGGCCACACACTTTATAAGCCAAACTAGAAGCAATCCAACATATACAAATGTCATTCATGTACATTATGAATATACTTTTCCATATATTATTGCACAATGGTCTCCCAATTTCTTATTTTTACCGTTCTACTGACGAAATGAAGCAGTGAAATGGACTCTACAAAGGCCTGTCCAAAGGATTTCTCTAGGGGGCAACTTTTGCGTACTGATGGATTGCGCCCACGCAAATAGATATTGACACAAAGCGCCGCAAGCTAGGGAATGAGGAAAAATTTGGAAATTTAGGCCCTTTCTGGTGCTTTTTGAGCATATCTTGGAGTCATTTTCCCATACAAAAATCTCTAAAGAAAAAAATGTCTGGAAAAAGGGAGGTGGCAATTGCCCCAAACGCACCCCCCCCCCGCCCCTTCGAACAGGTTTGCTACATGTACACTATCTCAGTTGTATTAGCAAGCCCTTATGGCTCAGGGGCAGAGCATTGGTCTTTGGAAGCGGAAGGAGGCTGCCTCCATATTGAATTGTTTAGACTATATCAGTATATACATTGTATGTTTGTCTATGTCTGTGTCAGTAGTCTGCAAACAGCTAATAACCCCATTTAAATTTAACAGTGATAGCCTTTGAATAGAATATAATTTAAGTGTGTTGTTTATTTTTAGTCGAAGCGCAAGGGACTTAGTGTCGAAGAGAAAAGATCCAGAATGATGGACTTCTTCTTTGAAAAGGTAATTCATTCAAGCATGATTTCTAAAATGTCAAAATTCCTTGAACTTTTTGAAAGACTGTACTCATCCATGTTAAATCAAAGACTCTATTAAAAGTTTGTGATATACTGTTCGCCCATATTTAATAGCATAATAGATAGTACAGTTTCGTTTAGAAAAAGAAATATTTCAAGTATTTGAGTCAGTTGATCAGTCTGAGCCCAGAAATGAGATTAGTGGCAAGCCCCGCAACTTATTGCTCTCAGTCATGTCTACAGTAGTCCCCAGAATTCATAGATGAGCATTTAGACATTCATTTTTACATGGAGGTTCATCTATAAATTGTGGGGTATTTTCTCCCAAGTGATCTCCCCAGCATTAAAGCAAGTGGGTGCAGCATCCACCTGACATTTTGAAAATAGGCTTGCACCCACCACCTGAAAATCCATTTGCAACCACTTGATGAGACAAATCATGAAAAATTGGCATATTTTGACAAATTATGATCTGAATTGTGAAAATGAGAATTTTGCACCCACCTGAGAAAAAATCCTGGGGAGATCACTGCCTCCTCTTAAATTCACTTTATAATTTCAGAAAGATTTCTTCCTGTTGAAGGAGTTAGAGAAACAGTGTCAGAAAGAGAAGGGCATCACATCAATGTCTGTCAAGGACATTGTTCAGAGTTTAGTAGATGATGGCATGGTTGATACAGATAAGATTGGGACTTCAATCTACTTCTGGGCATTCCCAAGCAAAGCTAGTCAAAATGTAAGTAGAAAAAAGCATGGTTTACATCATGATAAACCAGGCCCATAGCCAGGGGGGGTTCAATGAGTTCAAGCGAACCCTCCCTGGTCAAAAAATATTTCAAAATCATGCAGTTTTTCACCATTCTGAACACTTTTTAAGTGGTTTTGGCCATTTTTGGACGAAAATTGTCACAAGTGAACACCCCCTGAAATTTTTCAAAAAGTGAACCCCCCCCTGGCAAATCGCAAATCCTGGCTACGGGCCTGTTAACCACGGCATCTCATTTCTCAGCCATGAGCCATGTTTTGTTTTAGTGAAACAGAGTCAGAAAGATGTGATGAGTATCAGAATTCATGCTGTTCTATCATCAACAATAATTGTGGAAAAACAAAGTAAATATTGTTGTCGTTTATCCCTCCTCTCCCATCATTGAACAAAATTATCTTTCATTTGAAAATTCAACAATCTTAATGAAATCATCATTTTGCCCCTGTTAGTCTTTTTTAAATGAAATCCTCTATCTCCTTATTGATTCATTTTATTCTAACTTTCTTTTTTGATTTTTACAATAATTTTTCTGATTTTCAATGTCTAGATATCTTTCTTGGTAGCATGCTCTTGTTCAAAAACTAAAACTTAAATCTTAATGATTTGATGTAACATTTCTTTTTATAGTCTGCAGTCTGCAGTTTTATAGTCATTTCTGTTAATTAGTTAAAAACATTAGCTATCCAAATTAGCCGATGATTAAATCGTCGATCTCAGAGAGTAGAAAACTGGTGCCAAGTTTGGTGTGGCAAAATCATCCAGCTTTCTATCCTGAGACCGACGATGCATCATCAGTATAATTGTTTATGATCTTTTCTTAAATAGACAGTACATGATATTACAAAATCAACTTGGCTCAGTATAGCGAATATGGTATAGTATATTGTAAGGAAAGGAGAGCTTGGACGACTTTTATGATTTGGCATAAGTGTGTCTCATTTTGGCATACACATGTCGCATTCTGGCATAGTTGTTCATATAATAATGAAAAGTAAGTTTGTTTACATGCGAGGTATTTGTTCCTTGTCTTCAATAATAATGTTGTTTATATTAATCTGTGGCAAAGAGAAAAATTTAGACTTTGTCGCTAGAAATATTCCGAACATACAATCAACTATATGATTGTTATGATTTCATGTTTTATTACTCACATTACCCCCTCTTAGCCTCAGACCTCCGGGCTGACATATAATCAACAAGGAAAAAAAATTCAAGCGCATACTGATAAGAACAACACACCCTGAGTAAAGAAGTAGTACTACTCAAAATACCAAACAAATCTTATTATTATACTGCCAATGATTATCTTACAACTTGACCAATCTCAGCATTTTAAAGTATCGATAATCATAATATATGCATGTCCATTTACAAAAATATGGAACAAAAATAGAATTATTCAAAATCTGAACAAATACAACTCATCCATTCGGTACTGTATAGCACAGAGTGTGTTGATCCATCCAAACACTTTACAAAAGCAATACATAAGCTCAGCAAAATACATAATTTTCATAATAATAAAATATCATTATTAGAGAGATTTCAGAATGCATTTGTGTATCTTCCCTTGATCTGCTCAGTTGCTAATTGGAGAGAACATAACAATTCGTGTTGGTGTTATTAATTTATTTTAATATCAAATAATTAAAATAATATCAATTAGCAAGTTGGCTAGTCATATCTGTCCATAGCATACTTATAAATCACCCATGAATATAAGTTATAAAGCATTGATTCATGAAATATACTTTTTTATATATATATTAAGATCATATTTTTGCATTCATAGCTATCCGCATAATCATAAGTTATGCTTTAACTTTATGAAGAAATCTCTCTAATATCAGTCCATTGTTAACATATAGTATTATCATGTTAGATAAAATATACAAATCTCATCATTCAACAACTGAATAATCAATCCATTTCATAAGAATGACTGTGACCTTCATTATGATCATAGTATTCTTACTTTTTTTTATTTATATATAGGAATACCGATATCATGAATATTTAGATAAGATCATGTGTAATATTACATATCAAATGAATATAATTATAATTCTAAACGAAATTCCACATTTGTAACCACTCTCCCTATAATACAATATTGAAACTATGTATTTTTATTGTTATAGTTATTTTGATGATGACTTAAACGTACATTTGATGATATTTTTAACTGAAAGATGTCATGCTGAACTTATCAGTTATCTGAACTTGTCAGTTTGATACTTGTTCAATCATCCGCATTTTGTTATCACCTTGTTAAGTCATCATCATCGTCATTATCATCATCCTAGTTATATAATATAAAATTAGTATTCTCCACAGGATTTTTTTTCCTTAACTGTGTGCAAAAATTTTCATTTCATGATTCAGACCAAAATTGGTCAAAATATGCCCATTTGACATGACATTTCTCCCATTCCCAAGTGGGCGTTAATGGACCCAGGTGGGAACTACAGCTGTATATGCTATATTTTAATGCTGGGGAGATCACTGATAATGGACCATTACAAATACATACATGTATAATGTAATAATACAAATTGTTGGTACAAAATAATAATGCATTATAAAAGATATAATATATTTAATAAATTCATACACTATAATGTATTTTCAAGAGCCATGCTCCTTCAATCTGAGATATCCTTACACTTCTATCATGTCAAAATATTCCAATAGGCATGTGTCCAAATAATCTAAATCAGGCTTATGAATCCCCGACAAAATTAACTTGTTCTTCAACAGGGATTGTGTCTATGATCTTGCTCCCAACCATAGACGTAGCGCTATATTTATAGTAGTTTCTAGTAAGCCATCATGGGGAATACGAGTTGAGTGAAATGTAAATACGGATTCAGGCGGGTCTGGGCGGGAGAAAATTATGAAGTATTGTATTTAGAGTGAATTTGCAACCATATGGTACGCCTGTGCGTACTGGGTGCTATGCCCTTTCTTGCCTTAAATTAGAACATAATTGCACCAAGAAAAGAGAGTATTTTCACCAGCTTTTCATCAGAGGATGCATGTAGTTAGTGAAACTAGAATTTAACACCTTGCTGCTGCATAATTGTGTTGTATGATTCCAGAGAAAACGCAAGATAAATGAACTAGAAGAAGAACTCAAAGAAGTGGAGAAAAAATATGCCGAGACACAGGAGAAATGTCAGAAAATGAAAATAGGAAAAGAAGATACAGTATGTAGCTAAATGCAATCCTTACTACATTTTATAAATTACGTGTGGGCTGTTTGATCTCTTATCCTTACTTAGTTACTTTATGGAGGGGGAGAGATGTAATTTGAAAAACGCCCCTTGGGGTGTCTTTTTCATGTTATTGATGAAATATTGTATGATGTAATTTTGAATGAATAAATTGAATTTAATTGAATTGAATTGAAATACACCGTTGTTTGTGATACTAAGTTTGACATACAATATATAATAGTGAAGTATTTAATTTGATAATTTATAACTACAGTGGAACCTTTATATCCGAACACCTCATATCCAAACACCTCTCAATGTGAACACCTTTCCTCAGTAATTTTTAGCAGCTATCATTTTCATGAAGAACTTTGTATGAATGCATATTGAGAGAAGTAAAATGCACTAGCCAATTAATTAATCAATCAATAAAATTATGGAAAATTATTTTTGCTCAAAGTAATGCACAACTCAAAAGTGCACTATATCCTGTGTTTCTCAAGTTGATGCAAATCTCAATTTTCACAATTTAGACCAAATTTGATCAAAATATGCCTGTTTTTCATGAATATTCTCGTTTTCAATGTAAATGGATTCTCCGGTGGGTGAAAGCCTATTATAAAATTTTCAAGTGGGTGCAGCCCCCACTTACTTTAAAGCTGCCGGGAGATCGCTTAGAATTGTAAATTTTAAAGTGATGAATATGTTACATTTTAGGATGAGAGGCATCAGATTCTCAAAGAATTGCAGAGTAAAACTGAAGAACATGAACACCTCCTTAAAGATATAGAAAGGTTTAAAGAATGTGACCCTGAAATGTTGGAAGCTATGAAACAAGAAGTTGATGTTGCCAAGGAAGCTGCCAATAGATGGACAGGTTAGTTTGGCATGAATTTTACACAGGCAGGCCAATAGCCAGGGAAGGGGGGGGGGGTTAGGGGATTCGAGCGAAACATTCTTTCAAAGTGATGCAGGTTTTTACCAGTCTGAGCACTTTTCACATGATTTTACCACTCATTCGTTCAGCTTGAAATTTTTAGAGATGCAATAGACTAGTACCAAGATCTGATAAGGAAACCTGGATGCTTGCTATATTACATGACAGCCATTAGGCTACATTTTGGATTCTTTGATAAATCGGCCATTTTGAATTTTTCAACTTGCTTCAAATTGACCAATTTTCTTTTGAATCATCTATAATCTGACCATAGATTTGAGATTTGACCTTTGGTTGACCTTCAGTGACTTTTGAAAGGTTCAAATTAAGGTCAACTTAATTACAAAATTTTCAAGGTCAAAGGTCAACATTATCAAACTAGTTCACACATGATGTTATCTAAGTTTTTCAAAGTTCCAGACTACAAATCATGCTTGTCATCACAATTCCAGAAAAATTGCTAACCTGCTCAACTTGAATTTTCTACACATGTGAGCAGACTAGAAGCTAAAATCTGATCAGGTTTTTGGCATGCTGGGTAAATTAATGCTTACCATTTGCATCTTCAAAGTGCAATATTTATAACTGTGTGTCATTAATGTCATCTACAAATTCATGTTTGACAGTGTGGACTCAGATCTGAATTTTTTAGGGTTCTTGGTATGAAAGTCTAACACTGATTACTGATTATCTATTGTGGATACTGGATTTTTGCAGTGCCAATATTGGAATGTAGTCCTGAAATTGTGTATGAAGTCTCATCTACCAATTTGAAATTAAGGGATGTTTCTTGTAAAATGTAGAACTGATTAGTTTTCAGGGCATACTAGGTAAATTCTATGAAGGTATTTCCATCACAAAATTATGTCTGCATTCTCCAAACCTTTCAGTGTATTTATGGACAAACCACATTCCAGATCAAAACAGATGCATACCATGATCTTTCTCTGTAACTTAGCTATGGGAATGTAATATATGAAAACAAATTTTCATGAGTAGGTATAATCGTCCTTTACCTAACCTTAACGCTTAAAATAAAGACAGGGAAGTTGGCCAGATACATGTATAGCGTCTGTACCATTACCTGAAGCTGGGTGATTTGAAAATGTGAAAGTAACATTGTCAACTGTAACTGGAGAATACATGTTATAACTTCTGTATCTGTATGTTCCTGGCCGCTTTAGCCATATCTTTATGGAATATTTATCCTTAGAATTTACTTCAATTTTCTTGTCAAAAACAATCTTCTTTACAGTATCTCCCATTAGGACATCATCTTGTGTGAATGCATGTTTTACATCATATAAGACTTTGTTTGTTTTGTCAAGTACTTGGACTGAAGCTGTAAATTTATATGTTGTGGCTTGATAAGGAACAAAGACCCCCAGTCCAGTCAATATAATTGCTTTATCTGCTGTGAATGTAAGTGCATCACATGAATCTCCAGGGCAATTCCAAAAAGTACCAATACATGTAGTACAAATTGTGAAGCGCCTACATTCTTTTTCATTGAATTTTTCCCTTGTTTTTGTGTTAAACTTTGGATTTGCACATTGTTTTCCAATCGTTATACATTCCAGTATATCCTTGATTTCAAGGGGTTTTAGTATATCAGTTGGGGAAATGTGCTTCCCAAGCTCTTCAGGTGTAAGATCAAGTAGACGTAGCTTATAGAGATCATCACCAATCATCTCCCTCATGTTATCACCAGTGACGGGAAGGTCGTGCTTCTTACATGCCTCCTTCGCCCATTTTTCTACTGCCAGGAATACATCAACTTCTGACTGTATGCCTAACTTATCTTGATCTAAAACTAATCCAAGTACCTCATTTGAACAATTCAAGAATGCATCTGATGCTAACACATCTTCTGCGTTTTCTGCTATCATATCAAGGCAGTTCTTTTTGAGGGGTTCCTCATCAAAATTCAAGGATGCATACAGGATAGTGCAAACATTGTCTGGGTCTATGCTTTCATCAAGGTATTTCCTACATTTCTCACCCAAACCTGGAACTAGGTACTTCTTGGTGGCATAGAAAATTCCCATTACATTTTCTGGTGTTAGGTTAACTTCTCCATAGTAAATAAACCTTCAAATGGAAAAATATCACTTACAAAAAAAAGAATTTTGCAATGAAGAATAAGTTTGTATTGTAGTCAATGTATATCATGACCAAAAATTTAAAAATCCTATATATGCTATAAATTCTCTGTTCTCCCTAAATTTAGATTGAAAAGAAGTTGTGACATATTGTTATTGTCTTCAACTTTTATGTGGATGGTGTTCAGCCGTAGTTGGTTGGTATTCGGTGGTTGGCATCTGGAACAAATGGCAGGGGGTGACAAAAACTTATTGTGACATTCCAATACATTTACCTCATGATTTCGAGAAAAATCTCCATTGAAATGTCTGGTATATCAATGACATCAGTTGTCTCTTTGAGGTCCCCATAGAACATGCTCTTTAACACATCACTTGCAGCTCCTAGTATCACCTTATGAGCATACACTGTAGGCCCCTTAGAGGCACCAAAACTGAACCTAAGAGAAAAATACAAGATACTATGTATTGTTTGGCTTATTATGTAACCTAGGGGGCTTAGTACATATTGCATACCGGTAACTTAGATATGTGGCATGTATCATCACAGGAAGTTGTATCAAGTCATTTTTTGTCCTTTACGTTTTAATTGGCGTTCTCACTCTCAGTATAGATACTTCTTAAAGGACTCTCATAGAAAAATATCTGAAAAAATAGATGAAATCAAAAGTCGATTTTCTACAAAATTCTGACCAAACTTGCACAACTTAGCGTAAAAATAGTCCTGAATTCAAAACACCAATGGAATCCCTAATTGATTGATATTTCTATGATGAAAATAGTCGTGCAAAACAACAAGACATCATATAATCACTGACTCTGACTCAAACTAAAATAAAATGAAATTCACCCTCAAAAATTTTTATACCTTGGTATATAATTCACAAAGAGTTGGTGTTTTGAAATTCAAGAGTTAAAAACCATGAAGAACCAAAAAAGGACTTAATACAACTTCCTGTGAGTATCATATCATTTCCTTATTTTTCACAATCAAAGTTAAGTCAGAAAAAAAGATTTTTCTGAGTATAGGTATGAGGGGTGTGTTAAGGTTCAGCTGGAAAGTAACATTTTGGTAAAAAATTGCTATACCTGCACATGTTATTTTCTGGTACATAATTAAGTATGAAGGCATGTGTGTATTTCCTTGCTTTTTTCAGGAAAGTATCATTACACTGTCTACTTTTAGTAAACCTGTAAACAGGTCAATGGTAGCTCCTGTGTTGTCTGGAAACTTTGAAAGAAAATTTGGAAAAACAGGAAGTGTGAAATATCAGAATTCCCTGGAGTTCCCTTTGAACGCCTACCAGATATTCTAAAAGAAGACAATGTAATGATACTTTCCTGAAAAAAGCAAGGAAATTGATACATGCCTTCATACTTTATTTTGTACCAGAAAATAACATGTGCAGGTATAGCAATTTTTTACCGAAATGTTACTTTCCAGCTGTACCTTAACTTACTGAACATCACTCATGGTTTGACTGTTGAAGAGACCCTTGTAACGTTGAATGATTGTCCCCCACTCCTCTATGCCTTCAGGTTTTTCTGCCATCCTTCAAAGTTGATTATGTCTTATTTGATAATATAACTTTACAAGTGTCGTCTATCAGTTTTGAAATGGTGCACAACTTTTGAATCATGGTTTCAGTTCTGAGAAGTATCACAAACCATATGTTTTATACACTCATACAAAACAGGTCAAGATAACATTTGCATTAACCTACATACCTATTGATAAAACGTAAGATTAAAAATAAGTTGGCCAATAAATTTCATATATTATGTTGAGTCAGTTAGGAAGTTCTTAGAAGTTAGGCCTTCAAATTTAATATCAGTTTAGTGTTGCCTTTCTGGTTATTTCAAAAACCTTAACTTATGTTTTTAATATTATTAAACACCTACAGTATTCATAAGATTTTAACATCTTTGAATGTATTTTTCTGTTTACGTGAATTACCTTTGCAGTTTTAGAATTAAAAACAAATATTCACTTGGATATTTAAAAAAAAGTTATAAGTTTAGCTTAAACAGACAAATGATTAGAATGAGCCTAAATTAATTTAACCAAAGCATTAACATTTAATTATGTTAAGTAGATACATGCTGTGGACATAAGGGTAAACATGTGGTACTCTAAAAGAGGGAACACATTTCCTCATTACATGCAATTTTACAACAATCATTATATTATTATAAAACAATGTGTTTTATTTCAAGTGAAGTACCCATGATGATAAAAATATCAATCGAACAATTCGAAAAATTATGAATAGGGACCCCATGTCAACATTTTTATTTTCAAAATGTTGAAGCTATTTACTCAAAAGAGGATCTTTTTCTGGTTTTTATTGCATGAAAAGATTATTCAACAAATGGTCTAAATCTTTTTCAAAAGTAGAATGGTATTGAAAGTCTAGTTTTGAAGATATCAATTTTCGATGACCAAAATTATGCTGAAAACAATGGATAGCACAAGTTTTCCCTATGGGAAAATAACATGGGATATGTGGTTTTTAACTTAAACAGATTTCAACATCCATTTTTCAGAAATTGTTAATACAGTGTAGAAGAAACTCTCAATATGTTTAAATTGAGAAAAACAAAATCCTCGAGCCTATCATTTTTAAAAAAGTGTCAAGGTGGGGTCCTAATCAATTATTTTTCAGAGCGTTAGATTGATATTTTACTACCACGGGGACTTCACTTGAAAGAAAACAATTGTTTTTATAAAAAGAACACTGTATTTATGGCTAGAAAGTACCCATGGTTAAAGATATGACCATCTAAAATCACTTGCCATACTGAGCATGGACCTTTATCAGAAATAAAAAATTATTGCAAAGATAATCCTTACCCCTGTGAATGTGGGGTTTATTTTCAAATAACCCTCACAACTACTTGTGGATTGAAATGTCGCAATTGTAAAACGTTGTCAGTACTTCACACAAAGCTGAATTTTGTCTAAATAACCATTTCTCAAACTTATTTCCAACCACAAGATTACAATACACAAGTGTCAAGTAGTTTTGGGGTTGATTTGAAAAATCACACATTTATGGGGGTAGATAGCCTTAGAAATCAAATAATTAAAGAGTTACATTTTTATTTGTTTTATTTATTCAAACATGATGTAAGTATATTGAATAAAATGTTTTAGCTATTTTTCACGCCACCTCCATTGTAACCTGTATATAATATAAATTCTTGTTTTCAGATAATGTGTTCTCAACAAAATCCTGGGTGAAGAACAAATTTTGTGTGGAAGACAGCGTAATTGATAAACAGTTTGGAATACCAGAAGACCTTGACTACGTAGAATGATGCATCGCTATGGTAACATGTGCTATTGTGTCATCACTAGGTAACAATATAACGAACAGTGGCTATAGAGATATGAGATGATTGTGTCATTGTGCCAAATACATTACAACCATGATGTGTGTGTATTAACTATTGGTGACATTTGTTTCTATGACAACACTGGAAACAGCTGTAGTTTTGTTGCATGATGGACTCAAACAATATCCAAAAGCTATAATGCTGTTGATATTCATGTAAATGCTGTTTAAACAATGACATTTGGTTCATTACTATAGCAACATTAACTAACTCAGGGAAATGTAGGATTTACAACATTTTACTTGCCATCATGTTAAATAGTACTTTGTTTGGCGATGGAATAGTTCTGATAGGCGCTCAGTCTCTGACCCCATAAATGATAAAATGTCACCATCTGGTAAGTTATTGTAAATCGTTTCAAAATTGCAACAGTTTGTTACAGATTCCAACTGCTGAACTCAACTCACAAAATGTCATAACACTACAGGCGATAAGGATAGGTTGTGCTGTACTTCTTAATTTGGTGCTACTCATTATGGCAGATTTGCTGTTTTGAACATTTGGCGACTATTTAATTTGACGGACTTGCAATATTTCAATGTTCTAATAGTGCTAATTTACATTATACTAAAATTACCAGGGAATTTGGTGGCTACTTAATTTGGTAGACTTTAACAATTTGGCAATCAATAATTTGGCGGATCGCCAAATCAAAACAGCTGTCAAATAAAGTAGAAGTACAGTATACAAAATCACTGTATAACATCAAAATGTGAATGTGAAGTCATTGGGTATTTGTACATTAAGAGTGAAAGTTTATAACTTAACTAGTCCAGAGTAATGTAAATACAAAGGTTCTTTTAATACCTTTTTAGTCTTCATTGGACTTGATTGTATACCTCCGATCGACCAATCATAATGAAGTATTTTTCCAAGAAAAATTAATGATGAATAAACATAAAATATGTTAATATTTCTTAGTAAAGATTTATTATTTGTTACTGCATACTACAAGGTTCATTTTTAAACACCATGTTAACATAAACAGCGATACTGTAAATTACAGAATGTAGCCATATTTTAGAATAAGAACAATAAATTATATGCAATCAAACAACATTTTAAGAGTTAAAATACAAACAAGTAGTTCTGATATTTTTTACATACTAGTTTAAGATCATAGGCATTATCTTCAAATAATATACATCATTGTCATAATATACATACAAAAGTTATCTTCTCCTTGGAGAGGGCTACTTTTAAGTTACATATAGACCCATGGGAAGTTACTCAATTTGCCCACTTTATACTAATTAATAAAGCATTTGGGGTTAATTTTTTAGAGCTCTCACAATGACTGTATGTTATTCTATAGCTAAATCAAGTGAATTAATTTGCCACCTATTTGATATGATGCCATTTGCACAGTTCAATAATAAAAAATGTATGGCAGATTTTAAAATTATTCGTACATGTACATCGCACATTGATTCATCAGAAGTTTTCATGATCTTTATACTAAATATTTTCTGTTCGTAAGCACATGGTATACAATTGCCTCACTACAAGCCCCTGTGACACTGAATACCTCATCTCAGTTGGTAATGAAGATAAGGGGGAGGGGGTCAGAGATGACGCAAGACTAAGTTTACAATCGATGATACCTTAGATTTTTGTTTAAAAATAACACTACTATGACATCATATTAACCTTGGAAAAATATGCCCAAGTTTCTTTTCATTCAGTTAACTGGTATGATTTTCTTAAAAGGCAGTTTCTCATTTATTTTTTATTTAGGTTTTTATTTAAAAATAACACTGTACTATAACATCATATTTAACCTTGGAAAAATATACCCAAGTTTCTTATAGTTCAGTTAACTGGTATGATTTTCTTAAAAGGTAGTTTCTCATTTATTTTTACATGCAAAAGAAGGCAGTGAATTTAAAATCCAATGGATTATACAAGAAATAAATGCATTCGGATAATCCCAATGCTGAGAAGAAAAACTAAGCATATCAGAATAAATCGTTGAACTTCCTTGATTATTACTGTTACAGTAAAGAAAGTCCTTAGACTATTTAAGCTCATAATTACAGTGTACAGTTTAACAATACAGTACAGTACAATACATGTAAGAAACAAAAAATGCAATATTCCACCACTTAACATTCCATTTTGACATTGATATTACAAACTGAATTTTAAATGTACAGGGTGGCCCAAATATGCAACCCACAATTTTCTTTATAGCAATTAGCAAATTGTAATTGGAACCTACATTTTTAGGTCAACATGTAATATAATAAATTAAAAAAACAAGAATTCATAGATCAACCTATACGCGTTATACATGTAGATTTCCAAGGCAAAATGGACATACAAAAATGAGAATTCATAGATCAACCTATACCTGTTATACATGTAGATTTCCAAGGCAAAATGGTCATACATTTAGTCCATATTAATGGGGTAGGGTGAAGGATTAGTGCTCTAAGCCTCACCAATATAAAACTTATCACCCTGTCTCAGATTACAAATTATTTCAGCGAGGCTACTTAAATTAAGCAAATACATTATGTTAACAATATTTTCAGGATATAGTACACTAAAAATTATTTCAGAACGATAAATACTTTTGTTGGTGTTAACATTACATGTTCATTATTGCATGATTCTAAATATAAATAAGTCATTCTGATAAGAAAATTTTGGTATTAATTACAAAGATAAAAATAATATTATAGAATTTTGTTATAGCCTTCAACTTTTTTGTGGATGGTGTTTGGTGTTAAGCATTTCAATTCAAAATTTTGAACAGCTCTGATTCCAAAACTGGTAATAAAGGCACCATAGTATAGTAGCAACTATTTGTACAATGTACTTGTATATTGCAAAGATAAGCCTTTGCATCGAAGTACAGTTGAAGACCATTGAACAAACTGACATGAAAAATGTGTACCGTGAAGGCTAAATGGTGAATCCCAATAACTAGGGAAAAGGTCAAGTTAACCATACTTTTCTAATGCTTTCTCCTTTACATGAACAACAAAAACATTTGACTCAAAAAGGACATTTAAAAGCAGTAAAAGAGGCGGTAAGTAAAAGTGGATGTGTATTGTATCTACATCGTATCAAAAGGCCCTTTATTTTTCATTTGCAGTTTTGCCAAAGGATGTGATTTCCCATGAAGCTTTTTCTCTACTGCGTACAATCCCATGGGACTCTCAATAGGTGGCGCAAAACTCCGTTGTTGATTCTCCCGTAATGACCAGCGTTTTAAGGATATACCCTCTATGGAGCAGTTATTATTGTCCTGGGACTGAGACTCCTCAGTATTTTTAGTCCCCCTAGAGGGCCAACTTTTCCTTTGGCTTATAGTCTGAGCTGGGCCTACAAGATTGGACTTCACACTAGAATCCCCCTTTTCAAGTTCTTTTTCCCTTTCTACTGATTTTTCTTTGAATGATTTTATTTTTGAGACAGATGAATCTTGAACTTTCGACCTAAGTCCCTGATTGGGTAACACCGATTGGATGTCTTGCGCCTTACTTTCACGTAATGACCAACTTTTCCTAATTGCACTGACGGGCATCTCCTCGTACTCGTCCCCTGTATTCATATTATCTTCTTCTAGCGATTGAGTCTTTTCTATATGTAAAGTGCCGGCTTGATCTGTAAGAGGATCACCTTGTTTCTTCTTTTCCTGCAGAGCTTTCCTTGTTGCTTTAGTTTGACATTTGGGCTCATTTTCGCCTTTAAGTTTAGTGTCACATTTTGGATTGGTGTCACCCTTAACTTTGGTGTTACATTTAAGCTTTCTGTCATCTTTTGATTTGGTGTCACATGGTTTTATGTCACCTTTCACAGTAGTGTCTGAGGCTACATTAATATATTCCTTAGGAGATGACAATACTGCACTTGGTTTAGTAACTGCACTTTTAGTCTGGGGAGATTTTGGTATAGCGCCTGATTTCAAATCAGTATTTCCTTGAACCACGGATTTTAAAGTTGGAGCACCATTGTCTTTAAGGTCTAGAAAACCTTGAGCGTAAAGTTTATCAGAGGCACTTTTTGACCGAATAATAGTTTCTTGGTCAATTGACTCGGGAGGTGGGAGATCTGGATTTTCAGTGTCGGGGCAAGGAGTTGGATCCTCAAATCTATTGACAAGATTTTTGACCATAAGATCTTCAATACACTCGAGTCCATCTGATGTTAATTCACTGTTTTCCTTTCCTGGTGAATTTGGAGCACTTTTGGATAAACCCATTTTGGGTGAGTCACGATCAACTTTGGGGATTGTCATGGATTCACTATAATTGCTATGAATTCTGGGAGTTGAAGAACTGCTGAGGGTGCTTCTCATGTTAGTCTCAACATCTGATTTTTTGACATCGTCAGTTTTTGAATTTGGCTCCGATTTACTCTTTTCAACAAACAAATCCTCCTTAATTGATACAACATCGATCGGTGAGCATATCTCGGTGGACCATCTCTGGACCTCGCTCTTCACGGAAGGCCTGGCCTCTATAGATGGAGACACAGGTACAGTGTTGGGAGTTACTGCAAATGGTTTCTCAATATTCAAAAATTCAATGTCATCATTTTCCGGGAGTTTGTGTGGAAGAGATAATTTCCGAGGTACAAAAGCATGTGTTTTAGCAGCGGATAATTTTGACGATGATTTTGCCAATACGTTTCCACATGATTTATTCTCAATGTCATTTGTGATACGCTGCACTAGTCCCCTCCCTGGCTTATGTTTTCCTAATTGTTCAGGAGTTTTTTCTTTCGCTGGACTCTCGAGAAAACAGGTTCCAACTTGGCGGATCATACTCAACATCTCACTGTCCATTTTAATACGATCTGCAGCTAAGGGGTCTTCAGAAGAATCTTCCGGTGTTGCTATGCCAAATCTATTTTGTTCAATGGCTTCAAGTTGCTGCTTTACGCTTCCTACGACCACATCAGTTCCAGTTAGAAAGGCAGAAATCATTGGAGAAGATGTTGGTACACCCTGCGAAATTTGACCAAACTTCGGATCAGATTTTTGTCGTTTATGACCCTTTTCTATCCTTGATTCTGATTGGTTAATGGTAGCAAGTTGATTATTGGCTGATTTGTCACTGAGTGTGGAGATTTCTGACTCACTTGTCCTACTCTCAAAATCTGAAAATAAATAACAAAATTTTCAGCAGTCTGAGCAGAATCCTACACTTCATAAACAAGGCATTAACATGCAAAATGTCACCACCAGCCATTTGTTACAGACATTGATGGCCTAATGCCAAAGGAATGATGCCCATATGTTGGCAGTTGTAAAACAGTTAATTTCAATATGGTTCAATCTCTTACTCCATATGAAAATTGAAAGGTTAGTTGCAAAATAACGAGAGAGTGAGGAAATGCGGATGATTGTTACCATGTATACATTAATATGATAGGCTATCTTAAGATTGAGAGATATGTCATAGGCTAACTCTGTATAAACAATTTTTGATTTTGAAAGGTCAATCACATTTCAGAAAAGTCGATTTGATCACAATTTAAACATCTCCTAGGCATGACATAGCGTTAGGTAGCACTAAATGCATTATGACTTGAATTCGAGTCTGAATGAATCATATCACAAAAACTATGGAATAGGGCATTTGTAGGAGATGCATTAGGCCCTACATTACAGTGTATCCAAGGCCCTGCATTATAGTATATTAGGCCCTGCATTACAGTTACAGTGTATCAGGCTCTGCATTACAGTGTTTCAGGCCCTGCATTACAGTACATTAGGCCCTGCATTTAAGAACCCTTGTGTTACAGAGCATCTAGTGTATTAGATCTGCATTACAGTGTACTACAGTGATCTCCACAGGACTTTTTCTCAAGTGGATGCAAAATTCTCACAATTTTTACAATTCAGACCAAAATTGGTCAATATATGCCCATTTTTCATGATTTTACTCATTTTCAATTGGGTGCAAATGGATTTTCAGGTGGGTGCAAGCATATTTTTAAATTCCAAGGTGGGTGATGCACCAACTTGCTTTAATGCTGGGGAGATCACTGGTATTAGTTAATGCATATGAGCTTGTGTTGAACATGCAATGGATATAGTCCTGAGTAAGGACATTAGCGGTTACCGTTAGTGATTTGGTTTTCTGAATAAAAAGTCATTTTCTCCTTCCCTACCCCATTGGAGCGCCATCTAGCGTTTGGGAAGTGAATCGGGACTAAATATTTATAGGGTAGGTCCTAATTTATCTGAAAACATGTCAGAGTTCAGTGGGAAATCTCATTTTAAGCTGGCGGCGGAGTGATTTTGACCTTGGTGATTTTACCAGAATTCTCTGAGAAATCTGACGATAGAGGGGGTTAGTGTCTTCAAGTTTATTTATTTCAAAAATTCGGTGGACAACCCATGGTAAGATTGTTATAGCAGGCTAGGCGAGTCTCTCCCGAACACTGTGGTATGTTGCACTAGGCTTGGATACTAATCGTTAATAAGATACAGGGTAAAATGTTATAATGGCCACCTATGGGAAACTCTACTGTGGTCTTCAACCTAATAGAAGGCGCTTTTTGGGGGCATTTTGAAGGTTTTATCCCTTTTTGAGGTTTTTTAGTTCATTGAGAAGCCTAATAGCGCATATCATATTAAAGGGCTGTATCTTAGCTGAACAATGCTATCAAAATCGTGACATTTTGAAGCAATTTTGGTGCTTTGGGGGCGAGGCCACTGTGCCAAGTACCCCGAATTCCATTCTCCCGTGCCATTCAATTGTTTTCGGGGCAGTTTTGAATGAACCTTTGTTTCTTCCTACCAATATGACGTCATAAGATGCAATCGAACGCCTTGGCATGGATATCACTTGAAAGATAGTAGAAATCGCTTTCCCATGATACCCCATATGGCCATGTTCACCTCAGTTGGGTGTACTCAATCTGTGATGCAATCTGTAAGGTGTACCCCTACCCCAAAGAAATTTCAAGAAATCTCAAAATCAAATTTCCTGAATTTTGCTAAAAGGACCTGTGTCTATAAGGATTGAATTTTCCTCCGTGCATTTTCTCAAATATAGGACTGTTATATACCATTGTGATCGGGATAATGCCTACAATGCTAATATAACCATGTTGGAAGAAAACAAACTAATTCAGTTTACTATTAGGATATAGTCCTGAGTAAGGACATTAGCGGTTACCGTTAGTGATTTGGTTTTCTGAATAAAAAGTCATTTTCTCCTTCCCTACCCCATTGGAGCGCCATCTAGCGTTTGGGAAGTGAATCGGGACTAAATATTTATAGGGTAGGTCCTAATTTATCTGAAAACTCGCAGAGTTCAGTGGGAAATCTCATTTTAAGCTGGCGGCGGAGTGATTTTGACCTTGGTGATTTTACCAGAATTCTCTGAGAAATCTGACGATAGAGGGGGTTAGTGTCTTCAAGTTTATTTATTTCAAAAATTCGGTGGACAACCCATGGTAAGATTGTTATAGCAGGCTAGGCGAGTCTCTCCCGAACACTGTGGTATGTTGCACTAGGCTTGGATACTAATTGTTAATAAGATACAGGGTAAAATGTTATAATGGCCACCTATGGGAAACTCTACTGTGGTCTTCAACCTAATAGAAGGCGCTTTTTGGGGGCATTTTGAAGGTTTTATCCCTTTTTGAGGTTTTTTAGTTCATTGAGAAGCCTAATAGCGCATATCATATTAAAGGGCTGTATCTTAGCTGAACAATGCTATCAAAATCGTGACATTTTGAAGCAATTTTGGTGCTTTGGGGGCGAGGCCACTGTGCCAAGTACCCCGAATTCTATTCTCCCGTGCCATTCAATTGTTTTCGGGGCAGTTTTGAATGAACCTTTGTTTCTTCCTACCAATATGACGTCATAAGATGCAATCGAACGCCTTGGCATGGATATCACTTGAAAGATAGTAGAAATCGCTTTCCCATGATACCCCATATGGCCATGTTCACCTCAGTTGGGTGTACTCAATCTGTGATGCAATCTTTAAGGTGTACCCCTACCCCAAAGAAATTTCAAGAAATCTCAAAATCAAATTTCCTGAATTTTGCTAAAAGGACCTGTGTCTATAAGGATTGAATTTTCCTCCGTGCATTTTCTCAAATATAGGACTGTTATATACCATTGTGATCGGGATAATGCCTACAATGCTAATATAACCATGTTGGAAGAAAACAAACTAATTCAGTTTACTATTAGGATATAGTCCTGAGTAAGGACATTAGCGGTTACCGTTAGTGATTTGGTTTTCTGAATAAAAAGTCATTTTCTCCTTCCCTACCCCATTGGAGTGCCATCTAGCGTTTGGGAAGTGAATCGGGACTAAATATTTATAGGGTAGGTCCTAATTTATCTGAAAACATGTCAGAGTTCAGTGGGAAATCTCATTTTAAGCTGGCGGCGGAGTGATTTTGACCTTGGTGATTTTACCAGAATTCTCTGAGAAATCTGACGATAGAGGGGGTTAGTGTCTTCAAGTTTATTTATTTCAAAAATTCGGTGGACAACCCATGGTAAGATTGTTATAGCAGGCTAGGTGAGTCTCTCCCGAACACTGTGGTATGTTGCACTAGGCTTGGATACTAATCGTTAATAAGATACAGGGTAAAATGTTATAATGGCCACCTATGGGAAACTCTACTGTGGTCTTCAACCAATATGATTGCATTTGGAATAGCATTAGGGAATAACTGCTTTAGAAAATGTATGAGAACAAACATTAAAATCTCAAATGATTGAACAATACATAGAACAGTAGTGTTGGGTTATCTACATGAAAAGCATAATTCAATAAAATCTACTAATCTACCCTGATATTAATAGAAGTCCTACTCCTCAATTACAAACCAACCTAAAAATAGTTATTTAGTCAAATTAGTTATTTAGTGATCTCAAGATTATTTATATTTTTTGAATTAACATTAATAATCAAATTCTTTCAATCTAATTTTTCTTACACTTTTTATATCTTTCTGTCTACAATGAAACAATTTCTTAGGCAAGAGACACATTGTTTATGATGTTATTGTTTCCCTTTTTATAACATCCTCCTAAGCAGGTGTCCAGAATTCGTACCTTCTTCCTCCCTGCTATAACCAATTTGGAAGCACCCGATTAAACTGAGTCACGTGATCTAATTATGCACCGATGACGTATACATGATTGATGCCGCAGTGTTGCGACAGCGAATCAAATGTGAGTTCTTAATTGGGGAAATGCTAACTGCTTATAGCAGGGTGTAAAAAGAAAGAAGATATTCTGGATTTTGAAGCCCTGTGATCAGAGGATGTTTTTATAACAGAGGACAGTATTCTTCAAAGTTTTTTTTGCTCAAATGAGTACATACAGACTTATTTCAATTCTTTCAATTCTAAAAATTTGGTCAAATTATGCCAATTTTTAAATGATTTTTTTCTCATCCTCAAAAGGGCGTAAATAAATTTTCAACTGGGTGAAAGTCAATTTTCAAAATCTCAAGAGGGCGCAGCACCCACCAGTTTTAACGCAGGGGAGATCACTTAAGGCAACATGAGATTTTAGATATGCTGTCTCAAGTTATTCACCTCGTCAATTAAAACAAGGCATTAACATGCAAAATGTCACCACCTGCAATTTATTACAGATTCCAACCATCAAACATCAACCACCGAACACTAAACACCAACCAACAAAAAAAAACAAAAGCTGAAGACTGTCCACACAATAGTTGGAAACAAAATGTCACCACTTGTGGTGGAGACATAATGAGAAACATAAGTTCAGTATTTTACCTTTGGTTTGTCGTTTCACTATGCCTTGCTGAAGGGGAACATCCTCGTTACAAATCTTTATCACTGCATCATCTTCCATACCAGCGTCCTTGTCGATGACCTTTGAACTACCTCCAGTGCCTGTAGAATCATTGCCTGGTGACATCAAATCTGGATCACTCTGTCGCTTCCAAATTGACAGTGGAGATGAGGTTGATACAGGATCTGAACTTCCGCCAAATTCTGATGATTTTGACTTTGGGATAGAAGAAGAGTTTCTTAAGGGACTGCGTCGTGATATGACTGGCATGCATGTCTTTCGGCGTTCGTCATCACGGTTGTATTTAGACGGGCGAATGGTTTTAAGGCTAGAGGAGCGGTGAACTGGCTTGGAGGGTCGCATGTCTTCATAACCAACAGATCTGAAGAAATAGAATAAGTGAACAATTTTACTAGGGTAGGCCAAAAATCAAAACATCAAAGTGCTCCAATCAAGCTATTCTCCTAGGTTTGCACTATGAATGACCCAATACTTTTACACACTAAAAATGGGGATCCAGCTCTAACTCTAAAGCAATAATTTCTCATCACTACACATTTCATTTAAGATCAATGCTTGTAATTTAGGCTAAAAATGTCCCAATGAGGAAAACATTCTTCAATTTTTATACTATTGAGGATGGAAAATTATGGTATGAGTCTTAGTAGTTATGAGTCATATGAGTGTTGCTATGGTTATGGGTAAACTTTATAATGAACTTACAATATCACAAATTTAATTATTGCACATGCGCAATTATCAACACTCACAATTGCAGAAATCTATTATTGGACAAATTTTTTTTAGAATTATTGCTTCAATATATCATAAACATGTATTAATCATTTTCATGTTTTTCAGACATATTTGTATATTCTCTACTTTTCATTCCTTACCTTTGTTTTTCCTCAAACTCCTGAGTTGTACGTCGTACTGTACCAGGAGTGAGGCAGACATCTTCAACGCTAGACCCCCATATGGGTGTGTTTTTACCACTGCCATCTGGAGAACCTTTCGGCACATCAAAAGGAGTAGTATTTGTGAGAGGTTCCCCACTGGAATTTGGAGTGAGATTTTCTTGAGCTGACTTGTTAGATATGTCAGAGTCCACGGATCCATTATCAGAACCATTGGAAGGTTCCCTCGTGTGTCCCTTCTTTGCAGATCTTGATTCAATGTCCTGTAGTTGTCTCTTAACTGTCCCAGGGCTCCATTTGATATCCTCTTTCTTATAATGCTGACGTATACCAATCTCAACTCTAGTGTCCATGGTTTTATCACCACAAACACTGGCTTTCTCATTTTCAGTTTGCGGTAGATTTTCATCAGACTCTGTCTTTATTTCTTTATTTCTACTCCTAGTTTGTTCATCTATAAGTGCAGTCATCCCTTCAGATGGGTCCCCACCTTCCTTTGTTTTCTGGTCAATATCCTTATGGGTGGTAACAAGGGGGTCATTAGCATCATCAGCAGGGGCTGTAGAGCTGGGGGAAATAGGGTCAATTGACTCAGGCTCAGATTTTATCCAGCTGGTATCAGGGCGAACTTTTATCTGGAGAAGTGAATCTGCACTCCCCTCTGGTGTCGTTAGCCCATCTGATGTAAGACTGGATGTTGATATAAGGCGGGACTTCTCTGATTGGATGGGGCTGGGTAACACTTGGGTTTGAAAAAATTTAGGAACAGGACTTTGCTCATTATTCAGCGCTTTCTCTTCATGTGTACCTTCATTGAGCACGTTTTCTTCATGATTCTCCTGTTGATACTGTTTTAAGGAAAGTTCCTGAGCTATTCTGGTTTGAAATTCAAACTCGTCATCTGAAGAAAATCCACGGATTTCTAAATGTTCCCGCCAGTTGAAATCGGGGGTTTTTGAGGGAGTCAGAGGGGTTAGGGGAACCCCTTCATCGGCACTTTGAGCAAACATGCTGCAATCGTAATATCCCATAAGCTCTGAGTCTGAATTCCCGCCATCAGACTCATCATCGAAATCTGCACTTTCACCAACTTCAGCACCACCTATTGCCAGTGCTAATAATCCACTGTCTGAAATCACGGAACTTGCTTCCGATTTGTTATCAAATTGTTTAAAAGACAACAATTGAATATCTTTTTCAGTTTCAATATCTGAAACAGCTTCAGGGTCTTTAGATAAAAATGCGCTAAGATCTAATTGTAAATTGTTTTTCTTTGTTTCAAGGTTGTCCGTTCTAGGCACATTATGTTGGATATGGTCCGTATCTGATGAAGAAATAGTATTGTCAATGTATAAAATACAAGAGGCATTGTCTATAGATGAATATGAACCTTCCTTCAAGGCGTCTGATTCAATCAGGTTAAGATTAAGCACAACATTTGTTGTGTTACCACTTTCAACCTTGTCTGTGGTTGTCATGGTAACTGAATCAGATTGAATTGTGGGTAGTTTAGTCCCTTCGGGGCTAGGTAAGTTAGGGAAGACATCATCCATCGAGTCGGCACTTCGGGAACTTATTTCTACATCCATGTCAAACTTATCTTGGAGCACTATCGCTGGTATGTCAGTCATTTTTATTGGCTCCTCCCCTTTTGATGATGTCACAATGTATGACGGCGATAACGTCTCTGAGATCGAAGATTGGGTTTCCTCCTCTGCACCTGAAAAAATTGATATTATAAGCATTTCGTTTTGAATACCAACAACTTCTGTACTCATGCAATTATATCTTTCAATTACACATTTCGTCTATGAATAATCAATTCATTAGTACAGTAGTATATTTTCAGAGCCAAACGCCATCAGTTTTCAAGCTATAGACTACAGTCCTAGGCATTTTTTGACAACTAAAAAACCAAATACGAGCATGCCACAGTTTAGCAAAGATTTGGAATCTATGATAATTCCTGACGAAAACACCAAGGTCATTCCACATAATACTACTAAGTGACCACGAAGGATGAACATTGATTGAGTAAACAATACACTGAGAGACTTCAAGAGATGAACATGAATTTAACAACACATTGAGTGACTTTAAGAGATGAACATGAATTTAACAAAACATTGAGTGACTTCATGAACATGAATTTAACAACACATTGAGTGCCTTCAAGAGATGAACATGAATTTAACAAAACATTGAGTGATTTCATGAACATGAATTCAACAACACATTGAGTGCCTTAAAGAGATGAACATGAATTTAGCAACACATTGAGCTTCTACAAGAGAGGAACATGAATTTAATAAAACATTGAGTGACTTCATAAACATGAATTTCACAACACATTGAGTGCCTTCAAGAGATGAACACATATTTAACAACACTTCAAGTGACTTCAAGAGATCAACATGGATTTAACAAAACATTGAGTGCCTTCAAGAGATGAACATGAATTTAATAACACATTGAGTGACTTCATGAACATGAATTTAACAACACATTGAGTGCCTTCAAGAGATGAACATGAATTTAGCAACACATTGAGCTTCTACAAGAGAGGGACATGAATTTAATAAAACATTGAGTGACTTCATAAACATGAATTTCACAACACATTGAGTGCCTTCAAGAGATGAACACATATTTAACAACACTTCAAGTGACTTCAAGAGATCAACATGGATTTAACAAAACATTGAGTGCCTTCAAGAGATGAACATGAATTTAATAACACATTGAGTGACTTCAAGAGATGAACAAGGATTTATCAATACTTTGAGTGACTTCAAGAGATGAACATGAATTTAACAAAACATTGAGTGCCTTCAGATGAACATGAATTTAATAAAACATTGAGTGACTTCATAAACATGAATTTCACAACACATTGAGTGCCTTCAAGAGATGAACACATATTTAACAACACTTCAAGTGACTTCAAGAGATCAACATGGATTTAACAAAACATTGAGTGCCTTCAAGAGATGAACATGAATTTAATAACACATTGAGTGACTTCAAGAGATGAACAAGGATTTATCAATACTTTGAGTGACTTCAAGAGATGAACATGAATTTAACAAAACATTGAGTGCCTTCAGGAGATGAACATGAATTTAACAACACATTGAGTGACTTCAAGAGATGAACAAGGATTTATCAATACTTTGAGTTACTTCAAGTGATGAATATAGATTTAACACAGTTTGGGTGACTTCAAGAGATGAACATAGATTTAACAACAGTTTGAGTGACTTCAAGAGATGAACATGGATTTAATAACAGTTTGAGTGACTTCAAGAGATGAACATGGATTTACAAGTTTCATGGTGGTCAAAACATATCTACAATTTTTGCATTTCAAAAATTTATGACAATTATCAAAACATATGGCCCTGGAGCTTTATTTGGCATTCTACCAAAAAAAGTACCAAAATAAAAAGTACCAAAAACAAACATTGTGATTTTCAAGTGATGGGAAGAATGGTAGAACCGTAAACAACCATTTTAACAAAAAGCATAATTTTTGTCTGAATTTGATGCTGAAAAGCATGACCACAATGATACATTTGTAAAGTGCAGTTGAAGTGTGTTACCCTTGGCAGAGTGTATGTTACTCCACTGCATGGAGAATGTTTCACTCTCCTTGCATACCATGCAGCTGCATTGAAATGAGTGGATGATCATTCATTAATAAAGAGGCACTTTGTTGTCATATTCTATTTTTTGATTCATGTAAATTTACAGTCAAAATTGGCATAGCAGTCATGCTTCTCTTCACATTTACTAATCCATAATAAATTTTAAAATCAAAAACAAAATTCTGACATAAAATGTAAAACCATTACTTACTCAAAAGAATTAAAAATCATTAATTAATTGGATAAAGCATAATAAAATGGATATTGAATGAAAGGTTGATATAATTGAAGTCATTTGCTTTGACACCATGAATTAATATCTCCTCTCACCTTCAAAAAACATATGAATGGGAGGAGGGGTTAGAGGCAAGATTCCAAAAAGCTCAAAATACAATGCTGATCTTACCGACAATTTTTGAACAATTTGCTAATATCAAAGACTTTTTTGACGAGCCGAAATATATGATCACTCCAGAAATGTTCTTATTTTTCAAAAGTTTAAAAATTAAAATTTTTCGATTAAAGATCAAAATTCATGGCGGCAAGACTTTAAATAATCTGCAATATTGCATAACTGGGAAAGGTGAATATGACGAGGTGTTCAATAAGTTTTGAGACAATCTCCTCACCTGTACTGGGTCCAAAACGCATCATTAGTCTTCCTATTTCTTCATCCTCGCCACTCCAAGAACGTGGTTTTCCTCCATATGAAAACATGTCATCGCCGGGGAATAAGGAGTCCATTCCTTCACAGTTTTCATCTTGTTCATCAGCAGTGCTGCCACCTTTACAGCTCAGGAGGTTAGATTCTGACTTACACCTCCAGAGTTCTCGCTGGTTACTGAAAATCAAGGAGCTCGTAAATTGGAAAATTTAGAGCACTTATAACAACTTATGCATGTACATGAAATTTGGTTTGGATTACAGGATCGGCCAAAATTAAATTAAAGTCATTTTTCAATTTGTTGGTTGTCTATATTTTAGCTAAGTCTCTACATCAAACTTTTGTTGAAGATGAGCGCTCTTGAACTGCCATATCCTCATCTTCAAATGTTATCCAAGAAACTTGTATAATATTTACTTCTTTTTCCACACAAACTTTTCAATATGGCTACTCAATTCAAAATGGTCACCACTTTTCTAAATAGATTTGGTTAAAAAGACTACACTTCAAGATATCCTTAACTTCCACAATATGGCTGCTAAATTCAAAATGGCCGCCATTCAACTTGACTTTGTGCTTCAAAAATATTGGCACTTTGAGCCTATCATTACCTTGCATCTAAAATTCCTTGATATGTTTGTAACTGAGCAGTGAAGCCTTCATTTGGCTTGATACAGCTTCTCTTTGAGCGCACAAAGTCTGTCGCCTTTTTCAAGTCCCAGCCATATTCCTTCATCGCAAATGATATCACCTAGATAGAAGAATAAACTGTCAAAACTTGAGAATACATTTGGGAGTAAGGGTTCTGTTCTGTGATGAATTGACCATTTTGAGGTTAAATCAACAGAATTGTACTTCATTAATTATTTATATGTTATTAAGACACTGTTAATCAAAGCTGTTATGATCTACACGGTGACTCAATAAAAATTAGTACACTTTCAGCTTCAAGGGCATTTTATGGGCAATTCAATTTCCAATGTTATATCAATTGAAACCAATAATGGAAATATTCAAAAGAGATTTTGAATATTAAAGTGTACTCATTTCTATATGACCACAATATCATGAATGTATACTACTGTGTATATGTATTATTCTTACCGTGGATGCAGAGCGGCTTACTCCCATTTTACAATGTACCAGCACCTTAGACCCTGCTTGCCTGCAATTACACAAATAGAGACCAATTGTAACACTCATTTCAAACATGTTAATGGGCATGAAGTTTAAATATTGACCATTTGATTATTTTCTAAATGTGCACATTTATTAACACTCATAACTTTCCACCTAGTTTCTTTTTTAACTATTGTAGACATTTTCAATACTTGTAACAAAGGTACCTTTTGTAACTCAAAAGGTGTTTCACTTGGGAAGTGTTCCACTTACAGAGTTTCATTTAAACATTACATCAACTGCAGGATTGGATTCTGAAAAGTGTTCCAATTATTGAGGTGTTTCTCATTACAGTTTTTACAGTACCTTAAGATCTTAACGTTTTTAATATCTTAAATTTTTTACAGTTTTTAAAATCTTAAAGTTTTTACAGTACCTTAAGATCTTAAAGTTTTTACAGTACCTTAAGATCTTAAAGTTTTTACAGTACCTTAAGATCTTAAAGTTTTTACAGTACCGGATTTTCTCGCATATAAGCCCTGGGCGTATAACTGAAAGAAGGGGTAATTTCGTCTGTTACTTAACCTCTTATTTTTCGCCCATGGGCGCACTACTTTCGATTTTTGGCCCAGTGGGCGTAAAGGTGAGAAGAGCTGATGAATACAATGGTTCCTCAAAGACTACCGTACCTACTGTTGTAGTCCTACCGCATGTTTTGTAAGAATTATAAAGGAAATGTCACCTACAACCTTGGACTTAATGTTGAAACAAAGTAACAACAGAAAGATCCACCACTGCCACTTACGGCACAGCGTTGAACTTAATGTTGAAACAAAGTAACGACAGAACGATCTGCCAGTGACAAAATTTATTGAAAAAATCAATAAATAGTCATTTTTTTAGGCCCATGGGCGTATAAGCGTACTACATTCGATTTTTGACCCATGGGCCTAAATTTAGGGGGGGGTATATGCGAGAAAATCCGGTACCTTAAGATCTTAAAGTTTTTACAGTACCTAATAGATCATCCACTCAGTTCACTTACTTAGCCTTAGATATGAATCTGTATGTCTTGTCCCAGTATTTCAACAAGTCAGTCTCCGGGACGTCATACTCTCGCACGTTCATATAGTGGAACAGCCCAGGGAAGAAGTTGTCGATTTCCCGAGTCATGTTCAGAATGTAACCCACCCTGTGGAAGACATAACATATATATATAAAACAACAGTAAAACCAGTGTGTAGTGAACACCGCTGAGAGATGGTGCTCACTAATGACAAGTGTTTCAGGCCCATAGCCAGGGGGGGTTGCAGGGTTCGGGCGAACCCCCCCCCCCCCCCCCCCTGGCCAAAAATTCTTTCAAAATCATGCAGTTTTTCACCATTTTGAGCACTTCTCAAGTGATTTTCACAATATTTGGGCTTAAATTGTCAAATGTGAACCCCCTGGAAATTTTGGAAAACTGAACCCCCCTTGGCAAACCCTGGCGGGCCTATTATTACAAGAGGTAGTAGAGAGCTGTTCACTAAGACAACTTTACAAGTTAAAAATACAGTATCAAGAATTACACTAGAAAAATATTGTTTCATTGGAAAATTTCTTTATCTCAACAATCTCAGAAAGTAATCTACTCTGAAAAAATAAGATGGAGTTAAGTCACTAATTTAATTTCAAACTGACTTACCCATTCTTTTTCAGTTCTTCAAGATCTGAAGCGTTCCATTCTGACCCAAGATAGAGGAAGTCAAATATTTCTGATGCGGCATCCATCTGTCCCATTATAACTAACATCTCCTGGTCTATATAACTCTTATATGGCTTCAAATCCATCGCCATCTCTTTCTCCAATTCTGTCCTTATCTACAAATGCAAGAGAGGCTTTGTAAGGTACAAAGTTTATGTACATAGAGGTTCTTACATGAATATCTATTTCTGCAAAGTAGTCCATTCTTAATGAGCTTTGATAATTCTTTCAAAATATTGATCTTACAAATACATGAAACATGCAATGTATTTATATTACACAATGAAGAGGTTTTGCACAATGGGCTATAGCCGAAATGTATCCGCAACCGCATCTCGCTTTAATTGAACTGATACGCTGGTGAATGAATAAATATGGTTTCAGATATGGTGAGCTAAAAATGTCATGAGAAACCTCTCTAATAATAATAATAGGATTTTATTAGTACTGATGCCCTTTTAGGGCCAAACGTACATCCAATATACAATTTTCAATAACAGTAAATATAGGCAATAAAGTAATGTAAATGACATATAAAATGTTACGTTGATATAAGAATCCTGTCTCTACCCATCATTAGAGAATGAAATATGAATAATATGAAACAGCGTGCAACACCCATTTAAAATTTTGAAACAGGATGCAGCATCCATTTAGGAGTTTGAAACATGGTGCTGTATCCATTTATGATTTTAAAACAGAGTGTAGTACTCAATTAAGAGTTTGAAACAGGGTGCAGGACCCATTTTAGATTCTGAAACAGGATGCAGCACCCATTTAAGATTTTGAACAGGGTACAGCATCCATTTAGAAGTTTAAAAAAGGGTGCTGCATTCACTTAGGGATTTTGAAACAAGGTGTTTCACCTATTTGGGATTTTAAAACAGGGTGCTTCACCAATTTAATGTTTGCTTATGAAAACATGACAAATGTTTGACCCCCCATTTGAGGCCAAGCATCAATAATTTTACCTTATCCTCAAGGACATGTATAAATACTTACAAATTTGCAAGTGACTTCCTCCAGATCCACAGTCGTCATAACTTCCCGCAACTTATTCCTGATGACACTCTCAATTTTCTCGGAAGATCTTGACATCAGCATCGTCTCATTTTTCACCGATTCCAGGTCCTCCATCTGTTCCCACTCGTTGAGACTATCGCGATCTGATGATATCCGTGCCTCGTAGTTTCCAATCCACGTGTGTGTGAGGCCCCCTGGGAAATAGTTGTAACTCCTCGCAGTGTCTGTCGCACGGTGAAGGCTTTGCAGGGCAGACCTGGGAATATAAGGAATTTGAATTTGGATTTTCAACAGGTACATGTGTACTATCTAGTAGGCTACATATTAGGATTATTTTTTACAATTCAAACATTTATGATGCAAAATGACTATAAGGAAGGCATTAAAGTGACATCTTTTAAATAAACACTAACCATTATATAATCACCATATTTATTAGTTATTTACAATAGTTTTCAACAAATGAACAAATGTTTTAGTAAAGCATGCATCTATAAACAGTTGAAGAATTCAAAATTAATCTTCAACTAGATAACGGCAACTCCGCGGAGTAGCAAATCCCAACGAACAAAATATCAATTACCGAATTCCAATCAGTTATACTCATTACTTTGGTTAAAATTGATAAAATTGGATTTTAGAATTGCAAATTCCTGCAAAGCAGCCATTTTGAATTTTCTGAGATACAAATCTGAAAAAATAATACCATAATTGTGATCTACTCCAAAATTCCTTCAATTTGAGTATAATATAGCCATACTTTGAAGGGATCAAAAAATTATTGCGAAATCATACATTAGACGGCCATTTTGAATTTTACGAGACTCGAATCAGAAAAAATATACAATATTTGCAATCTATTCTTAATTGCCTTTCATTTGAGTATAATAAAGCTATACTTCAGAAAGATCTAAAAATTAGCTAAAATTTCTTTTCCTGTCCCCCCCATACACGGCCCCTGGGGGTCAGGATGAAAAACACGGAATATATGTGAAATAAATAAATGTTGTGAATATACTACCAAAATTTCAAACAATAATATTAACTACTTTGGTTTAGAATGTAAAATTTATGATTTTTGCGAAAAAGTCCCGTCATTTTTAAAGCGGCGGCCATCTTGAAAATTTTTTTTGCGTAAAACTATTCACCAATATACATCTTTCCACTAAATATGAAGAAAATCCGTCTACTAGTATTTGAGTTATCTTCCGGACAGACGGACTGACTGACTGACTGACGGACTGACGGACAGACGGACGGACGGACGGACGGACGGAGGGCTTCACTATATCCCTACCGAACTTCGTTCGTTGGGATAATTACCAGTACATGTACTACCTCTTTGACAAAACAAAATCACATTTTTATTTACTTTGAATTCCAATTTTATACAATTGTAAACCTGAAATGCGACTGTAGAGCTTTTAAATAAATTTTTATTTTGATATAATTGAATAAATAAAAAATGTAACCCCTACCACATAGCTTGGACAGAGACTGGCTTAAAGATCCTCTGTTTGTAGTCGGATGATACCTTGAACCCACTGAAATGTAACAAAACAATTTCATTCAATTCTCCGATATACTAAACAGTAACTAAGATACAGTTAACCTGTCAATAAGTAGAACAATGAATAAGTGTTCTCCAGAGGATTTTTTCTCAAAGGGGCGCAAAATTCCCATTTTCACAATTGAGACAAATTGGTCAAAATATGCTTTTTTGACCACAGTCATATGTCACATTGACTTTATGTTAGTCAAGCCTCTCTTAGTGAAATACCTCTTATGTAGGACACTTATTGTTAGAACCAATGGTGGTCCACTTGCAAAGGTTTAACTGTACAGATTACAAAAATATGTGATACAGGGGTTTCATTAGCAGCAGGCAACATGCGATTTTCACCTGTTGTTTTTAAGGACTTTTCAAATTTTCCAGCCCGTTGTGAGAAATTCTAGTGTAACCCCTGTGATATCATATTTCTGTGAGATTTACAATAGCAATTCATGTAGTAGCAGTTGAGGGAAATGAAACAGTTTCTGACACTTTTATTACCTAAATATTAAACAATTATCCAAATAAGAACATGAACTTGTCAGGATTGTTAAGTAAATATTTAATAGAAATGCACTGTTTTTAAATCAATGATTCAGAAGCTACATCGCTAGAATTTTGAAATATCAGTATAAAACACTGAAAATGACAAAGCTTATTGAACACCTTGTTTAAAATTCAGGAAATGACTGGTATATGTAAAACTTATTGAATGCCTTGTATACAATTCAGGAAATGACTGGTATATGTAAAACTTATTGAATGCCTTGTAAACAATTCAGGAAATGACTGGTATATGTAAAACTTATTGAATGCCTTGTATACAATTCAGGAAATGACTGGTATATGTAAAACTTATTGAATGCCTTGTATACAATTCAGGAAATGACTGGTAAAAACTTATTGAATGACTAGTACAAGCTTCATGAAATTACTGGTACAAAACTTATGGACTTATAAGACCAGTTAGTACATACTACATACCCATCTCCATCCAATTCTATCTTTGTATCTGCCCAAATAGGGAGGACCATCCCTATAGTTGTTTCTTCGCCACAGTCCATTCCCAGAAGAACACTCTCCTCAGTATCTTGCTTCCCATTGCAGGACACTACTACCAGATATCTGGAATATATGGTTGTATATAAATAAACCAATGGAGTCATTCTTCAATAAGAACTAACACAGGTGATACCATACCTGAACCAAAATAGAAACCAGTTCTCTTGTTTTATTTGAGTTTAAATCTCGTAAAACTCAGTAAATTTGGAATTGGAGACAAGAAGATATGTAAATGAGCTGTATGTTTTGAAAATATTGGAACAATTTAACAATATTCTTTTGATTTCATCAAAAGTTGATGATTTTCTAAGATGCAACCCTGGTCAGTCTAGGGTTACCAATAAAATGTCAACAATCTTGTTAAAAAGTTTAGAATTGAGCCTAATTGATACTGTACACCCTGAAGAGTTCATTTGAACTGGGTCGGGAATCAGGTATGGTTTGTCGAGTTTTTACATTTTACAAAATCTTTGGGAAAATGGAGAATTTAAAAAATGAAAACATTTCAAATAATTCGCAGTTACATGAAAATATATATATTGTTACCTAATTGAATGTGACAATTGAGATTCAAGTTTAACAGCAACTTTGATTGTATCCTGGGGTCGAAGTTGGTAGAACATTGACTGTAAATGTGTTTGGATGTTGTCCCCTGGAAAAAACAGTTAGAGTTAGTCAGATTTTTGCAAAATTTCACATTTTGTTAAAAGCTTGCGCTAAATCAAGGGTTTTCCAAGAAGTTTAACATTTTAAAAATATACTTTTATAGATGGTGTATTTCTAAAAAAGGTAATTTAAAACTTAAAAAATTTAAATCGTAATTTTAAAATTCAATTTCTTTAAAATTAAGTCTGTGATACCCACCTCCAATACTTTTGCTGATACGACGTGTACATTCTGATTGTGGTAAGATAAGCGCTGCCCCCTTTACTGCAAAGTAACTCTCACTAAATCTGCAATTAAATATCAAGTTTTGATGAAAAAAATTAAGATAAGCAATTTAAGAGAAGGAGAATTTATACAATTCAAACAATTATATTAGATTAGGACTTATTTTCTGTTGCACCTGTGCAACAGTTTACATTTAATCTGAATATTTTCTATATTTAATATAAATACATAATCTGTACTCCAGAATCAATACCTTTACCTTTCTACCATTACATACAGGGTGGGCAAAAAATGTTACCAATTCTGATTGTACATAAATATTAATAAAGGTAACATTTTTGGCTCACCCTGTATATTGCTATGTATCTGGAACATTATAAATGTGAGTCAAAGACGAAACAATGCAATATTACCAGCTAAAGAGGGAATAATATTAAATATACTAGCAAAATATATATCTAATATTTTTATCGAGAGAGAAAAAAACACGAAATGCATCCAATAAAATCTTGCAATGATCAAGCACCCTTTGATTAGTTAACATACTATATAGATAATTAGTTAAGCTTTTTCATTTTTTTTCTGTTTAAGCTGTACACTTTGCCCAAATGTGGGATACAAGTATAATAAAGCTCATAATAATAATAATAATAATAATAATAATATATGGTAAAAACATATACTCAGTGATTTCCCCATCATTAACAGGCCTTAGCCAGGGTGGGGGGTTGATTTGTTCGAGCGAACATCCCCTGGCTAAACATTCTTTCAAAATCATGCAGTTTTCAGCATTCTTGATCCTTTTTAAATTATTTTGGCCATTTTTGAACCAAAATTGTCAATTATGAACCCACTTCCTGAATTTTTTTAGAAAGTACTCCCCCACCCCCTCTTGGCAAATGCCGGCTACTGGCCTAAATAAAGTAAATAAATTAGTGCAGTATTGAATAAACAAAATGAACTTGCATCCCATTGAAAATCTATTTGCAACCACTGGAGAATCTAAAATGACCTTGCACCAAAATAGAAACTTGATGTGGACCAGTTGAGAATTTTGAACCAAATTTGGTGTTATTCAAAGTTCTGAACTCATTTGAAAGTAAATCTAAGAAAATCACTGATACAAAGATATATGCCCACCCTGTACATATACAACATGCTGTAAGACGACAGTGCTTTTATTTCCCAATATGTAAAATATTGGATATTGTTTGTCAGATCATTTGAAATTGACACTGGATAAAATATATAATAGGGAGGTTAAGTTACACTTTTTGAGAGAACCTGTAAGTTTGTAATATTTTGACCCCCAGGATTACTGACTGGCTCTTAATTCACTTTCCCAGATTATTTCCTACATACTTTTATATTCAATTGGTCAATTAAACAGTATAAATGGGAGAACTAATCCACACAGGACCATAATTCGACAATTCCACGTACAAGTTTTTAAAAAAAGTGTGAAATAACCTCCCTAGTAATTAGGATCGGGATGGAGAAAAAAAACTTGCCATACCTATTATCAGTAGAGTATATAACACAATTTAACATAAGACTTTAAAGATTTGAACTAATATGTCATCAATGTGATAAAAATGCAATCTGAGCAACCAACCCCAGTGCTGTAACATGAGCGTTCATAGGCTTTGTCCATGCCAGTACTGAAGCGCCAAATTGAGCTTCTGAAAATACGCTTCACCTACCTTGAAACCAATCTGCACCCATTTAAGAAAAATCGTGAAAACTGCCATATTTTGGTCAGAATTATGACCAAATTTTTGGTATAAGCATTTTAGCTCATAAGCTTAACCAAAGATGTCATATCCTGGTCAATTTATAGCCACTACATGATATGTTACTAATTTCTAAATATTTTAGGTTGGTGATCATATCATCCCCCAAGTAGCACCCACCTGTGTCGACCTTGTTAGCTCTCCCCTAAAAAGTCAATACTTTACCCTCCCTTGTAAAACACCTCAATCTGCTCCTATAAAAAACGTACCAAAATTTCCCCTATAAAACACCAAATTCCCCTTTTATAATCATCCACACATGTCCTCCCAAAGTTCTACCTTTAAGCACTATTCATATCCAAATGCTTGCTCTCCCCAGAAATTTTTGTGTGGAAGATTTTGTTATTTTTTAGTGCTCCATTCTAGAATTTTATAACTTTTTGTGCAACATTTTATGATTTGGTAATTTTATAAGCCAAAATATTATAATTTTGTTCTTTTTTGTGCAACATTTTAGAATATCCTCATTTTTTATTGTAACACTTTAGGTGGCACGACTATTGCATTGAGGAGCATTTTGGTTTTATAAAATACATGGAGGATGTGCTGCGCCTCAGAGATTTCAACGTGGGGAAAGCACTGCAATGCCAACACAAAAACAACACATAGCAGTTAGTATATTCTAATAAGATGTGTAGTAAATTGCACAGGTGTTCTATTAGAAAGAATCAGGCCAAATTGCAGCTTTCAAACTGTTCAAGTCCCAAATCTATTCTTAAACTTTCAAGTTGCAGAAAAATTTCTACAAGCAGTGATATTTATTCTTAAATGAGGGGAGGGGGCTATATCAAAATAAAATCTTGGATTGACATGCACTGAAGTTTTTATGGTCCAAGGAGGATTGGCTCCCAGAATGGAACATCGATATTCTGTCCCAAATATGGGCATGTCGTGATTCAAAATTTGAATCCAAACAGCCACCATTTTGTTCACTTCAACAAATCGTGAATTTTGGTCTTATTTCCTAATGAAAAATTCCAAAACTCACAAGAATTGATCGAGATATTGGTTTGAATCTTTTGAACTGTTTATTTTGAATTTATAGTCGGTTATAATTTAAAGAAAATAATGACATTTTGACGTTTTCATTGTTGGAAAAAATCGAGTTTCAATCCTGGGAGCCAATCCTCCTCGAATATGGTCCATATATATTCTGGATACAGGCATGATGTATGTAAACAATAGGGTTTAATAATGAAAAAGTGCAACAAATTCAAAATGTTAGTACATATATGATCCCGCAATCCTAAAAAAGTATTGCATAAAGTCACAATATTCCCATTTCTTCCACTTTGTTTCAGTATTTAAGAATGAAAATGGCAGAGTTATAGACAAGAAATAAAAGATTTCACAAGATATGCAGTAAGCTTCCTAGAATCAGAACAGGGCGCTTTACCAATTTTTGATTTTGAAACAGGATACTGTGCTCAAAAGGGATTTCTAAAAAAAGGTTTCCATCGATATGAAAACTAAGCATCAACTTGAAAATTCAAAATGTTCTGACCAAATTTGGACAAAACTGTAACAAAGAGTTTCTTTCAACCACTCAAGAAACAGGCCTCCTAGACTTCCAACAACGCGAACATCAGTTCTGATACCGCGAACTACGTTCCTTGCACTCGAACCACGAATCTTATATCGCGAACGTGAAATCTTATATCGCGCACCACCATTTCCTTGTTTCCGAACATATTTCTTGTACCTCGAACAGAGATCCGTTACTGCGAACAATTTGTACATAATACATCCGGGTGTTTGGGATTCCAAGTTACATGTATATACCATGCAACGGAGTGAAACAAGGAAACGAAATTCAGTTTCTCCTCCGCTTTCGCCGGACTTTCGTTCCTATGAAAAGCATGCACTTGCATATTAGATGACCCATTCGTCACTGTATTTTGAAACGTAATCTTAAGATTAACATCCACGCCCCGAGTTGGCAGTTCTTTAAATGATGTGTCAAAGGAAAGCACTGCGTCCCATAGTTCAACAAGTTAAACCCAATACCACGGCTTTCATTTATTAATCTGAATGTTCTTGTTGCCGTGATTGGGTTTAACTTCCGTGCTATGCTTTCATACGTTGCAAATTCTCACCATCAGTTATTAAGTAAACGCGCATGAAATTACATGCGCAGCCATAGGCCACCATTGAATATTTTGCATAAAGAGCCGAATAGGTACGGAAGTTAAACCTAGGGCGGGCCACAAGATATGTCAGATAGGAAATAAGGCCAAGACTAGGTTTAACTTGTTGAACTATGCGTCCCACAGTCATTCATTTTTGGGATCAGAGAGTATCTGCGCACGGTGTGGTGTAATAGGAGATGTCATTTGTAAAAGCGATATTTTTTTCCTTTTTATGACCGCCATTTTTTCAGACAAGTTTCTAAAACTTTAAAGATTGTATCATTTAGAGCAATATATTGGGCACATTTTCTGAAAAATTCAAAAGACTCTGTTCATTGACCTTTCCTATGCTCCTACTTAAAGCTATTTACAGTGACCTTTTAAGAGAACTGAAAAAGTTATTTCATCATGTCTAGGGTCATTCTGACCATGGTCAGTGTGATCCTGGTCACACTGCATCATGCGACCTTTAACTACAAGGTTTACTTTTATACAGTACACCTACATTGTAGTAATCAGTTATGGCTGTATTCTGTGTAGATGCACTGGCCCGCCCCTCCCGCTGAGATGGGCCCAGAAAAAAAGGTCCGACATTTTAGCGCTCCACATGTCTTGGGTCAGATATCGTCCTGGTTGCTGAAGTCAGGAATTTTTTGGGAACATGGGGCAAAACGGCCCTCATAATAGTTTGATCCGTGCAGAGGTTTTTCTAATCTGTCAATCATCGCGAACTTTCATGTTCCATCTTATGAAGGGATTTTATTTCACATTTTCTGTGATTTTTCAGAGTGTTCGAAAATAATGTTGAGAGGAGGGCAAAATGGCCCATGGGTGGGGCAGAACAGCCCACATTAAAAGATTAATTAACTACAGGACTCGTCAACACACATTTATTTCAGACGGTCAAAGATTAGACAGATAAAGTATTCTTAGCCCTTACCCTAAAATTACGATTTAGTAGTCATTTGATATGTTTTGAAACAAAAACCAAGTGTTAAAATCTTTATCAGGATGATAGATTGTTATTTTCCTGTATGTAAACAGTTAATCCCACAAGCCGTAATGGGGGAGGGGGCAACATTTAAGTTAAGTTTTCATCTAAAACGTTGACAGGCAAAGGGTAGCATCTTCAAATTATCA